TGTTCCACTGTACGATTTTTTTGCGATTTTTTCCACCAAGTTTGATGAAAAACGATTGTGCCGTTTTGGCTGCCCAGAACAGACAGACAGACAGACACACACACGCCTAATCCTATAGTATATTAGATCCCAGGAGGTTTAATATGATGTAAACAAACACAGAGGCAGCTACCAAACAGGGAGGTACTACCGCCTGGGAAGATATTGGAAGCATAATGTGTTGTCTAATAGTAGACCCTGCTGCCATATGGCATCACGAAAATTGTGACCAAGTCCCAGGTTGCTAATATGACTTTTTGCCCCACTTACACACAATTGCAGAGTCTCAATTGTTTCTCTTACTATTTACAACAAACTTACAGTATATTCTTTCTCACTTTTGATCTTTTTTTTCTTTTTTTCATTTCTTTAAGGTTCTTTATTATTATTATTATTATTATTATTATTATTACAGTTTTGTTATTATTATCATTATCATTTTATTTTATTTTTTATTTTTTTATTATACATTTTATTTACTGTGAATTATTATTATTATTGTTGTTGTTATTATTATTATTATTACATTTTCGTCCCCAGGCCCCGTTGTGGGTCAGCTACCTGCGCCTGGGTGGGCTAATCCCCGTAAAACAAAAACACTACCGGGTATAAATAAGTGCAGGCGACTGTATTCCCTACTAAGAAATTCTATATTATACTCCCAGCTTTAATAACGTACTATATTATGTTTAGATAAACACCATAATGATCTGCTTATAGTCGAGAAAAATTACCTAATTAAATCATTATCCTATCGAACCTTCAGTCAATCATCGCTTTAAACTGATACACAAAACGAAGATTGACACTGAAGGAAGTCACTAAGGCGTTTGTAGTTAATTGAGATAAAAACAAACAAACATAAGAACCGGTTTCAATTCGTCGATGTGAGGTAATAATGACTTCCTATAATAATACACTGTTATATTTCTTATTATTTTGGTTATGTCAATATTTAATAGGGAATTGAATATGTAGTTTACCGAAGAAAAAATCACGGTATTTGAGTATAATGGAATATTAAAAGGGTTCAAATTGATACCTTCAGAAGTAGTGGGAAGAAATATATGTGCTAGTCGTTAAGTTAAATGAAAACCTAACCCAACCTAAACTAACCGGACCGAAACTAACCTAACCCAACCCAATCCAAACCCAACCTCAACTACACGAACCTAAACCAGTCCAAGTGGGTCAATATGATGGACAATGGCAAACTCAAGTGATAAACAATACTCCACGATAAAGACACACACACACACACATTCGCGTACACACACACACACACATTCGCGTACACACACACACATTCGCGTACACACACACACACACACGTCTGATGGATTACTGAAAGTGACAGGGAGAATTAATGGAAGTAGGAGGGGCATTATAGTGTGAGTCATATTCAGTTCATAAAGGTATTCGACCCCCTGGTGATCCTACATTAGACTAAGGTCACGTATTACAGTCTATAGATGACGTAGGTTACTCTCTCTGTCTCTCTGTTGAATCACCAAAGAGAAGAATTATTTTAATCCTTGATACTCATACGGACTAGTGTATGAACCTACTTCGAATACGTGCACAAAAAAACCTTAGTGTTTCAAATATACATATAGTAAACCGTAAAACACAACAACCAGCACTGAGTTACTCTGGAAATAATTCACGTTAACTGGAGAACTCAACTTACACTTGGACCTCTCGACTTCACAGACCAGAACAGCTAAGTTATGACAAGATTAGGAAGTGTTAAGCTCGTGCAAAATTAAGTTACTTTGAGAGGCGTCAGGAGACAATTATACCTGAATACCTTGATTTTATAACTACCACCGACCCCACGAGGATACCTTTGAATATGCTGACACCATCTACGAATTTTGAGTTATATATATGAAGCACTTACACCATATACATATACAGTAGTAAGTTCTTATTGGTGTTGTTACGACCGTGTCGTATTTTTCTATTATTTTTTTATAACATGCTTCCATGTTGTTCCATATTATTCCTGTAATGATGTGTTATATTTACTATTATATATTCTAGTCACCTTACCCTGTGCTGTTAAGGATTTAACTGTTATTATTTGTTCAAGCCCATCTTATTTCTTCATTTAGTATTGCAACAAGCATTCTTTGTTTCTCTAACGACCATCTGCATCGTTAAACGACCCATGTTTCACCCGAGTGTCACACTGGGGAGCCGACCCTATATATAGTACCCCACCAGCAGACAGAGTTCAGTCCAGTCCTCTTGTCATTCAGTTCACGTTCTTTTGAGTGACACCCATCACCTGTTACTTATACTTATTTTATTTCTGTGTTGTTCCTGTCGCCACCAATGTGGTATATCTATGTGAGTACCTATTCATGTCTCTTATGTGTCCATCAGTGCTTGCTTAGTTACATTTAAGTAATTCAGTGTTGTTTCACGATAGTTAATTTCAGTGTTAGTTATTTTATATGTTTTTGCAGTGTTAACGTAATCCAATGCTTTATTTTTATTCTTTTGATGTTTCGATGTTTTAGTATCATTTGTGTCTTAAAGGTTTCGATAGTGAATCAATTTGTTGTGACAGCCTACGAGGCTCTTTATTGTGTTAGTATTTTATTTAATTAAATTCTTAAAGGTTTACTTTATTTATTTTTATTCCCTTTTGATTTACTTCACTTTCCTTTTTGTTTGGTTACGCCTAGAACCTGGATATTAAAGTAAATTAAGAGACGGCGTAACAGTGTCTATGATGTTAGGATAATGTTAGATCATTATCGGGTTTTTTTCTGTTTAAGATAATTATCATATTTATTGTCCCTGTGTTTTTCTGTTGATGTTACACGAATGCAAAAAAAAAAAGATATGGGTGACTGACGTGTAACAACCTGGTTCTACCAACTTATCTTACTTACAAACGTAATATAACGTCTGGCAAGAAAAACATCTTATCGGCGCCACTATAATTGGACCATAATTATTATTTATTGTGGGGTAGAGCAATTACTTGTAGATTATACATGGGATGGCTGACGTGAATAATACGCAGACAAAAAAAAATAGCGCTAACTTTTACACAATGTGAGGATAAATGGTTGGGGGTATATCTCTTCTTTGTTCATTTGCCTCGTGTAGTCCATCTCTTCTTTCTTTCTAATTTCTTTTATTGCTCCATTTATCTTTCTGTGTTAATTGCCTCTTGTTTTTACACCTTTCCCCTCCTTGTTTTCTGACTTTTCCTTCTTTAACCATCTTTCCGCCTCTCTTCCTTGTTTCATATACTGTACTTTTCATTCCACTACAGGGACAGACAGAGGTCAAAGGTCAATACAGTATAAGAATGCGGTATACGGTCACTAATTTATACCGTAGAAGCCCTTAACTCATGAGACATAAAGGTAAGCATGAACTTAGCATGCTTCCCTGTTGGGAGCTGTAAACGCTTCTGCGCTTCACCTTACACAAGGATGTAGGGGAGTGCCCAATAAAAAAAAATTATACCGTCACAGTTAGCATGTTTATCATAGTTGGATTTCGTGGTACACACACACACACACACACACACACACACACACACACACACACACACACACACACACACACACACACACACACACACACGCACACACACACACACACACACACACACACACACACACACACACACACACACACACACACACACACACACACACGATATTCAGTAGTTCCTCGACATCTGACCCGTAATAGGAACGAAAGTAAACACCTACTCTAAAATAATACCTTAAGTGATTCTCAGTGAAAATGGATGAAGGATTTCGACGATAGAGAGAACAGGAGTTGATGTGTTTATTTTGAAATATATCGGTTTTACAGTGAGTACTGTCAGGGTGCATAAAAAAGTGCAATGTTTATAATATCAACCCTAAATGAGGTAAAATCAACACACCTGCACTAGATGAGTCAAGGTAACATTCTCGGGATTGAACTTTTGACCACGATTAAACATTTCATGCTTAACAACCATTATGACTGTAGAGGAATATTGTTGTTTTAAAAAAAATTTCCACATAAGTGCAAAATTTTCTGCCATTTTAGAATACCCCAATAAAGTCTTGTTTGCTTGTCACAAATTCATAGTTTATAGAAAGACTTGATAGTAATTACGAGCCATAACCAACTTTCTCTTCACAGCCACAACTTCGGTATACCTACAAGGCTTTTTTATTCAAGAATCCTAAATGTTCCTCACAATGATTAGATATTAGTACTACTGATATTTAGGTTCCTTTTTACTGCACGTGATAAACTACAATCATCATTTAAGACCCCGTATGAGCACTAAGCAACTGTAGATGTAGGTCTCAGTTATGAACATACGAAGGTATAAATAAATCAACTCGACATAACCAAGACACCCGCTACCATCCATCACACGGACAAATTTACTCAGCGGTGTGAAGGAATAGACAAGTTTTTTAATGTTTGGTGTTTGTTAGTACTGTTAGTATTTCCAGAGTTCATTGTTATTGCATATATCTACATACATTTCTCTGGTTGAGTGCAAATAGGGCCAATGACAAAAAATTGCCCTTTTTACATTTAGTCAGAGGTTTAAAGTACAATCGCCTACACTTATACCTGATACAGTGGTTGGGACAATTTGTGAGATGTGGCAATTGTGTTTGTTTACATCGTATTAAAACTCCAGGAATGGCCCTAAAGAACTTCGCAATAGTAGTCAGACTAAGGATGCTAGATAAACATTCCTTACAGAGTTGTCAAAACGCCCCAACCACTGTACCAGATATAAACGTAAGCGACTGGGCATACCTAGCAATATTAATGGGTAAATTTGAGGGTAGGGCCCCCAGAAATATATATAAAAAATCTGAGAATATTACCAAATATAATCCGAAAACATTACATGTCTCCCTGTATAACATTAAATAATCACAGGATAATGCCATAATTCTTTCTTCTTTCAGACTATAAGAAACATTTAGCTACCGGAGGAGAATTAAGTTATCATTCTACCAAACTTCCCTCCAGTGATGCTTCGGTCTGTGGCAACAATATGTCCACTCTACTGCCTCCTCTTTGAATATGGTAAGATGTGGTGAGAGAATTTACAAGAGATAAACCACATATATTAATTTATTTATTTTGTTTTGGTGATATAAAACACTCAACAAATTCTCAATACTATTTTTAGCATAAGTTATTGTTGGGTAATAAATGTTGTTATGAAGATGATCTGTGAGTTAGTGGAGATAGTCTACTGGTGGAGATAGTCTACTAACCCCTCGTGTACTTGTCCCCTCTGCACTGAATAAAATCATCTGTCGTTAACACAGTAAAATATTTTAAGTAGTGTTTCCGTTGTAAAGGGGTTAAAGACTAAGGCTACTGTGTAATTAGTATTTTAACTCCCCCTTTCAATCCTCTGTTACAGGTGCTGGGATGGCGACAGCAGTCAATGTCAACCTAAACGATAATAGCAGTGTATTGCATCGATCTGCCGACATCATCGACACATCTTTCGACACTACCGACACATCTTCCAACACCACCGACACATCATCCGACACTACCGACTCTCTCAATCCCGGCAACTACTGGCAGGGAAAAACCGATATCACGTCTATAGTAGCGACAAGGTGAACTGCTAGCCTCCAATGTTACCCCTTCCAGTTTCTATTAATAAAGTCGCTCTTAACTTAAGAAATCTGAGTCAATTTAAAGACTTCTCAGTAAAATGTTATAATCTTAGTGAGAAATGAAATACACACAATGAAAAAAGCTTTGTGGGTGAATCGGAATTTATACTCGTAGTCAAGTTCTTGCGATTGTGACGCTCTAGCCTCTACAACGGTACTATAACAATAACAACAGTACTATAATAACAACAGAACCACAACAACAGTACCACCACAACAACAACAGTACCATAACAATAACAGTACCTCAACATCACAACAACCACAATAACAACCAAGTGTGTGTGTGTTTGAGGGATGTTGCTTGCAGGTTGATGTCTGGGACGAAGGCCGGGCAACACCTAGCAGCTCTGGTCGACTTCCTGGTGAATGGCTCCACGGGCAGGCAACTCTACCTCCTCCATGATCATTCCCTCACTGGTAACTAACACAAACTCTCGCCTCCATGGGGTGGGTAGGATTGAGGGAGTGGGGTGGGTGGTGTGGGAAGGGTTGAGGGAGTGGGGTGGGTAGGGTTGATGGAGTGGGGTGGGTAGTGTGGGTAGGGGAGTGGGATGGGGTGGAGATATCGCCCCACCCCGTCTTATATGCTGTTAACCTCTGCAAATATCATTACAAAAACACTGTACTGTACGGTCTTATCTCTAGCTTAACGATACTATTAATATACAATGACAAGACTTCTGATGATAGTAATGCGATATGAAGGAACGTATGTGAGTAAAGGTCGACTTATCAATATTCAACAACGGTATAAACAAACTATATACTTATGGGATTGATGTGACCCTCCCCCCCTCTCTCTGGAAATAATTCAGTATCTCCATGAACGATTTAAAAGCCAGGTAATCGAATGCTGTTGCTTATCTTTACTCTTCTGTCTATTCCCAGGTCGAGTTTCTTTCTGTATAACTTATTGTATCCACCAATCACAGCCTATGTCCTTGAAGTGTCCACCAATCACATGCTTAGGTTCTTATTGTGTCCACCAATCACACGCCTATGTTCTTATTGTGTGTCCACCAAATCACATGCTTAGGTCCTTGAAGTGTCCACCAATCACAGCCCAGGTCCTTGAAGTATCCACCAATCACAGCCCAGGTCCTTGAGTATTCACCAATCACAGCCCAGGTTCTTGAAGTATCAACCAATCACAGCCCCCATAACTGTTGTAGAATGAAAGGTATTGGTACAGATATGTCGCCGGCGGTGGAGGCGTGCTACAGGCGATGGGGCGACGTGATCATCTTCAAGTTCACATGGGAGCTGACAGAGGTGGAGGCGGCGCTACGCTCTAACTACCACTTCCAGGAACTCAGGAACATTCTCGTTATCTGCTCCGACGTCCACACCACCCATATCTTCCAACAGGTAAATTATATACCACCTGGATAATTACTCTTCTGTTTTAATTATACGTCCGGGAGAAGTAAACACGATAATATAAACAAGATAAGGTGGACTGTAAACAAACATGATACACAGGTGATATAATATACGACCTCAAAAATCATCAATAAACATTCTATGGGTTCTTGAGTTAACCTGGAGACCAATTAGGTAGTCACACAGTTCCACCTCACAGGCGACCTCGTTTAACCTACACAGATCCGGGAGAGGTCGCTAGAGTCAGCCACCCTCTACTGGTACATCGTGCTGTTTGACGACATCACTGAGCAGATACTTGACTCTATTAGGGAGGGAACGCAGGTGAGAGGCGGGTAGAAACTATTTTAATGATCAGTGCTTAAAAACAAACATTTCTAGATACCTGTTGATACATAAAACAACATGAATGGTGTAAACAAAAATAAGAAATGCTGTTTAGTAACGTTGGTAGTTGAAGTACCTTATAAAACGTAATTACCAGACATGAATCGGTATTAACTGACATTCTAGAAACTAAAACAATAACAATATCAGGTCATATGCTTAAGAAAATAAATGATCCGATTCCTTTATATTCATTTGGTTCCTAAGTGTCTATACACGTAGTAGGATCAGATAGCCTCACCCCACTCTTTAACTCCCTCACAGTTCTCACTGGCCGTCAGGAAGGACCATCGCTACCAGCTGTTCACCTCCTTCGTCGACTCAGACAATAACATAGCGTGAGTCACAAACACAAGCGGATGTCACTTATTTTTTTACGTGCAAGTATCAGTTAGGTTAGGGTGGTTAATCTTCATGTGAAATAGGCTGGGGTGTCTAAACTTCAGGTGATCTCATAATAAGGAAAGATAAAACAACCAAATTTGGACGGAAACCCACCAGCCTCATCTCTTATTTAAAGCCCATAAGGAACCCATTTAACCTATGATAAGGAACCCATTTAACCTATGATAAGGAACCCATTTAACTCACGATAAGGAACCCAACTAACCCATAAGGAACCCATTTAACCTATGATAAGGAAACCATTTAACTCACGATAAGGAACCCATTTAACCTATGATAAGGAACCCATTTAACTCACGATAAGGAACCCAACTAACCCATAAGGAACCCATTTAACCTATAAGGAACCCATTTAACTCACGATAAGGAACCCAACTAACCCATAAGAAACCCATTTAACCCTTCACCTGCAGACTAGATCACAGAGGCTGGTGGAGCTGGAACGCCGACCAGGGAAAACCCATTAAATACCTGAAGAAGCCACTGTACCTCAATCTCGGCGACGTCTACAGGAACTTCGGCGGGAGGGTGCTGAGGGTGGCGGTGGTGGACAACTGGCCCTACTTCAAGGTGACGAGGAGTGAGGACGGTTCCCTGCAGCCACACTCAGGCGTCGATTACAATGTCCTCAACGCACTCGCCAAGAAACTCAACTTCACGTGAGTTATGAGAGAGACGTGAAGATTAGACACCCCCACCCCCCCCCGCAGCTTATTACATGTGAAGATTAGACACCCCCCCCGCAGCTTATTACATGTGAAGATTAGACACCCCCGCAGCCCAGCTTATTACATGTGAAGATTAGACACCCCCCCCGCAGCTTATTACGTGTGAATCTATGAGATCTATATCCTTACCGAGTAACGTTCCATTGTTTTGTTTATATTTTATTCTCTTATTATTCTTACTAAGCGACACCCTCAGGTAAGTTCCTCCGACAGGTATGAGCTGGTTGACACCTTAGACGGCCAGTGGGGAGGTGTGATGGATAATGGCACCGTGACGGGAATGATTGGATTAGTGGCCAGACACGAAGCTCACTTGGCTATTAATGAAATCACCATCTCAGGTAAATTAATCACACCAAAGCCAGTCAGGTAGTCAGTTGCCCCGTCATAGGTATTAGTCAGTTCCCCCGTCATAGGTATTAGTCAGTTGCCCCGTCATAGGTATTAGTCAGTTACCCCGTCATAGGTATTAGTCAGTTCCCCCGTCATAAGTATTAGAAGTATTAGTCAGTTCCCCGTCATAGGTATTAATTCAGTTCCCCGTCACACCCCGTCACAGGTATTAGTCAGTTCCCCCGTCATAGGTATTAGTCAGTTCCCCCGTCATAGGTATTAGTCAGTTCCCCCGTCACAGGTATTAGTCAGTTACCCCGTCACAGGTATTAGTCAGTTCCCCCATCACAGGTATTAGTCAGTTCCCCCATCACAGGTATTACTCAGTTCCCCCCGTCACAGGTATTAGTCAGTTCCCCCGTCACAGGTATAACACTTGACTCTTAAACGTTCCCACATTGACCACTGTTACACACGACACACTTAATAATAATTGCTTCAACTTTTTTAACAACCTAACCTAACCTAATCTAACCTAACCCCTCACAGGAACTCGGGAGAAAGTGGTGGATTTCACAGCTCCGTATTTCCTCGAGTCCACTACGGTGATCTCCCAGGCACCGGCCATGAAGAACAGAGCCTTTGCTGTCTTCTCCCCCTTCACCGTCAGGGTAAATAACGATAATATAATCTGTATATAGTGAAAGCTCTATTTAAACGGAAGTATATGAAGAGGAAAGTCCGTTATATCGAGGGTATATCCGTTAGATGCGAAACCTTCGTCTAACGGATTAGTATAGAGATGAAATCCCGTTATATTGAGTGTCCATCCGTTAAAAGTTAATCCTCATCTAACGAACAATAGAAAGAGAGGGGAGGGGGGGGTAAAATCCGTTATATCAAGGGTCCGTTAGATATGGACCCCCCCACCCATCTAAAGGATTATTATGGCGAGAAAAGTCCGTTATCTGGAGGTTTCACTCTACTTCATCACGGAAACTTGAACACAATAAGACTTTTAAGATACAATAGTTCTTCTCTTCTCACTTGACTCCTGTGTTATAGTTATTAGTTTAATTCGAGATCAAACTTCCTACTGAGAGAGAGAGAGAGAGTTAGTTCCAAAATAATGCTTTGTGCCGAGTTTGTTATCTATCTATCTATCTATCTATCTATATCATTTAGGATCAAGAATTTTCTCCAAATATTTAATTCCCATGCGCCACACACACACACAGATATGGTTGATGGTGGTGGCGATGACGATGTTGATGGGCCCTATACTGAGTGTGGTGGGGCTGGTGAGGGCGCGCTACCTACAAGAGGGGGTTCGGTACTCCCTCCTGACCTACGCCTTCAATGTGTTCCGCAGCCTCGTCGTGCAGAATAACCTTATCTCCTCACAGCACTGGGAACAACGCATCATTTTCTTCGCCTGGTACTTCTTCTGCTTCACAATCTACGGTGAGAGTTGATGGTTTGTGATGGAATTCAGAGTGAGGGTTGATTGATTGATTGTGGTACTAACATTTCTGGCGGTTGGGAGTGAGGACAGGCGTGTTTAAAGTGGTATATGAATTATATTTAGAAGAGCATGTTAACCTGTTAGACGGGAACCACTTCATCATCAGGGACGTGAGAATATTCAACATCTTACTGGAATACCACCCGCTTAACATCCAAGTAATACAACTTCACAGTATATGACAGAAAGACCCTTGATTTACCAATTTTATAGAATTAACCACATAACATTTAGCCTTTAACTTATTTAAAGTGTTTGGTCCCTCTCACACCTGTGTTGCAGCCATGTACTCCGGAACACTGACCGCTGTGCTGGCCATCCCTGCCTACGAACGGCCCATAGACTCTCTCCCCGACCTGGTACACGCTGCCAAACACAAGGGTTATAAACCGGTCGTTGTTTATGGCACCGTAAACGAGTTTTTGCTCAAGGTTGGTGGAGGGAATATATAAATTATGTAACTTTCATTGGGAGTCATGACTGCTCGTAAGAGTACAGAACACAGTATACAACTTGGGCGAGAACCAAAGACCCTTATGATAAGAGGCGAGTGCCGGATCCTCTTACCCACCACACTAACAACTTGATAGGTGATGAAATATGATACAATAACCACGGTTATATACGAGTGTATGAGATTCGTTACCATTAACTTTATTTCTGTATAATCACCCCGCGTGTATATCCCCACAGGAAGCCGAAGACGGTATCTACAAGGAAGTGTGGGATGTGTTCGACCCCAGCGAGGGTTACGTCAACACCTACACTGATGGCACGAACAAGGTCTCTAACTCCCTACTTTATGTTAACTTTCTATCAAACAAACCAGGCCCATTATGTGTGATGGCAGCCTCGCTGTGTTGGGTTCAGTCTTTACATGTCTGAGTTTAATAAAACCATGACTAAAAACGTTCTTTATTATCGTGTTTGTTATATCGCGACTCCACACCAGTCTCCGATGTGCATGGAAACCTGCCCCTACCTTATATGTATCGACGCGATCTTACAGGATAAATGATCGCTTGTTCTATTGTGTTGACATGTAAGCTGACGCCTCTTCCTTAACAAACACATTGTGGCCTCCATCACCAGGTCCTGACGGGGAAGTTTGTATTCATAAACGCTCGGCTGGGAGCCGAGATCCGGGCGATTGCAAAAGGACGACACAGGTTCTATTTAGGCAAGTCCTCCTTCTACCCCCAAGGTTACGGCATCGCCTGCACCAGCGGCTCTCCCTTCAAGAACGTCATCGAGCAGATGTAAGTAACTCCTCGAGGCTAAACCACCATTTGTAATGTGGATTGAGAATTTATTGAGCGTTGCGATCAGTCATTTGGTACGACGAAGAAATGTACTGTATCTCTCTTTAATTTTTGATTGTTGATGTCCTGTATAATGTATGATCTAGAGTAGGTGATGATGTGCAGTAATATATTATAACACACACACACACACACCTCCGGTATAACACTACAACACTAGTATTCTTCCTCTCCACAGACTGACTCACTTGGGGTCAGCGGGTCTGGTTCAGAAGTGGATCAGAGATGAGATGGAGAAGGAGAGCAACCACGATGACGGCGCCAACAAAGGTCCTGGGGCCATCAGCTTTGTACATTTACAGGCAGCCTTCTTCCTGCTGGGGATGGGCTCTTTCGTCGGTGGCCTCACCCTCCTGATGGAGAGGTTTGTGTATTCCCGCCAGGCCACCTTTGTCACAGTCTATGGTCACACAAAAGCCGCCACCAACAGCAAAGTGGCGGAGATGACAAGAATTCACGGCGACAATCTTGGGGAGGACCCGCCTGGACCTCAAGTTTACAGGGAGATCGACAAAGACGAGAGACCTTATACGAGCTCCATGGACTTTATGAGAGTCCAAGTTTCACCAGAACCTGAGAGAAAGAGTTCTGCAGGAGACACGACGGATTCTGAACATAAATGATAGCCTCAACAGAAACTAAAATGCACCCCAACAGAACTGACAGAACTGTAGTAACCGAACTGCAAATATATAAAAAACACCAAGAAATACTGTACAGCATCATAGGGGACTCGTTCTAGCGGGTCCGAGTCTCAGGCGTTTCTAAGGGAACTTATATTGCATGACTACACACACACACACACTGAAGAAATATCACTCCTTTGTTGAGTTGTTCTCTCGTGTAGATGGTAAGACATAGTGATGGTTGAGGCACCGACATATACTGAAACAATAATATTGTACACAGGACACCCCAGCATGTCACCTGATGATTAAACACCCTAACGCTAACCTAACCTAACAAAACGACCTAACAACCTAACCTAAACTAACAAAACAATTTAAACTAACCTAACCTAACAAAATAACCTAACCTAACAAAACAACCTAAACTAACCTCTCCTAACAAAACAATTTTACCTAACCTAACAAAAAAAATTAACCTAACAAAACAACCTAAACTAACCTAACAAAACTTAACCTAACAACCTAAACTAACCTAACCTAACAAAACAACCTAACCCACCAGGTAGCGTTAGCGTATTTAATCAGGTGAAATAAGCTGGGGTGTCTAATCTTCAAGTGATCCATCTTGTACTAGTTTCGCTGTAATAATGTGTATAAAATATATATTAACTGTTCAATACAATACGAGATGCTTTCTCATCGACAATACGTATGTGTATATTGGTTGGTGTATACTTTATGTATAGATAATACAGTATGTGTAAAATAAAAACATGCATTCTTATTCTACCTACATTTAATAGCACTAATACAAAATTTGACCCCTTCCGAAATGAATGAATACAGATTTCGTCATTCAGTTGTCAACATGAACAATACACGTACTGTTTCTGTTTACTTCTGAGAGACATCCGGGTGAGTGTGGTGACTAGGTTTTAGTGTTCTTTCTGTCTATGTATACAAAGGAACGTAAAATGTATAATTTATGTATTTCATGTAATAATGCGCATTGTTACTGAATATACACAATGGGAGTTAATTGTCTATATTGTTGAACATCCCGCCTCAGAGCGTCAGATGAACGAACATTCTTATTGCGTCACGAAAAGTCTCCACCCCGTCACCCACCACTAAACTTATTATTACACAGATTTATCACACTTATATATTACCCGACTACGTACTGTAAGGTAGAAACTATTTAAACATCCATGTCTATATGTTTGGTTAGTTTTCGAGGTGTCTGGAAGCATTGCTATTGACGCAGACAGTGGTTGCTCTGTTGCTTTCCTTAACATGAGACGACTCCGCCCACTCGCCAACCACCATAACCGTGTTGGCAACTCGGTGTGTGTACAGTGAGAGCAAGCTATGATACATCCCAAGTGTTGAATGTTTGGGTGATATTTTTTTATATATATTCTCTTGAAAACAAATACAAAAGTGAAGCATTGAAATTTGTGGAGAAATTATCAAGTGTCATATTGATATAGTAACATTGGGACTGAAAATAGCATGCATTATTATATCCTTGTTATCTGAGGTACTGATCTATTCCGTATACAGCGTCTTACACGACAACTCTGGATCGTATACTGTTCCTGACCTAAAGATGTGATATCGGAAACATATAGACTTAAACTAGAAATATGTGATAAGGGCTGAGAAGGCCAGTGGAGTTACACAAGCTGACATAGTATCTAACAAGAGGAAGGACGAAAAATAGATATTAACCAGGCACTGAAAGGCGGTAAGTAAAGTCAGTTTGTTGTTTATTGAAATGTTCATTTTTGGTCGTGGAATTATGTATCTAGTTAGTACAGTATGGTATATAGGATAAATGCACGCACACTCTCTTTCTCCCCTTCTCTTTTGATTAAATATCGGCGAATTATATCAAAGCTTTATAACCCAATTTAGTAAAACTTTTTTCTTTTATTTTTTATGCTTTTCACCACTGATCGGCTCGTTAGCCGCTTGGGCTATCGGTCACGTCTTTGTTACGCACTGTTGGCAAGTATTGGGCTACTGAATGTATCTGAACCTGCTCCAGGGCTTGTTAAGTCTCTTGAAAGAGCTCACACTCGGTGCCGTCACAACATTCTCTGACAGATTGTCCCAAGAGTTCACAACTCTCACTCCGAAGAAGTTTTCCCTCTGGACTTGCGGCTTCTTCAACCTTGAGTTGTGTCCAGTTAAGGACACTCGACTGAGATGTATATACACCTCACTTAGGTCCTCCCTCCTTGCCCGTCTGTAGTATAAGCTAAACAACTGCAGGCGCTCTAATCTCTCAGGGAAGCTGAGGTAAGAACTTCACAAATTTGCCTTTATAATGCTAGGTCAGTTCCAAGCAATGTTTGTTTACGCTCGAGTTATTATTCTGATTATGCTGCGAGTTATTTAATACGCTCTAGAATGTGTTTAAAACGTATTTAGTATCTCGTTGTTTTGTTATGGTATTACGTCGTGCACTGCTCTCACAGGCTTTACCCCTCTCTCCATTCCACACGCTTTTATCTTTATCCTTGTTTAATTATTTCTATGTCTCTTCCCTGTAAGTATCCACCTTGTTCTCTACCTTCAATAGTTATCGGTATTATTCTTGATATTTGCATTTACCTCAAGCATTCATGTTCTTAATAGACGCCGTGGAAACCCTCCCGGTCTAAAAAAGAGCGAGGGACGGGGTGAGGGTAGGAGTGGTTGACGCGGGTAGTGTAATTGGACGTGTTCTGTTCCTGTACACACCGTCTATCCCGCTCCTAACTTCTGTTTGATTGGTAGAACGAGAGAGAAAAGTTTTATTATTTATTTGAAACTATTGTATAGCAATATCTAGAGGCTCTGAACTTCATTGTTTTCACTTAACCAACTTTTGAATTGTCGACTCATGGGTGGCATGGCTGACTTCTGTATGTCCCGCACTATATTATAATTTTCACTTATTGATTAAAATCGTGACGTGAAATAAAAAAAATTAAGATAAATAAACAAAAAGCGCAAGGCAGATCCTAGGTGGGTCGGGGGACCAGCAGAGACCGCCCTTGTTACTCTGATCACTTTACTGTTAGTTGTGGAGTGCTGGCTGCGTCAAGGTTGGAGGGAGTATTTTTCATCACAGTGTATTTTAGTCCCAGTGACAGTAAATCATAACAATAGACAGTGAGTAATCATAATAAGGTGAGGTAAGTCCTTGTAAAATAATCGGAATCTCGGCCAACCTGCTGGTGAAGAACATGTTGGCCACATCACAGTGACGCTATTCCACATACTGTACAGAATAAACAATGGAAATTTTGGTCATGACTGTTCATGTGCTACCCGGGAGTCTGACTAACATCCCAGCCCCGACTCTTATAATGCTTCTAAACAACGGTAAAAATTTTCCTCCATCAGCAGTGTTAAGACTTGCTTATAGATAAAAGGGAGTTAGTTATTCCTGCGCTCAGCTATGCTCGTTGGTTTCTCTACATTAGTTTTAACGAAATGTTTCAACAAATTTATTTAGGCAAGTGATTAAAAAAATCCGTGTGTTGTATCTCTTTCCGAAAAAAAAAATCTGGAAGATAAAAACCAAATCGAGTGTAAAAAATAGTGTATTAATGTAAAGTATTCATTTTCTTGTGGTGGCCAAGTCGGAGGTCATAAACGGTAGCTGGTAAAGAATCAAGAACATTTAGCCAAAAGTCGTTTTATACGGTACATCACCACCCTGAGTTCTATTACATAAGTTTTACCTATACTTTCAGAGAGAATAGAGCATGTTGAATGGTGGAGATACAGGAAATACAGCCAACACGGAGAAGACGATAGTTGACGATAGCCTCAACACGTACGACTTCAATAATCACCAAAACGGAAAGTACACGGCGGCAGCAGTCCCCGACACAGAACAGAAAATTGACAGTATGAATAGAAGTGATATGAAGAAGAGGGAAGAAAAGCTAAAAGACGAAGAAGAGACTCGGGAAGAAGCACACGTGAACGAGGCCAGTATAGGAGCAATTAACCCCAGCATGGAACAAAGTGATCAGAGCATAATGATGAATTACTACGGTGATGAGGATGAGAGGGAGGACCAGCCTGACGGTGATCAAGACACTGGCCATGAGGAGAATCCCGACGTAAATTCTGACACTACACACGAGGGGGAAGAACTACCTAATAAATCTTCGGTGTGGTACAAGACATGGAAGTTTTGGCGCCTGTATCTCGGGTTTGTTTTGGTCACGGCGATTGTGGGACTCGGCGTGGCAATAGGGTGCTCCCTGGACGTTGTGCATCGTAAGTTACACAGAGTTAACCTTTAGCGTTGTTTATCGTAGTGCTGAATTACTGTTCGGTCACAGACTTTAACGTTTAATACAGTATTCATTTCTCACAGCTTATTATTATTTGGTGGAACATGTAAACAGTGGTAACATAATACAGTAGTATAATATATCCAACAATTATACATTATATACGTAGTGTTAAGAGGTTAAAACATGATAATACAGATAACACCGAATTGGCTGTTATTATTTATTGAATTTAACCTGGATTGCTTATTAACATACCGTACTGTTTATTTAACGTGTTAATGTAACTTATAGCTAAGTTAATACATCTAGAAAATAATAAACAACACGTTATGATACTTCTTTCATCCAATTTATTCTTTTACTCATCCTTTCCTCCCCTCAGAGATGGGATTTACGTCTACCGGAATTGCTAAAAATAGCTACGCTTCCAGGCTGATGTCATCCACTTCCCACAGTAACCATGGAGTCGTCCCTCACGAGAGTTGGGTACGTTTGTCATCCACCAACAGTTGGCTATAAAAGTGTGCCCCTTGGCTATACCCATCAACAGTTGGCTATAAAAGTAACCCCCCTCGGCTAGAGAAATTTGCATTTTCTTCGTCCACTAACAGCTGAGAAGCTCCCTATCCTCAAGTCTTGGGTTACCTCGGTGCTTCCTCTGGGTCCATTTTTCCATTCAAATGTTTTTTTTTACTCTACTCTCAGTAAATTAAAGAATAACGTATTTTACTCTTTGAGTACACTGACAATCCTCTAGTACGATGATTTAACCCCTTGAGTACGATGAAAGTATGATGATTTAACCCCTTGATTACGATGAAAGTATGATGATTTAACCCCTTGAGTACGATGAAAGTATGATGATTTAACCCCTTGAGTACAATGACTTACCCCCTTGAACTTGATGACTTAAGGAGATATGTCCTCATACTCAAAATGGTTAAAAAAGCTCACCATCCAATACAGTACAGTATATAGTTTTCCCTGCTGCCATCTATGACCCCACAGTTATGCGGTGTCAGGGGAGTTGGTCTTGCAGTATTCAGTAAATCAAACGGGCCATTACTGTCCACTTCATGCCGTGGTGTAGTGTCCACAAGTTCTGTCTCGAGTAACAAAAAAAACATGAATCTTGACATATTACAACTGTGCAATAAGTTTTGATTTATTGTGTAGTGTCTTATTCGTCTGTGTTCATAATGATCTCTCTACTCTGTTACTGGACAGGTAGCGTGGCTGCAGAATGTTGGCCGCAGGGGTTTCGTCCCTATACACAAATTTAATATCGGACTGTTGGGGGCACTGGCAGGGGCTGTGGTAGGGACAATGCTATTTTGCATAGCGATGTACCTTTATTACATGATGCGTCGCCTCAAAAAGAAAGTGAAGGAGTATCGTATGGCCAGCGATGGTGTCCCCTTAATACCTGAACGTTAATGAAGAGACTATACAGCATACAAGCCAGACAGCGTGGAAAGCACATACCAGTAGTTCATTCACTCTTTATACTTGTTTTATGAAGCATATTGTGATGAATATATGACAGCCATGAACCCAGTATAAGGTGTTACAATCAAGCATTTTCCCTGTGTTCCTATGTTAATAAAAGTCTTGTCTGCTTTTTCCCAGAGTTGCCATTATATCACTTAAATCTCTTGTTACGTATGCATTTATGTCTATATATATAGAGGTGGTTTGCCCCATCAGGCTGCTTACTTTATATTAACCTTACATCTCAAGGTCTAGTACAGTTGTGTGCCAGTTTGTTTATTAACCCGGGAGCGAGAAGAGATTTGCAGATGAAGACAAAAGAAGCTGTAGGTTTTTGTAACTATATTTATAATGTAACATGTTTGAGATACATTATGTAGTACAGTATGTATTCAGGGAGGGTTACAGTATATCTGGTAATATAAACTGTAATTTCGGAACAGCAATATGTTTACAGTACAGTACCAGTTTCTTCAGGTAGGTATCAAGATTTGTCCAGATAATTGTTAAGTGTTTTATTGAGTATTGAAATAACCTGAAGAATAGACACCCCAGCTTATTTCACCTAAAGATTAACCTAGGGGGCAATGAGGTGTAATAAGCTATGGTGTCTAATGTTCAGGTGATTAAAATAATATCTTACTTGTTTAATTTATTCACACTGTTGTAATGTTCTTGGTGTTGTGATATATTTATGGACCAACACAGCCAACACATGAAGTTTAGCCCTCCCACCCCAGCTTAATTCACCACGAGATTAACCAGCTTAACCTTAAGATAAGCTACAATAACCCAACCTAAATTATAAACAAACCTGCCCCCCCACCCCCCGTGTAGCAGTGGAAGGGTTAATATTCGCACGGTGCCAACAAAGAATTCTCTCTTGTTTGTGGATGCCTAGTGATAATAGTTACCTCCTAAAGTCACCCTGAATATGTACCACTGAATTAAAGATGAATTTAGCTTATATAACCGATATGAATATATATATATATATATATATATATATATATATATATATATATATATATATATATATATATATATATATATATATATTTCTGGAACTATGCTTAAATGAAATAGAAGGAATATCAATAAAAAAATATACGTATTACTTTTTGTAGCCGTTTTACTTTTTGATGCCTTTAATTGCTAGTTTTACTTACACCAACTTTTATTTTCAGAAAGTTTGTGAAAGGCGTGTCACTTTATTATTCTAGAAGTTTGTATTTAATCTAAAATATCACTGTTGTATTGCTCTGGTTGCAGTGCTTTATTTCGCGAAATGTTCATTATTTCATTACTATTACTGCTGCAGTGCTACATAGGATATTGTATTATTAATCTCAAATGGGTTATTGCTATATTACTATTAATACCCATTACAGTACTTTATACAGTATAACTAAACATTCGGTATTTACGTTTGAATTAATTGCAACACATACACTGAAAGTCAGCGGTGTAAGTCAGAGGCCCTAGTTGCGCCTTTCATGTTGAACCGAAAAAATATTCATGTATAAAAAAAAGGCAATAAGACTGGTAACAGAAAAAAAATGGAATGGTGTAAAGGAAATGCCATACTTTGGGGACCACATAAGGTGAAATTGAATAAAAAAAATATTTTGGGTCGAGATTTGAAATAAATAGCACAAGAACTAAAAAGTAATGAAAACACAATTCTTTTACAATGGGACTGAAACTTAACGCTGAAAAGTATTTTCTTTCTGCTCCTGAAAATAACTTTACATTTCTGTTCCACTAAAATATACAATACATGAACCTTACCTCCATCCATATTAAGCTTTGCGTCTGTTAAAAAAAAGAATTACATACAGTTTGTTACATTCACCTGAAAATAAAGTTTGCATTGTACTGAAGTACCTATGTATTTTTCTGCATCTGAAAAACAACTACTTTGCATTTGCATTGTACTAAAAAGAAAACATGAACTTTAATGTCGTCTAAAATAAACTTCGATATCACATTCTGTATGTGGTGAACAGAAAGAAACATATGTAGATCCACCGGAAAATTATGCGCATGTATTGTATGTATACATGTACTCAAAATATTGCAAGTACTGTACATGGAACTTACCTCTATCTGAAAATATACGCTACACTACTTTCATAAACAACATTTTAAGTGTTAGTATACTTTACTTTCAAATAAACTTAGACATTGTAACCTAACCTAACCTAACCATGAAAGCTAACATAGCCTTGATTAGCCTCAGCACCTGACGTTATCACCGCGAGGTCTCCAGTACTGCGAAGGGTCAGCATTGTTAATAAGATGCTTTGTCAAGGCTCAGGATTCAAATATTCCAACTTCGTAAAAATGAAGAATAAATTTAACTAGCTTCTTAAATCTCATTAACTCCATGTTTATTTCAAAGTAACTTTAAATTTTATCCTCGTGGATATTTAGTAAATGAAACAAACTTCCAAACAAGTAAAAATGTTAAGAATCACTTGAGTTTATGAATACCCCATCTGAACACCGAAAAAATGAACAAGGTAAAGTTTTAATAGTTTGAAGATTTTTAAAGGTTTATTTGGTATTATTTTTAGTATTTTACCCCACACTTTCCCTCGACTTCAAAGCCCTGCCCACTTTAAACAAGTAATATTGCTGGTAATTTATCGATTAAAATACTTGAATATAAATTTTTCCCACGGAAATGCTATAGAAGTAAAATTAAATACGTGTTTTTAATTACGTGGATATTTTGCCGTGACCAGTTGTTCCTACTAACGCTATTTTACCGTGAGTACGCTTTGATTGCAGGCTAAGTACTTTCTGTTTAATATGACGGGGTAGGGGGTGTCCGCCCCCGGCTAGAAAGTTAGGTAAGGTTCGGTAGGTTTCTTTGGTTGGTTAGGTCAGGTTCTAGTAAATGTTGCCTCTTTTATAATGATAAGAACGTCTGTGGAAAATTGAACAAAATCGAACTTCTTCAGGTGGTAAGTGGTGTTCTCAGACATTACCGTACAGGGGGTATTTTTAACTTTTTATTACAAATTAGGTAAGGTTTTCAAAGGGTTGTTTTATAATTTATTTAATAATTTTACCTCACATTTCCTCTCTGCTGCCCATTTTGAACAACCAATATTGTTAGTAATTAGGGGGAGAGGGGAGGCCTTACTGGTTAAAATACTCGGAAAAATATAAATTGCGCCGGAAACGTGATAGAATATAGATTTGTTTGTTTTTTTACTCTCCCTATATAAAAAGAAATATGAAATTCCATGTTCGACCTAAAACGAATCTTAACCTTTTTTTTTCGTAATTTCCATGAACAACAGAACAATGGTTAGGTGAGCTTATAGCTACACAAGGATCGACTAGTGGCGAAATAAATGCCAAATGCCGCCGTGTCATGGTCAAATATATTACCTGCGTTGTTCACTGGTGATGGCCAATTAGCCAATCAGAGTGCACTCACGGTAAAATAGCGTTAGTAGGAACTTAGCCGGTCATGGCAAAATATCCATTGCCTTTTAATTAAGAAATTGAGTTAGGTCCACTTATGCAAATTTACCCACAATTCTTGCGTTTAGCTTTCTGGAAGACATATCACCAGAAAATTTGCCACTATATCAATTCACAAAAATAGTAAATGTACTTACGTGTGTTGCTGGTGATAGCGACCTCCTTCGCACAACTTTCACAAAACTCACTTAAATTCCCATTAAATTTATCAAAATATCACCTCGTATAACTAAGCAGCTCAAAATTTGATTGGTAATTATGTCTGCCTGTTTACAGTTGTTGCAGTATAACACTATTTTCTTTGTTTAAATAGATATCCGATATTTCCACGTCATAAAATTCACCCTACATGTTAGTGACCGATTATTCCAGGTACGTATTGTTTCCAAAGAGAATGTAAGGAAACACTTAATGGGAGACCTTAGCGCACCGTGTCAGGGGCGGACAGTTGGACCGCTGAGTTCTTGTCTTACAAAAACTGTCAACATTTTACTGAAATTAATAATTTTATGATTTGAAGTTGTGCTCTGTTCTTAATATATAAAGAAAATGAATAAAACTAATATAAATAGATTGCTGAAATAAATTATTCAGATTTCATATATCTTTGCAGTAATAAATATCTGATGTCTTACAGGAAAATAATGGGTACAAATTGAACATCTTTAGAAAGTTATAAATTATTATAGGCGTCCGCATGATTCTTCTGTAGATACCAATTATCTCTTCAGGAAAGGTGTATATTGCAGGGCACTACAGTATATGTATGGGATCAAGGCAATCAAATGATTTTTGTAAATAAACAGTACAGAAGGTTCATCCATCCTTATTCTCTCCATCTACCTAACCGTGCTAAAATTGTTCTTAATACAGACTGGTTATCGAATGTACAATATATTTGTGACAATTATTTTATTATTCTGCGCACCAATAGTTTCTAAATACAATACCGGCAACTTGTAATGTATTGAAATTTCTTAGCAAGTTGGCAAGCCTAGTCGGTTTTCATTGGGTAAGCATAATACATATGTAAAATACATTTTTTTTACGGGAATTAGCCAACCCGGGCACAGGTCAAACGACCCACAACGGAGCCTGGGGGGCGAAAAAAAAGATCGGAAAGAAATTGAAAATATAGAAAAAAGGTTATACTGTATTAATCTACACCACGAAGATGGCGGAAAACCTGCTTTTTAAAGTGAGACAGATTGTAAGAGCATGGAAACACAGAAGAAGGCAAAGCATTCCACAGTTTGGCTGTGTGAGGAAAGAAGGAGGTACTATAACGGGTTATTCTCGTGTGACCGACATCCACAGAGAAATGGTGGGCACCGCGGGCAAGACGTGTTACGAACCCACGGCCTTGCCGGCGGTACACAGGATGCCAAATCCCCTGAACATTGCCCGTTAAAGTACCTGTAAAAGAGAGAGTGAAGCAACATTGCGGCGAAGAGAAAGGGGAGAGAGATTGTCGACTAAAGGAGGAGAGATTGTCGACTAAAGGAGGAGAGTTAATAAGACGAAATGCCTTTGATTCCACCCTATCTAATAGTTGGACAGAAGAAGAGCCACCCCAGATATGAGAGCAGTACTCCAAGTTAGGATGAATGAATCCCTTATGTACTTGGAGCAACTGCTCAGGAGTGAAGTAGCTGCGGCATCTGTACAGCATTCCCAACTTTCGGGAGGCAGCTTTAGTTATACTAAGGATGTGTGATTTCCAGGACATATTGGAGGAAATGGTGAGGCCTAACATATTTATTTCAGAATTTGGGGGGATGATAGCGTCCTGAAATGTAATTGGTGGGAGATCGTCTACTTTACAAAGTGTAATTGGTAAATATTGAGTTTTGTTACTATTGAACTTAACCAAGTTTGTATCTCCCCATTCAGAGATGCTGCACAGATCCGCGTTGATAGAAGTAATGATATCAGTTCTAGAAACAGATCTAGTTTGAGAGTTAGGAGGAAGGGGAAAATGTGAGGAAGAGTGAAGAGTAGAATCATCGGCGTAAGAATGGATAGAATTAGTTGTAGTGTGAAGTAAATCATTGATAAAAAGAAGAAAGAGAGTTGGTGAAAGAACAGAACCCTGTGGGACGCCACTATTGGTAGAGAAAAAGCGAGAAATCGATCCCTCGACAACATGTGAGGAAACTTCCAAATTTTATGAGGTAACTAACATTAATTGAAGCACAAAATTTATAATATAAATTAAGAAGTCAGCGGATTTTCCTGGTGTATTTGGGCACGTGGATATCTCCTATGTTGAAATAAAAGTTCCGCAGGATACAAAAACTGTCAAGAACTCTTACAATGAAATGCTTATTATATTCACCCACGAATTAGCATGTTTATTTTTGTAGATTTTATTATTAGTTTATTACTGGTTAGTACCCAAGCCTTAGCTACAAACACTACTGGCCATAAGCATATGATAGGCTGTTGGCTCTCCTTGGTTAGATTGCCTCACTGTATACAGAATGTAAATTGTAAATCTGCATTGTCTTATTGCATGTTGACTTATACACCTGCAAAGTCTGTATATATATTGAATCAATTGTAAATTTGTATGACAATTTTACTGAATAAATATCAATCGACCAATTATCCAATTTCCACTTCACTGGTGCCGAGATAACATAAACAAATGACACTCTTGTGCATTATGCAGAAGACCCGACAGCAGCACCCTTATCCACTACCTCCTAAGATGTCCCCACACACAACGCTCCCGTGACGCCTGCTGGACCACCACTCCACGACGGTGACCGGATAAAACCCCAAGGGACAAAACCCCAGTCTCATATATAAAATATAAAATAAAACACTTTTAAGCTTAGGTTAGGTTAGTGTTGACAAATGACAACCCCGTTGGGGTTTTGTCATGGAACCACGACGGTGACCCCCTGACGGAGACACGATGATCCAACCCATACTGGCCAGATATTTTGTAAATAACATTGATTATGTGTTAAAGGAATATCCTTCCTTCCTTTCTTAGGCTTTAGTAAGCCCCTTTATAATATTTATACTGTATATACTTGTCACACTTGCCAGATGCTTCTGGTGTCATTGTACAGGGGTACCTAGTGACAGCACTAGGATCCTGCTTCCTCTATCAAGGAATAAACAATTGAAATTTAATTGAACAAATGACAAAATTTCAAGAACTGGAAAATAAACATTATTTTTACAAGTATCATTGGATCTTTTGTAGGATCATATTGCATTTGCTTTCTCATTTTACTTATGCCATCTTCATTATGTCATTCGAAGATAGTGGAGTGGATTTTTTTTTTTCTTGAATGCGTTCCTCTAACTTAATCTAAATGATTAAGTTATATCAAATTGGTTAGGTTAGGTTTGTGTACTGTCTCTCTAATGTATCATATATTTACTGAGCAGTTATGTTTTTTCAGTAAGACTTTATTAACTTCTTACTCTACATTCCACAGTTTCTACTATATATATATACTGTATATATATATATATATATATATATATATATATATATATATATATATATATATATATATATATATATATATATATATATATATATATATATATATATATATATATATATATATATATATATATAAGTAAATCATAATCTAGGTATATGCTGATATATATATATATATATATATATATATATATATATATATATATATATATATATATATATATATATATATATATATATATATATATATATATATATTACTCTATCCCTCTTGGAACATACAGTACATTCTATAAATCAGCACAACAATATCAGGAAAATAAAGTAGTGAGTGTCTTCTTAATCATTACCATGTTCAGTGCAAAACAAAACGTTTTTTTCAGTTGCAGATGAATTATATACTGTACAGATATGTATTTCATTGCAACACATATAAAATTTCTTTTCGATGAAGGTAATTGACATGAATCTTTTTCACGGCAAGACATGTAAACTTTTTTCTCAGATGAAGCAATAATATAACAAAGTACCATTGCATTTTTACGGCTTTTTGAAAATATTACGGGTTACTGTTCTTCAATTAGTACTAGTTTTTGCTAGAAAATCTTCCTTCACGTACTTATAAACTTTTATTTTATTACATACATGGGTTTCAACTCTAACTGAGCACCTAGGGGATTAATAAGCAGGTGAAATAAGCCTGCGTTCCTAATTTTCATGAAAACCGAAGTGTGTGTGTTGGAGGAAGTCGACCTGCGAGTGTCCCTGTTATCACTCCTCTGGGTTGGTGCTACATGTTCGCCGGAGAAAGTTAGTGTGTTCTCGAATCCACTTGTTTGCAACTGTGAAAAATATAACATTACCGTAACCCCCACACACCTACAGTACCCCCACACTCACCCCACACACCTACAGTACCCCCACACTCATCCCACACACCTACAGTACTCCACACTCATACACACCTACAGTACCCCCACACACCTACAGTACCCCCACACTCACCCCACACACCTACAGTACCCCCACACTCATACATACCTACAGTACCCCCACACACTCATACAGTACCCCCACACCGTACCCCCACACTACCCCCACACTCATACATCACCCGCAGTACCCCCACACTCACCACACACCTACAGTACCCACACATTCACCACACACACCTACAGTACCCACACACTTGCCCCATTTGTGCCCCAACACGACAGGACAGCCGCCATGTTGCGTCTTGAAGTCAGCGTCGCCATTCCTCTTGAGGTTGTACCAGAACACTGCTGCGCCCTTCACGGGGGCCACAGAGAAGCCGAATTGAAACCCAGTCCTTCCCCCCAACTTAACATCTGACAGCTGGACCAGAGATAAAGAAAAGAAAAGGGTCAAATGGGTCCCCTAAAGATTAGTCACCCAGCTAATTTCAACCTAAGGATTAACCAATTTAATGCTAACCTAACCCCCAAGGTAGCATTAGGGTGTTTAATCATCAGGTGAAATAAGATGAGGTGTTTAATCTTTAGGTAAATTGACTTAACGATGATGGTTGGTGGCAGGAAACTACTGAAAATCTTTCCCTAGAAAATCTACCCTCCTCCTCAGAAAGAAAAACAAATATTGAGTAAGTCCATCAGAAGGGTTTAGGACTCATATAAATGTTAGTGGTGCACGTGCTGGAGAACACAAATACAGTACAGCAGTATAAAAAGGCATTTGGGAGATGGATGAAGGAGACAAAATTTGGGTGTAAATAAAAAAAAAATTACTACCAAGAATAGGAGTCAAGCAAACTTAACCTAACCAAAACTACCTCAAGATCATATGGTTAGATTCCTTCATGTTATTTAGTTTGAAAGAAACATAGATAATTTATCATTCCTGGTCGTTGTACGCTAACAACACTAATGAGGCGGGAGACTTAGGGTTCCTGGTTGTGATACTCTTAGCAACACAGGTGAAGTGGGAGGTACTGACTCACATAGAACATCCAGGTGGCGAGGCGATCTCCTGGTGTATACTCATGGGGGCCGGCCAAAGATTCATTCCACTGTGAGGGTTTAGGAGGGAGGGAGTGATAATTAATGCGTCATACTCCTGCTTATAGAGTTTTGGTTGCTGGTCACATGGGCCTCAGTCCTAACAGATCCTGATATGGCTTAACGATCAAGAGTAGTGATCGTGTGGAGTCAGGACCCATTGGTTTAACGTAATTCAGGACCAATTAGCAATGAGGCTGATATGAACAGTCACCTTAGATATTAACATCATTTAAACAGCAAAAATTCCAAGTCTAAGGTCTACTAACTCGTCCTTCGGGAAACTTCTTGTAGAATAAGTCCGAGTGCATCACATAGTGCCCACCAATACCGTAATTCAAAACCTGAAATAGAACCAAATAGATCACACAATGGAATACACTGCACAAGACAAGGCAAGATGGTGATATACGTTAATCTTGCATATTTGACTAAGTGCTGAAGTCTTGTAAAATAAACCTCTTCAACAAAAGTAAACACTATACTGTACAGCAATACAAAAAAATCACATACCGGTACCTAAAAAAAATTACATACCTGTAGATATTCTCCGGCCATGTGTTCGGGAGGGCCTTCAAACACATGGAGACCAGTAATATAGGAGATCCTGCGTGCTATGCTGAGGAGGGAAGGATGGGAGGCATTGTTGAGCCAGCCTGTCTGTGACACCCTTATCTCCATATAGCGGTTGCTGCCCACCACCGTCGACCGAGACAGCTGACCCCAGGCAAAATAGTATGTTGATGTTATAATTTATTACTGGCCATTAGTGGAGAAAGTCTGTTAATCCCTCTTGTATGGGTTCCCCTCTGAGCTGAATAAATTTGTCTGGTGTTGGCTGAATGAAACATGAAAAGTAGTGTTACCATAGTGAAGGAGTTAACAACTAAATTATTAATGCAGGTAATTCAGTTTAATGTAATGGCCTTGTTTTCAGTAATTATAGTGATAGAGAATGGTTGTGTATCACGGGAGCATAGACACTAGTGCAAAAAAACAAAAAACAAAAAAACATACATTTTTAAACTCCAAATGAAATGGCACAAGAAATCATGAGTTGAGGGATTCATCGATTGCTTGTTTGTAAACTCTGCCTCGCCCTAACACTACACTTTACTGAGGTTTGCTGAATAATGCATCTCGGCCTGATGCAATTGTTTCAGCACCATCAGGTTCAAATCTCCAGTTGGATATAATATTTTAGTACCATCAGACTTCAATCTCTCTCTGTCCCTCTCAATTTCTCTTTCTCTGTCCCTCTCTCAATCTCTCTCTCTCTCTTTCTCTCTCTCCTACCCTCGACTTCGCCAGTTTTTTGATGGTCTGGATCTCAAAATCTTGAAGAACGTCGTAGAAGAGATAAATATGTGGGTACTGGTGGAGGAGCTCGTAGCGGACTGGCTGGAGGGCAAGGTAAGGAGCACCATGAGCTGACACATGACACTGTAGCTGACCATCGACCTGTAATGTTTATTATAGCTTTTTATTTATGACACCCCTCAACCTGTAATGTTTATGACACCTTACTCCCTGTAATATATGACACCCTACAGCTGCGATGTTTATGGTAGCTGTATGACACCCCTCAACCTGTAATATTTATGACACCTCACTGCCTGTAATGCATATGACACCCTACAGCCTGTAATATGTATATTTAAATGGATCACCAGAAGAATAGACACCCTAATGTTACCTTGAAGGGTTAGAGTAGGTTAGGTTAACATAAGGGCGGATAATCTTGAGGTGAATTAAGCTGGGTATATAATCGCTCACGTAAACCATGTAAACTGTAAATACTAAAGGAATACACAAAACACTCACAGGAATTTTGTGTACTCCACGACACACACGGTGAGTGGGGGAATCTGAGGAGACCTGGAAGTGGGACTCTGACAGTGGACGCTGGAAGTACCTGGAGTCTCCTTTTGTCCACTCACTATCATGCTGTCAGGACACATTCACCATCAGTAAGTTTAGTTCCCCTTTCTTAAACTGTACACTGACAGGAAAATAAATGAAGAAGTACTAAGATTTGCAAAAACTTCAAGAGAAATACCTGAAACGTGCATAAAATAATACGTAATTAGATAATTTGGTCATAATTTGGGATGAGGGGATAATAACAGAAATATAAATGAGCAAAGTTGAGGGTACGAGGGGAAGGGGGAGGTAAAGACTGGGATGGATGATTAAAATTTAAGACTGGGTCTCCAGAGATATAAAAAACAAAAATTGAAGGATTGCTAAAAACAGCCTGAGAACATTTAAAGTGGAAGACTGTGGTCGCCATCTCTCAGATATGAGGACGATACTCTGTTTGATTGATTTATTACTCTCACCTGGCGCTCTAAGTCGTCCATAAGTGTTTGGATGTAGTCATGTTGGTGTGGGTCGTCAGTGGTAGTGCGGCAGTACTTGTACCACAGCCAGGCGTCACTCATCTCCCCGAAGTAGTGTGTGGCATTGGCTATCGTGATGCAGTCCTCTGGCGTCAACCCTGTCAGAAGAAAGTAGTGGATTTAATTGATAATAATAATAATCCCAGCATCAGAAATGTGTGCTTAAAGACACACAAATACAAGTCAATTTTTTAGTGATAACTTAATACAACAGGCGTTGTTCTCGCTTCCATGTGTCAAAGTTATTACTGTAGGTATTTTTCTTGCTACCATGAGACAGCTGAGAGGTTACTACTGAAGGTGTTGTTCTCGTTACCATGAGACAGAACTTACTAACACTACTGTAGGTGTTGTCGAGGCGTCCCTGCATGAAGTTACCAATGGGTATGCGGTAGTACCTCTGGAGTCGTGCTAGGGCGTAGGCAGCTCCAAGTAGGTCATTGTATATGGGCAGGACAGTGCTGTTGTAAGCCTCCATCAGCGCCACTAACCGCTCCCTCAACTCTGTCATCACAATACCATCAATCTCATGTTAAAGATGGATCACATGGAGATTAGCCTGACCCCCCCCCTCCCTCAGCTAATTTCACCTGATGATTAAACACCCTAAAGCTATCTGAGAGGTTAGCATTAGGTTATGGTAGGTTAGGTCAGGTTAAGTTTGAGGGACAGACAGGTAGGTATAGGGGCGACTCACCTGGAGAAGGACAAACACCGCAAGACAGTGGACAGTTAAAGACCATGTAGTTACGGTTGTGGAGACATTCGCCTCTCATCACCCAGTTAGGACAATTAGTGCTTTTGTCCTCACACACACCATCTGCCGAAGTAACACCTGGTCGTCAGTATCCTGCTCAGTGACCGCCCGGTGAATATAAAGATGGTCGATAGTCATTGTACGTGACCTACAATTATTCACACTGTACTATATTAATAAGTATTACATGTGCACAGGGACTTTTCAATCACACCTGTATTATCATCAGGTATGTACTTAATTCATTATGTATAGAAAGTAATTGAGGGCAGGCCAGTACAGAACCTTGAGTGTGGTAGTGTTGGAGAGAGATGTTGAGGGCAGGCCAGTACAGTACAAGACGTTTGATGACCCAGTACACGTGGAGAGGATTCCCCGTGACTTCCACTGCTGTCACGTGACCCCCAACCATCGCCCGGTCCTGTGCCATACTCCAGTATGACTCCTGATACCTGTAGGAGGAAAGTCGTTAGTCCTGGTACCTGGATGAGATGGTACAGGTATAACAGGTGGGTGAAATGACATTTAACTGTGGAAGGTGAGGGAAGACCTACCTGAGGAGAGTGAGGGAATAACTACCCAAGGGAGAGTAAAGGATGAAGGAAAACCTACCTGGACGCTGCAGGGATGTGCTCGGGTAGGAGGGGTAAGACGTCACCCACCAACTTGTCGAACACAAACAGGTCATCCATGAGGGACTGGGACGAGTAAAGCTGACCAGCCATTGGTTTACCCACAGCCAAGCCCACACATGCCCATATCCACATCATCCACACCCACGTTGCTGTGACAATTATAATGGTTGGATATATACTTCACAAACTTATGAACTTGTGCTTGTGGAAACTCTGTGTCACTCATACATGTAGCACAGGATAATGATTTATATGAGTTTGAAGTTATGCTCTTAAAAAATATAACGAATCATGTGAAAATTAAGTACCACAGCTTACTTCACCTTAAGATTAACCTAACCTAACCTTGCCTTACAAAATAAAACCTAACAAACCCCCTTCCTTCAGGTAGTATTAGGGTGTTTAATCCCTTCTCTTCCCTAACTCTCCCTCTCCTCTCTTCCCACCTTCCCCTCCACCTCACTCTCTCCTTCCAGGTGAAGATCATCTACACCTGCATCACAATAATAGTGGCACATGTGATGTTTACTATTGGTGTGTGTGTGTGTGTGTGTGTGTGCGAGTGAACGACCCCTCTGAGATACAGGTGTTGATAATGATTAACGACATCAACAGGTACAAGTGAACAGACACCTGGCAACACACACACACACACACGCATTGTGGTAGTGAATGTGGTAGTTATTGATTGTTGTAGTGAATGTAATTATATTTTATCATTATTTAATCTTTATTTTTTGACATGGTAGGTCTATATGAGAAAATACTGCAATTAGGTTAGGTTAAGTTTTGTCTAGATTAAAATTTTTACAATAACATGTTTGGCAATTCTCCATCTCTCTCTCCTAATACATACCCTAACCTACTCGAGCCAAACCAAATCTATCCTAACCTAACCAAACAAAATATCACTTTACCGAACGAAACCCTATCAGGAGAAATATGCTGAGAGGGGGGACTAATCTTCAGTTGATCCAGGCAAAAAATTGAAGAGGCAGAGTATCAAGCACAGGACCAGTAAGACTTACCCATCACTGTCGTCTTCTTCTTCTCTGTTGATCGATAGTGTTGATAATCTTGTTAAAATCAGTCACTGCTCTCTCCTCACTGCCTGATGCCTTGTTAAGTAGGTTCCTTCAGATCACCAGCATTGGTTAAGTTAGATTTGGTTAGATTTGGTTTGGCTTGGTTAAATTAAGTTAGGTTCTTGCAGCTACTCACTGTCACCTTTACTTATCACAAAGATAACGAATATCATTTGAGTAATGATCTCACATAATTTCACTGTTAATCTCGGGGCTCTGTGAGGACAGCTACGGTGGCAGTGTTAGTTACGACAGCTTTCACACACATATGTACCAAGATACTGTTGAATTTAGGGGCATGCTGGAAGTGTCTCTCACATCTACTGTTTTGGTGACTCCCCATCCCCCTACACACACACGCTATATTGAACACCTGTCCTGAAACACCTGTGCCACAAACACATTGTGATCAACGTGGTGGGTGGGATGGTGCACCCACATCAGTCATTAACCTCTTGAGTTATGATGACTGAATTTCCTGAGTACAATGAATTAACCTTTTGAGTGTTTTGAACCTTTGAGTATGATGATTGGATTCCTTGAATATAATGAATAAACCGAAAGAATGTATTTTAACCCTTTGAGTACAATAAGTTAACCCCCTGAGTACAATGACTCAATCCTGGAGTACAGTGATGAGGCGAGAATTGGACTAAAATGTAATATGTTTTTTCTTCACTTGTTTGATGCTTTTGTATTATAACAGCCAAAAACAAGTGAAGAAAAATCATTCTACATTACAATTCATCTCTCACATGGTGGAGTGTCACAAACTGCTCTGTCCGTTCTGCTATCCTCCACCACTACTTGTCATCCATCCTCTACTCTCAAAGGTTCTTCAGATCAGTCACTACTGCAAAACGAAATTTCTCAATTATACAAGTCTATCATAGCTTGAATCGTACCTAGTGGCTAGGTTAAGGTCACATTAAATTAGGGTGTTGAATCATCAGGTGAAATAAGCTAGGGGACTAATATTCATGTGATCCAATATATCGTGTTTTGTCTTTCTTTAATAACTAATAAATAAAAGTAGACAAACGACAGGAATCACTACCGGTAATAAATAAACAGGTTAAAACAATAATTTCTTTGTTTTCTTATTCTTATCGTCTCCAAGTCTACGCGTGGTTTTAAAATCACAACCGAAGATGATTCATAAATGACCTATTTCTCTCTTTCATCCCAACAAAATAAAGGTGGTGTCATTTCTTCACTTTTGTAGTTTTGTTTCTTGTTTTTGTTCCTCTCATCATTTCTATTTATTTTCTCTTTTTTTTTATCAGGTGTGACAATGTAAAAGGTGTGTTTGGTAATTAAGACACTGGATACAAGTTACAAATGGAAACTTTACAGGTGCAGATACAAATACAGGTACGGACACATTTACAGGTGCAGATACTAATACAGGTACGGACACATTTACAGGTGCAGGTACACAATCATTACAAATACAGGTACAGTACTTATAACATTACAAATACTGTACAGATACAAGTGCAGGTACAGAGAAAACAATTTAGATACAGGTACAGAAACACCATTACAGGTGGAAATACAATTACAGGAAGGAAAAATAATATAGGTAGATACAGATATTTCAATACTACACCAATATACACATCGCTGAGAAATAATGTAACCTTATCAGACTGCATCGTGTTGTACACAAAGACTACTGAACACTTATTTCTTAAGTTCACATAACAGTTTAACAATCATGAGGAGAGGAAGTAAACTGTCATAGAATCATTTGTGTAGCAGCAATAGTACAATATCTACCTTAATTATAGCAGTAGTGGATCATGACTCATACTGAGAACATCCGTTTCTTCTTCAGTCTTTATAAATGTTAAATCAATATAGATTGGATTACTACAGTGGACTACAGAAAAATGAGGATTCTTAGATTCTCATAGGCATTTTGTTTAGTTATGAAAATTGTATATGCATCATGAGTGCTTTTGAGAATCACATCCTGTAAACTCCTTCCTCACCTACAGAGACAGTGCATCGTGAGTGCCATTGACAATCACAAAGGTGCCTTGTTCATTCATGTTGGCAGTAGATCTTGATAGCATCATTTGATTTATCAGAGGAAGTGCTGAGATTAGATGAGTACTTCCTATAATCCTAAGAAGATAGTCCAAAATATCCTGATATGTTAGTCTTTGAAGAGAATTCAGTAAAGATAGGCTAAGTAACACAGTCCTCCCCCATGTGTATGGGGTTGCCTATGAGTTGATTAAAATCATATAAATATTTAAAGTGGCATCTCCAATTAACATTCCTATTAAGAAATTCCTTATACGTGTATAATAATAAATAAATTATATAAATAGATAAATAAATAAACAGGCAGGTGAAGAAAATCATATGAGGTATATAAGGCCAATAATACCCAACCTTCCAAGACAATCCCATGGCAGAAAATCCTCACAAAAAATTCTATAGCATCCATTCAGTGAAGAAAATCCTGTGGAGTGTATTCTATAATATCCGATACAGGAAGACAGTTCTATAAAGACAATTTAATATAGACAGAAATCTTGGAAGACTTGCATAAACTTTTCTAAGCCATGGCACCAAACTCAAATGTCTGATAATTGAACTCCATCTTCAGGTCTGGAATGGGAACAGAGAAGCAATAATTACTCAAACTCACACCTATATCGAGAAGCATCCAGCACAGGTAAAATGACTTGTATATACAGTAAGTTTTATCTCACATATTTTTGTATTGATTGATGGACTAGCACAATTACTGTACAGTACTAACATTGTTATTGAATCGCGGTACAGTAATAAAATTACAATATATAATCAATGGCTTGTACAGTGCAGAAGGATCAAAATATGGTTACTTGGCTGAACTTATAAAAAAAGTTCAAAGGGATTCATTAAAAATGAAAAAAAGGAAGATCAATATCTACTTATCAGGACCAGTTTTATATATAGTACAGTACAGTGCATTATTTACAGAGCCATTTCTTGGAACCTAACCCCCATGAATAACAAGGATTTACTACACACATTTTAAATCTGTGCTATTTCTTTTTTATGTACTGTATAGATATAGATAACATACTGTAACATTGTACAGTACCCTGAGAGAGCATCGACCAGGTGACTCCAGTGTTCGGGTAGTCTGTAGCGTCGACTGTGAACCAAAAGGTTGATGGCGCTATCCCTCATTGTTTCCACCTCGCCAATACTACAGAAAAGTAAGTTATACGTATACGTAGGCAATATTCTCCCATCATGTGAAGGTGAGGATGACCAGTAAATGCAAATAGTACAACAATGCATTAAAACAAAATGGAATTTAGTTGTGGTTTTAAAAAAAATAAAATTCCCTTCCTTAAGATTTGTGATACAGGTAAATAATTCTGTAGCTCACCTGACCACAAACAGCCGACTGTAATTGTGTACAAAGTCTTGATTTAGTAAACGTTTGAGTCCTGCTGTCAAGAACTTAGCATTGTTGAGGTCAATGTCAGTAAAGGTGCTTCTCTCTGCTGTTGGAACATTGAACGCTTGAATATTGCATTTATGTGAGGCGTCAATATTCAAGCAATATAACATTATGTCCTGACTCCTGTTGTTTACATTTTAGGTAATTTTTTTTTCTAGATATTCATAAATAATCATAATATATTATATGCAGAAACATGTAAAATTTAAGGATGGTTGAAGTTCGGTACATAGAAACAGGTGTACTGCATTGTACTAAAATAGAATCACTTGAAGATTCGCCTCCCAGCTTATTTCACCTGATAATCAAACACCTCAGTGCTACCTGGAAGGCTTTGGATAGGTTTGATTAGGTTAGGCTAGCAGTAGGTTATGTTCGGCCAAGTAAGTTAGGATATATACTGTATTAGATTAAGTTAAGGTAGTGTTAGGTTAGGATACATTACGTTAGTTTAGGTTAGACAAGGTTATGTTAGATTAAGTTAGCATTAGGATGGTTAATCTTAAGGTGAAGCAAAATATCAACCTGAGTTTCTTTGAGAATCATTGATGTCCATAAGCTCTTGACCATCCAGCAGTGTCTGGAGCAGCTGTGTCACTCCCTCTGACAAAACCAACACCACCTTCATGGAGAACTTAGCAGACATCTTCTCCAACAGCCACCAATTAGGGTCTGCCATTTTCTCAGTATCCTCCTTCTCAAAGATGTCGTACACCTGGAAAAAAAGAAATATGATTCAGGAACAATCTACAGCATATTTATCTTCTCTCTATAAACATCAAATTACCCACTCTGCCTATTTCATAAACTTCAAAACAACTCTGTACAACACCTGTCTACTATATATACGTGTCCCTCTCATAATGACTAAAGGTAATTATTATTTACCTTGCAACGAAGATGTTTTCTGAGGTGCACGATGAACTGGGATACAGTATTAAGGTGGACGAGGTTATCAGGGGAGTACATCACCAGCACTGAGGACTTCTTGCCTACTCCCTCCCTCCTTAGAGTATATTTTTCTTCAGTTCCTGGAGATGTGTTAATTATTGTGTGAGTGCAAAATTTATTCATGCCATGTGTGTGTTTATTTGTACTGTATACTTATGCATGTATTTAGGTGTATGCTCATAGGTATATGCACATGCTCATGTAAAAGAATGAGAGGAGGTTACTCACTTGTAGCAAGGATCACACGCCACCACTTCTTGACGACAACCACTGCTACTATTACTACTACTACTGCAGTCACTCCCGCCACCACTAAGAACACGTGAAGTACACTTGACACCCCGGCCATTGGATGGAAGAACAAGAGAATAACAGCCATGGACTAAAGAAAATTGTCATACTGTACAACTATACACATGACTGTAGCATTTAGATACGTCAGAAAACAAAGTGCAATTCTGTACACACTAAACCTTACTTGATAGAAGACTTGCTTGTGCTCCTGTGGAGAAGTAGAGGCAGGGCCACGAGGATGACAACCTGAAGGGTGTGTGAAACCCCCCCCAGTCAGCAGAGGGCAGTCACTGTGACTATTTGGAAGTATCTTTGAGAAAATATTTGAAGTTACAAACAGATTAAGCTGATAAGGGTTAAATAAGTTACTCCACACAAAATGTGCCAGATACAACACTAAATCAAACTGGGATAAAACACTTCATTTTGCCTCACTAAATTATCTACTTAACTTACCTGTGTCTTCTAATCGATTATGAAGTTTAGAAATTGTAAAGCTTTATATCTTTCTAATTTCTTCAAGCATGTACACTAAGGTAGTCCATACTCAAGTCAAGTAATATTCCCTCCTGTTTAAGTTAATGTTGCTGTTTGTATATATTTCTGTGCCTTGACTTATAATGGTCTTCATACACATATTTTCAGTACTCTTTGTAGGTACATATGTTACAACCAGCGTGTCAAATCAGGCAACCTTTCAGATACCTAGCTGAATAGCCCAATCTAACCTAAACACAATTTGAAATGGATCATTTTCCTGGGTATTTTACAGGTTGCCTGATTTGACACACTGGTTATAATATACAGTGTATACTGAACAAAAAATGACAAATTATAAGACTAAATTGGTGATGTATGTCTAAAGGAAGGTGCTTCTCTCCCTCTACCATCAGGATCACTAATTTTCTTTCAATAAAGTAATTTAAGAACTTTCTTCCAAAATCTCTTATTGCATAAAAGTTCTTCCAACGTGTAGGTCATTCTGTTATACAGTACTATACACTGTAGCTTCCTGAAACTTACCTGATACACTGTTCTCACTCAACAGGAGAGATATTGAAGACTTTAAAAAGAATTGTTGAGATGCAAAAAGTTGAAGTGAGAGAGAGAGTAAGAGACCAAAAGAATTAATAATATTGTACACATGCTGAGGTAAGGTCTCAGTAATTCATTAAACATAACATAAAACATGTTGGTGCTCACCTCGAAGTAGTAACACTTGTCAGGGAGGAAATCTTCTTTCACTTCCAGGAAGGTATTGTTCCCTATACTATCCATTTTCTTCTTAACATTACACAGGCCTTTTTTGCAGTTATCCTCCAAGACACACTCACATATTCTCAACTGCCAAGACCTTATACGTTCATCTTGACTAATGGTAAGTTGCATACCTGTGGTACTGAAAGGCCAGACCTTAATTATCCTCACTTCTGTAGTTAAGCAGAAACTAAAATACAGGGACAACCTAAAGACTAGCTCCCAGCTTATTTCACCCGAATGCTTCCTGGGGGATTTGGTTAGATTAGGTAAGCATTAGGGTAGTTAATCTCAAGGTGAAATAAGCTGGGGACAATCTTCAGGTGATAAAAAAAAAAAAAAAAACCACTGATCACATACAGTATTCTTATAAACTGCTAAACAATATGTGTGTGTTTTTTTAATGATATCCAAATACTGTACATCTTTTTTCCTAACTAATACTTAAAAATGACTAAAATAATTTGGTAAAAATAGTTTGAGAAATAGACCCCCTCATTTCATTTTGGTTGATTTCAGGGGCATCAACATCAATCCATATTGCCCTCGAACTAACCAGTGACCCTAAAGACAGGACGCAAGCATTGTATCCACTCAGCTGCCACACCCCATAATACATCACCAGCAGAGGGAAATAATTAAAGTATAACACACAAGACCCCAGTAGTGACAAAATACAATATGAAACATACTTGAAAAACACAAAATAAACCATGGGACTGATATCATCATCCAAGGCCGAAATATTCCTTGACAGTGCGTGTTCCACTTTCAACCTCTGGCAGGTCTTAATAGGACACACATACCCCTCAAGCTGAAAAACACAATGGATAAGTGATAACTAAGGCAGTCTAGCAACCAAGCAGATCAAGTATAGAGAAAACAAGATGTGATGAAATACAATTATATACTGTATAAACATGAAAGCAATCCTCAAGATAACAAAAACACTGTACATGGAATGACTAGATTAAATTAAATTAAACTGTATATAAACAAGAGTGAAAATACATTATACAGTATTTCTAAAATTGTTACATAAGACTGGCATGTGTCAAGGAGTGTTAAGTGAGAGAAAAGGAAAAAAGAAGCAATATTGTTGTTTGTCAAATTACCTAATAAGACGACAATAAAAAGTAGTAGTAGATCAAAATGTATTTATTAACACATTGTAAGTTATCATAGTCCAGATTACAGTATAATCTAATGTTCTTTACAAATTTTCTTTAGATAAATGTACAGTATTGATCAAGTGTCTTTCAAGTGAGCTGCAGCATTGGAAAAGTTCAGCCAAGTCAATATTGTTCTTGTTGCTGTGGTTCACTTTATATTGTATATGTGTTATTCTAGCTAAATAAACTGTTTCACTTCAGTTACCATCACAGTGTTTTAAAGTTTAGACCAGGTTAGGTTAGAATCATTTATGCTATGGTGTGTTAGATTGGTTTAGTCTTGTTTAGATTAGTTATGATTGTTTTAAGTTAATTAGGATGGCTGCATTTAATTTAGATTAGGATAGGTTACCTTACTTTAGGTTAGGTTAATTTCAGTTTGTTTAATCTAGGTTAGGTCATGCTAGTTTAGAGTAAATTAGGTTAGCATAGGTTAGCTTCAGTCAATTTAAATTAGGTTAGGTTATTAAGTTAGATTAAGTTACCGTAGGTTATGTTAGTTTCAGTTAGTTTAATTTAGGATAGGTCATGTTAGTTTAGTTTAGGTGAGGTTATGTTAGGCTAGGTTAAATAATTGTAATCCAGGCTAATGAATTATTACCTCTGTTATTTCAATCCTTGCCAGCTCTTCATCTTCATCCGTACATTTCACCAGTTTCCCGATCCATTTCTTCTTCTCTGCAACATGAACCAAGAAATGATAACAATGCAAATGAAATGCTCTATTCATTATTACATAGTGAATTGGTAGATAAAATAAGGCAACCACAAGAGCAATAATTAAGTAGACTCATCAGTGGAGAACAAAATTAGTGAGGGCCATTAACTATGTAGTGTACATTACATTATAAAGAATTCATGTACAATGTTTCTTTAAAATGAATCAATACTGTAGAACTCTAGTTATGTGCAGACTCAATATGTTTACACACAGATGTATGAATGAATGATAAAAGTTGTTCCCATAGCCCTGACGAACCATGAGGGGCTGTGTGGAAACAGACACAGGACACTGAATGTGACTGAATACAAAGCAATTTTTTTGGGGGGTATATAAAGAGGCAGTGTGGCCGGCAGTGCACTCGTTGCTTGAAGGTGTTTCAAGGAACTGAATTCTTAAAGAAGAAATAAAGCAGATCTTAATGAAAAATGTAACACACACACGCACGCATGCACGCACACACAAACAGCTTAACTTACCTAGAGAACACTCAGAGTCATTTAAGACATGTAGCTTGTATTTGAAATATGGATGGGTGGCATTGCCGTCAGTGATGTTGATATCTTGTACACAAGACTTCTCTGATGGTGAAGAATAAGCAGGTGAGACTTATACCACAGTAACAAGACATAAGATCATACTATAGTGTTTCTAACCCAGTAGCATAGTGAGGGGGTACATGTGGCTATAGCCAAAAACATCTTTTTTCTCATTACTAGGTAACATATACAGTATATTGTAACTACTTTAGCACTTCCAGATAATCAGAGTAATACCAAAAATCAGCATAAAAAGTACAGAAGATGAGTAGTTCAGTGTTCCACAACAAATGGACTTTTTCCAAGTGTCAGTTGAACAAGAATTACTAAAATTCAAATCTATGACTTTAAATATTTACTCAGTGTGATGAGGAGTGCCTTCACTATTTTGACATTTTGAACAATACCCAAATTTAAAAAAAATTGGCCAGAACAGTAAGGGTACATGATTACCCAAACTTCTGGCATGCTGAGATTAAGACATGTCACATTATAATAAGTAAAACATTAATTCTTAGCAGTTTAAAATGAGATTAGTTAAAAATCTTGTTCCATTTTATGACAACACCAGTCATGAAAACCTTGTTACTGAAGTGCAGTACAGTAAGACATTATAATAACACCAAAAGTGAAAGATAATTATCAGGGAAAACTACTGGTAATTCTTATCTCGAAGTTTCCCGGAACTCTTCCTTCCTGTCACATCTTTGCATCCTCCCACCATAAACATCTCCTCATAAAACTCTGCCTCAGTAACACCATATAAAAAGAAAGTATAGAACTAATGCCTCAAAACTTGGAGACAGGAGCTAAATACCTTCTGACAACTATAAGATGTGACTCAGATATGTGATGAGGAGATGCTATCAAACTATATTGTCATTATTTTCAAGTGGGTATAGTACACTGTATACTAAGTCCTCGGTGCATAGGGATACAGAAAATCCTCGGTACATAAGGGATTAACTGAAAACAAGGAAATATTAAAGTACTCATTCTCCCAAAAGCTATCTTTTAGTCCTATGTTTAAATGATAAACAGCATGTAACTAGAAGATAAACTTGTTTAAACAATAATAATAATAATAATAATAATAATAATAATAATACAGTACAGTAATAATGATCACAATACTAATACTACTACTACTACTACTACTAATAATAATAATACAGTACAGTAAAGTACAGTAGTAGAGTACTGTACAGTACAATAATATCTATATTTACTGACACCAGTAAGCAACAACTTACTTAAATCATGTTGTTTGGTCAGGAGGGGCCAAGTGGTGCACAGCAATATCAAGTACAACAACCGTGATATCTGCATTGTCTTCCACGACCGTCACCTGTGGAAAAACAATCATAACACATATTCAACTCCATAATTTTGGATCACCTGAAAATAAACACTCAAGCTTATTTCACCCAAACACTAACCTAACCCACCTCTCGGGTAATGCTAGAGTGTTCATTCATCAGGTGAAATGTGTTGGGGCTAATCTTCAGATGTTCTATAATTTATTTATTTGCATTTCAACAAACTACCTGATTATTTGATTCAAAGAAGAATATTATCAAATATTTACAAGAGGGTAAAAATAACAAAGCTGAAGTGGATCAACAATAGTATGGTGGAGATTTAGTACAAGATATTCCACACTGGAATCATAATGCACTTCAATAACACAGTTCTAAGCATCTAACAAAAATTTGAGCCGAGTTCCCTCATTTCATGCACATTTAGCTTTCTCCATTTTACACAAGACACCTCAAAATGTTCTCTTAGCAGCAGATGTATCTTTTAATTTCCATTTATTTATAACTTGTACAGTGCATATATTATTTACTAATTTATAATACAACCTTAAAGTTCTGTTTTGGATTTATTTGATACAGGTACCTTTATTTTGGATTCAACAAAGAGGATTAATAGTACACACAGGTGCAGTGAAAATTCAATAAAAAGATTTCTCTTACCATGTAATCCATTAGATAGAAGTTTCACATCTAACTGACCCTTAATTGAATGGACTTTCCTCTCAATATATTCCATTAAATAGAGGTCTCACTTTATGATACTAGTTGCTCTATCCGAAGAAAATACTGTACTGTATATATATAAAAAAGAATTCTATTTCAGACTGTCAAAATATTGGTACTCATACAATTGCTTAATGTGTCATTAACTATATGTATTAAGAATGATTTATCTAATGTAAGAATTTAAAAGTCACAAGTTGGGGTACTTTATATAGTTCATGACGACAATTACAGGCGCTGCTCACTGGGCAATGAAACTTAATTACAAGGCATCACACTAATGCACTAAGCCTTTACAGCAGGTGTACAGACATGACATGCAGGTACAGCATTTCTTTATAGCCTACCTGATGATGACCACTCAAGGTAGGTTACTCGTCCTGTAAGTCACGGGTTAAACTGGTAAAATGAGTCCCAGTTTTCACAATTTCATCCTATTATATATAAACAAGGAATAAGTTGATAATTCCCACATTTCATAAGAACACAAAGGAACTTCATGAATTTGGTTTTAGAATCAAGAAATATTCAAGTAATTTTACCTTATACATACACAGTGGGGATGCTGTTGTAAGCAGGGTTGTTTTGAGCATATTTGTGTGTTCAAACAATGAAAATCTTAGAGCATATAACCTGCAATAAGTCATACAATAGACAACAACTGCTGTATACTTTATCTTTCCACTCGTCAGCTTTTAAGCCAGTCGGGTGTGATGTATCTTCCTTAGTTTCTGAAAGTGTAAGTCACCTCGTATACGACAGATGACTGAGAAGGAATTAGGTAATGCCTGAATTTATACCCAAGCATCTCACAACTTCCTTCCTCATTGATAACACAGGAAATATTTCTTCATAATTTTGAATAAAAAGATGAAGAGGATTTTATGCCCCAGAGCTACTGACAATAATATTGTGTTACAGTATTTTCTATTTCTACAATCATCTTTAAATCAGTGTTGTTATATTTATCTCTATGCTAATGTTTATACCCATATACCGTACACTTACACCACACACTCATGCACAAAATGCTTGTACAGTATACATGAATACTGTATACACATACAGCATTTACAAAATTTACTTACACATATACACTGTATATATAACATACATATAACATGAATGCATACTGTATACATAAACATATCCATACATAAAAAAACTGAAACACACCCACACATTAAATATGCAACAATTGTTTCCATTAATTTTCCAATACCTGTACTTCCTGTTAAACTTGACAATAATTTGAGATTAGTGAATCATTCCCAATTTCAGAATTAGTTCAGTACTGTACTTGACAGTATTACATTAGCTTTCCTCCAGGATTTTGGTTCAGTGCCCATTTTAGTGTCTTCTCAAATTAATCTGCTAATGAACTACAGTGTACTGTACTAAGGTCTTCCTTGCATTCCTTACGATTCTAACAAATATCTCATTAGGATCTCACAGTGGTACAAACTTTCTGAAGATGTGAGGTGACCAAAATTGTTTCAAAATGTTCCTATATGACATATTTTCCTTTACATAAAATTGCTTACACTAAATAGATAAAAAGGATTTCCCTAAAAATTAGACTAACTTATCCAGTAAAAAACATTATTTATTGCGATTTTCATTTCTTTACAAACGAAGCCCAGATATTCTGCAATAAACAAATCAATTTGTATCAATAAACAGTGATTTACATTACTAATAGTTTATTAACTCTGTACAGATACTGTACAAAAAAGCTATTTCTTCAAACCTCTCTCTCTCCATCTTTCATCACGATAAGGATTTCTACTTCCTGTGCCTCTCTTCCTCTTCAACATTTGATGACTACGAGAGCTTAATTTTCTTTTTTCTTTATTCGCCCTAACTGCCCGAGTCTTGTACAAATGCCTAAGCTGAGGTTGAACTTCCGCGAACTCACTACGAACTTCCTCGGTGAGTGACTGAACCATCCAGCTTATAGCAGCTGCAAATGAAAAGTGTATATGGATGTGAATGACAGGTTTATAAAATTGGAAGGTCAATATCAAATATACAAACATATATGAAATAACCAGTTACCAAGTAGCTATGTGAGGAATATAATATGACTATGCAAGCACACACATATATCTATTTGGTGACATCTGCATTTTTTTAGGTATAGTATTCAGTAAGATACCTCAAACTAAAGTATTTCAGTAATTCAAGACTTAAAGACTTAATCAATATTCTCAATGCATAGAAAGGTACAGTACCGTACATGTACTAAAGTTTAATAATCATCATTGCTTGTTCCATTATCTTTGTTGAGTGAAATCTATACACAGTACAGTCTTTAAGGATTCACCATAGTAACTAAGCAACTGTCTTGTAACAACTTATTTTGGTAAGGCATATCATAAATATTTAATAATCACCATACTTCTGATCCTACCCTTAACTTATATCTAAAAAGTTTTGTCATTATTACCAAGTAATCACATTGCTTTTCATCAAACACTTAATATATATCTAGCATGATGTTATACACAGTTTTGAACACTGTACAGTACTTGAAATCCCATTTATCGTACATAACTTTTCTTAACACGCCACCCCATGAATTAGAATGCATATGCCACTACCCTAAGGGCCAGTCACTGACCATATGTTGCAACTGCCTCAAGCAAACCGCAACAATGTAAAGAATGTTGAAATTAGTACTCTGTAATGAGAATACAAACTGCCTATTAAGCTGCCAAAAATATCTATAACTATAATAAGTTGAAGTTAGTGTAATTATTGGTATTATAGACACCAAAAACCATAAATCCACTTGAATTATGAATTCCAAGTCAAGCAACCTTATTCTCAGCAGGTTACATAACATCATAAACTGTTAAGTTTTAAAAGTAACAACTTTGCAAAATTAATACAGTATACATGTTGTATGCAATACCATGTGAAAGGCACATGACAAGTAATAGTTATATTATATTATGAGATCTTATAAGTTCCATCAACAAACCTTCAATCTTTTCATCATAGGGTTGTATGAAGAATGGTTTTTTCTTTGTGTGTTGTTGTGCAGTGATGAGTTTAGATGGTGCAACTATAGGTGCAATCACTTCTTCCTCACTCTCGATCTCCTCTCTTGCTAAAATCAATGACACAATTCAAATATTATTTTCATATATTGGTTTGGAATTCTAAAAATATTTACTGCTTTTAATAATTCTGACTGTCCTCAAACTACATAACTAACAGTACACAGTATCTGAAATCAACCAAGATTCGCGATACATAAATGGAATCAGGCATCCCTATTCCAACCCCCAGAAGAGCTAGTGATTAATGAGCTACTAATGGCATCAACTATGTCTAGAGAAAAAAAACTACCATTACAAATTCTATAGAGGTTATTTTCTGTTTATGAACCTTACACAAGTTCTGGTCAGTTATACATATATTCCTTGTAAATGCAGATGGAAACTTCCTACACTTAACACTTACTTTTTAAAGACAGTTTCAATAGATTACCCATGCTGTATATATTCCAATGAATTAATTTATTTAAAGATTATTATGTTAAAATCTTGTAAAATACATTCTGATGGAAGTGAAATATACAGGCGTAAATGCAAAAAACTATTGGTTTAAGTGTAAAAATATAACGGTGTAAATGTAAAAATGTACTGGTGTAATTGTAAAATTAAACTGGTATGAGTAAAAAAAAGTGAGATACAGTAATTCTATTAACTTACTTTCTTTCCTTTGTTCAGAAAATTGTGCCAGTAAGCTGAATCCTGAAGAACTTTGACCAAAGGTGAGATCTTTAGCTACCTTCACATACTTGCTCTCCCCACTTGGATCCGACTTCTCACTTCCTTTCACCTGACAGTTTGAATCAGATACAGCAATTCAACATTTCTACAATATAAGGTACAGTATAGGTTTGCTAAGGTGGTGTGGATATATTGAGGGAACGGGAAGCAAAAGATTGGAATTAAATGACCATGGCTTCCATTTCGAAGTACAGTACTGTACATGTGTAAATTTTACTGTATCAAAACGAAGGTAGGATACCACTGGATAAATCCTGCTGAAAATTTATACTGTACTTACATTTTTGGTTGGTGGCAAGGTATGTGTGCAAAGTTAGTTAAATTCTTCTGGAAGGATGATATATATTTGGAAGCTATAAATAATTACACTGTATTCTTTAGGTAAAAGAAGCCATCCAGCAGCTCAGGACAAAATAAACTTAAACCCAGCATCTGTGTATTGTCACAACCAGGACTTGTGGCAACATAAACCATCAGTTTCCAAACTTGTTTTCACTCACGCTCAATACATCCTAATCATCTGACTACAGTACAGTAATTCCTGAAATTCACAATAATCAACCTTACACTCAAATTCAGTAAATATCAATACATCACATAATACTCCACATTTATTCATAGAATACTACAGCATATATACTGTATATTATACAGTACAGTATACTGAATATCAAACAAGAAAGATCCCACTGCAAGAGTACAGTATGTCGGCAAACAACTCTGTGCAAGTCGACAAGAGCAATGATAAATACTGTACAGTAGAAGGGTGTGCCCTGAAAATCCTTTCTGGGACAATGTATTACCTAGAGTAAATGGCCTTCGACTAAACCCCAGTAGTAAAAGGCTAATTTGATAGGGATGGGTAAATCAGTCTTCCATAATACAGGACGAGTCACTATGAAAATTACCTAATTACGGTACTGTAATCACACTGAACAAACACGTTCCAGTCAGTTGGCTTTCAAATCCCATAAAGAATTCTACTAAATTCAACAACTGAACATAATGGAGCATGTGATATACCATAAGACAATTTTATTCATTTCTGAGACAAGTTACAGAAATTATTAAATCCCATTGAATAGTGCTAAGAGGATTTAATATTAATATTATACAAAATATTCTCACCTCCTGCTTCTGTGATGATGGCTGTACAGATATTCTAAACTGCTGGTGGCTAGTCAGTGTCGGGTCATATCTTGTGATAGGCTTAATTGCTGGTGCAGATCCTTCAATCCTGCAAAACAGTGAACATATATTTCTTATAACTATTTTTAAAATCTAGAAAGTTGATAACTACAAAAATATTTTCCCTCACAAGAAAATTATCAATGCGTGACTGATTCTAAAATCCCATTTTATAACACGCATTTCCGAACACAACTAATGAACCTGCCTGCTTGTATACACAGGAGCAACCTGTAGTCCCATCTATGAATTTGAAAGGATAACTAGGGTTTACAATCCAGGACCCTTGGCTATAATTTCAAAGTCAGACATAAAAATATAATATTTATTCTGTAAATGTTTCCATGATCATGAAAATGGAATTGAGAAGAAATTGTTGAAGACTTACTTTGATTTAGTGGAACCTCTGCCTGGGCCCTCTAAATTAGCCAGAATCTTTAACTGTGCTTGTTGCTCATCTCTGACGTCACTAAAATCTTGCACAATATCTGCATCATCATCATCATCAATTGTAGCATCACTGTCATTATCGTCTCCTACACCATTAATCTGGAGCAAAAACTTATTGTAAATGTTCACAATTTCATTATTAACAACAATAATTAAAAAGAAAGAAAAAGTTACCAGAATTACATATCTTCCATATAAGGGAAGCAATATTTAAGTATTTTTTCTAATCATGTTTCAGTTTCCTATTTACTGTCAATGCATTCTTCAGGCAAAGAAAAGATTGAAAACAGCTCACTTTTTTGCTCTTTGGTGTCTTGTGCACTGTGGCTGACATTACTGATGATACCTTGGCAGGTTTCTGGTTAGTGTGGATGCCTTGATCACCACCATTACCCATAACATCACCAACATGTACACCATCTGCTTCCCCGTCATCAGTGTTCTCAGAGTCTGAGTCGGCCCATACAGAGCTAAACTTCTTAAAGCTTGACATCATTTTCTCTTCAGATTTATTTTTCTTTTTTGACTTATATTCTGCTATAGCTGGTGGTTCAGTTTCAAAACTTTCTTCTTCACGTTCTCTCTTCTTCTTTTTCTCTCTCGAGCTTTCACTCATCTTCCCTACGTATTCAGTCACTGATGTTTCATCTTCAATACTTCCATTATTTAAACTTTTTTCTTTTTTCTTTTTCTTCTTTTTATCCAGATGTGTGTTGTCCTCTGCCTCAGAATCTTTTTGTGGTCTCTTACTATCTGTTTCCCCATCATTTTCTTTCACTGCTTTTGGAGACTTGACAGTTGATACTACCGGTAGTTTGTCTATCTTTTCTGAATGTGTAGGTGGTTGTTGTTGTGAGGCCGCTCTCTCTCTGTTGAGGCGATCCAGGAAACTTTCTTTTGCAATCTCCACTCTGAGGCGAGAACCTTGCCATGAGGCTCCATTTAGATGGTTTATACCTGCAAGCAAACAAAAAAAAATTTAAAATCAATCTAGTCAGGGTAAATTTTTAGAAACTGATTTGCTAAACACCTAAGTTTTACTCTTTTTTTTTTAAGGAAATTTGGCTGATGTAGGTAAAAAGTAGAAACATAATATATAACTAGACATTAATGACGAAGAAAAATATGTGATTGAGTGAAAAATATTTGATGAGCAAGGGACAGATGCTACAGAAACAAGTTTACTTACATTCCTCAATCTGGGACTGTGGTGCCTCTAGGTTAACATAGGAAAATCTAAACACTACATTTCCATCAAAATCAGTTTTCTCCTTAATTTCAATGCCAGACACAGACCCATAATGCGACAATCTTGACCCTAGTGCATCTCTGTCCACCTTCTCATTCAGTCCTCCAACAAACAGACGTGCTTTTGACATTGTAGTCGTCCACCTGAAAGCCAAATAGATAATCAGTAAGACCAGTTCTAACAAGGGTTATTAACAAATCACACTCTCCCTCCCAGTTACAGCTCAGTGTCAGTAAAGGAAGGTTCATGTGAAAAGTACTCTAGCTATTTTTTAGATTTTTTTATTTTTTTTATTTTTATTTTTATTTTTTTCAAATTCAGAGAAAATATTGGAGGTGGGGGAGGGAAATGAAATGTTCTGGAATGTAACTTGGCAACGAACGACCCCATCAAGAAAACATGTCAATATCCCCCTTTGTTTACCATCTAGAAGTAAAAATATCAAACCATTGACTGAATATTTTTTCCAGTGTGTACAGTATGTTCATTAAGTGTAATAAATTGCAGTGATGACAGCATAATATCTGACACCAACCCTGCTCCCCATGTAAGGCACACAGGCTAGCTGATGGTGATAGCATAACAGCTAACAGTACATGTTAAAAAAAAATTACTGACATACGAATAAGAACATAAGGGGTCTGCAATAGGCAGGTTGGCCTGAGCATGGCAGCTCCTGTCGAGAGTTATTACCACTCTCTATCATCCATGAATCTATCTAGCCTCCTTTTATAACTTTCCAGCATTGCAGTACTTACTACAAAGTTACTAAGCTTGTTCCACTCGTCCACCACCCTATTTGTGAACCAGTTCCTTCCTATCTCCCTCCTAAACCTAAACTTATCCAACTTAAATCCGTTGCTCCGAGTCCTATCCTGCTCGGATATTATAAGAACTTTATCTATACATGTATCTCCTTTAATGATTCCTTTCTCCCACATAAATACTTCTATCATATCTCCCCGCACTCTTTGTCTTTCTAGGGAATGCAAGTTTAGTTTCTTTAACCTATCTTGATATGGAAGGTTTCTAAGTCCCGGAATCATTTTCATCATTCATCGCTGCACCGACTCTGATATCCATTCTATAATAAGGGCACCAGAACTGAACCGCATAATCGAGGTGCGGCCTGACTAGCGCAAGATATAGTTGCAATAAGACCTCTGCACTCTTATTACTTACACTTCTAGATATAAAACCCAATACTGTACTCTGTTTGCCTTTTTTTGAAACATTTACGCACTGTTTTCTAGGCCGTAGGTCCAGACTTACAAGTACCCCTAAGTCTCTTTCACAAGTCGACTTCTCTAGGTTGATGTTGTTAAGGCTGTATACATTGACAGTATTTGTTCTTCCAATATTAAGTATGCTGCACTTGCTGGTGTTGAATTTCATTTGCCATTTTTCTGACCACTCCTGTAGTTTATTTAAATCCTCCTGTAGTGCATTTGCATCCTGCCCTGAATTACTCTCCCGCCCAATTTTGGTGTCATCCGCAAACTTGCTTATGTCACTGCTGATCCCAGTATCTAGATCGTTTTTGTAGATTACGAACAAGAGTGGGCCCAGTACTGACTCCTGGGGAACCCCACTGGTTACACAGCCCCACTCTTACAGTCAGAGAGTACATGTAGATACCGGTATCTAGTCGAAGCACATTTAGATGGCATACAGAATTATGCATAAGATATTCAAAATAAAGACAGTACCCTTGGAAATTACCCCTAGGGTAAAGTTACCATTGATCCAGACACTAGATTCCTCTTGGACAACTGTTTTTTACATTTTTTTTTTTTTTTTTTACAAGCAGACAACCAACGAACCTAACACAACAGGTTAAGTTACGTTACGTTTCGTTGTTATGTTAGATATGTTAGGTTAGTTTAGGGGGTCCGACTAATTACCCAAATGTACCCAAATGTAGCCAAATATAGCCGGAATGAAGTCAAATAATGGTCCTAGATGAATAAATCGGACTGCCAATCACTTCTCGACTAGTATTTGGTGTCAGAAAGTCACAAAAAATTGGAAAACTTACTTTAATCTGAGTTAATAGATCGCGTGCATGTACCGACATAGCGAGGAATTACCCAAATGTACCCAAATGTAGTCGCAATGAAGTCAAATAATGGTCCTAGATGAATAAATCGGACTGCCAATCACTTCTCGACTAGTATTTGGTGTCACAAAGTCACAAAAAATTGGTAAACTTAATTTAATCTGAGTTAAAAGATCGAGTGCATGTACCTAACCTAACCTAACCTAACCTCGACTAGTATTTGGTGTCACGAAGTCACAAAAAGTTGGTAAACTTAATTTAATCTGAGTTAATAGATCAAGTGCATGTACCTAATCTAACCTAACCTAACCCAACACAACTCAGATTAAATTAAGTTTACCAATTTTTTTTTTACTTTATGACACCAAATAATAATCGTGAAGTGATTCACAGCCCGAATTACGCTTGTACGACCATCATTTGACTTCATTGCGGCTACATTTGGGTACATTTGGGTAATTCCTCGCTCCGTCGGTACATGCACGCGATCTATTAACTCAGATTAAAGTAAGTTTTCCAATTGTTTGTGACTTTCTGACACCAAATACTAGTCGAGAAGTGATTGGCAGTCCGATTTATTCATCTAGGACCATTATTTGACTTCATTCCGGCTATATTTGGGTACATTTGGGTAATTAGTCGGACCGTAGTTTAGGTGCTTTTTGGTTGTTGAGCAACGTGTTGCTCAACAAAAAATCCACCGTTGTCCACTTGCAAAAATTTACCCAGTTTTTTTATGTGTTTCACTAAGCTAACCTGTCTTAGTGGTATGGCTAAAAAATAACATAAAACAGTCGATCACCCAGAAGGGAATAATCCAAGTGGGGAGACACTATTTCCTCACCTATGTGTATTTTCTCAAACTAAAAGACAGTAGTTTAGTAATTGTCCCTGTTTAAGTTATAAATACTTTTATCCAACATCATACTCAAGATTAAAACGAACTTACAAGTCAAAATATAGTGAATTTGTTGTGTCTCACATGAAGGTTGTCACACGTGAGGTCCGCTTGTTGTGGTGGTGCGGCAAGTCCTTAAGCACACTTTAATACGTGCTAATAATACAACTTTGCGATAAATTACAAACTATTATTTAATTTTACAATTAAAATATGAAAATAATTATAAAATATTTCTTATAATTATTTAATATCCCTTATACTAGTGTTTTATTGCATTATATTCCAAGGCTTGATATTTGTACAGTCAGTGTTTACAGTTTGAACCTACACACGACATCACTGCTTCTGTCTGAGTTCATTAAGTCTTGACCTCATAGCTTGAGATATAGTCTCTCTACATCAGAACTAGGTAAAGGAATTTTGAGGTCGGGTAGTGAAGAATTTGTATTCTTAATTAGATATAAAGAAAAATGTATTTCTTTGATAACTTGAGCCCGATGTTTCATTTAGTTAAAAAAAAAATATTTTGAAATGATTTCTCCAGAGATAATAGTGATCTGAACAGGTATATTTCCTGGAACACTTGTGTAGGTAACCACCAACTTTGGAATATTTTTCAATTGAAAACAACCTTTTTCTTACCCCCAAGAAAATCCCAATAGAAGACAAGGAATTAAGATTTGTTATTATTATTTTGGCAATTGTTGTTGTCCTGAGCACTAATCTAGGTAATTTTTCGTTAACCACCCATCAACTTTTTTAAGATTTTTTCTCTTGCCATTTAATAAATCTCTTCGACAAACAAAAGAATTTACATGAATTTAGTTGGGCATTCCAAAAAATAAACGTGATATTCACGATTTATTTGTTGTAATAATAAAAAAAATTGTTAAGTCCCAATTTGATGTTATGATGGCAAGCAACATCACTCTCGTTTATTCATTTGTGTGGGGCGAAACCCCCCGGCTAAGTAGGACACGGCCTGTTAGGTTAGGTAAGGTTAGTACGTAGACCTAGTTTTGTTTTAATTTTTTTCCCATGAAAAATAAATTTTTTCGATAGTTTTCTTGGTGTTATAGATGATTCTGAAAATTTTTGGAGGTGAAAATCACTCGTTTTCAGCCCCCCCTCCCCCCCCAGCCAAAACCCTGCATTTCCAATGTGGACCCTTACATTGTTGGGGTGGGAATAACTAAAAAAAAAGTGATTTGCCCCAAAGATAAATGTCAGTCATATAAAACAGCAAGAAAACAAAACAGTGATGGGTGGTTAACGAAAAATTACCCTAATCTATGTTAATTTGCATCCCTTTGGCTACACCATTTACATTACAGTATTCACATGACAGTTTCATAAACAGGACCACTTCCCAGTGAGCTTTCCATACACACGAGCAATTCCGTTTCTGGTTATTTGATATATTGGAGAAAAGATGAACCTACCTATCCCAGGATGGAAGAACTGGTATATAGTTTTTGGTTAGTTTAGGTTAGGTTAAGTAAGGTATGGAAAGGTCGTTGGGAAGCGATCAATCGTATAGCATTCGGGCATTTGTAGGGCAAGTGTTTGTCAACAGATTAAAAGTTGTAAATGATGGTGGTTATACAGGGTGGATACAAGTCCATTATTTATGAAAGATTGGAAAAAAATTAATGAAAATTGCAGCTCCTCATCATTTGATGGGAATTTGTTGAGGTAAGAAAGTTGTCGTCTTGAATAGAAAGACTATATTCTAAAGTTGCTGTTTACCTGCACACGCGTTCCACAGTATTATCCCCCCAACACCAAAAAAATAAAAAAATGCACAATGATATAATATTTATACCTTTTTTTCCAGGTATTGCTTCAACCTATAAGTCATTGTGCCAGAAGCAATAATGAGTCGTCGACAGACCCCAAATGAATTCCTTCAGCAGATCATCGGCCGACCTGTTGTGGTTAAACTCAACTCTGGTGTAGATTATCGAGGTACAGTAATTTAGTCACATCTTACTGGAATTTTGTTTTGGTGTCTGCCATACTTTTTACTGATTTATCTTCAAGAATGTTGACTTATTCTCATCCACTGGTGTTCATATATACTACTCATTTAGCTACAGTACTTAATATTTGAATTAATTTTTAACAACCTATACAGTACTATATCATCATCTTTATGCTCTGGTGCATTTATTAATACTGTATAGTTTCAATGTTATACTTAACGGGTACCTAAACACTGTACAGTACTATACATTAGTAACAACATTCAGTGAGTACACGACAAACTTCATTTAAGATTTTTTGGATATTATATACTTTCTAGATGTACAGGGAGTATGTAATAACAGACAATGTTATTATTATAGATAATGTACATTTTTGTGATTCCAGTTTGTATCAACAACTCAATAAATTGGTTCCTAATATTAGAAGCCATTTTATAACCGCTATATATTGTGTAGAATGCATTTAATATTTAATGTATACGAAAGCCTAGAGCTAGACTAACCAGATAATATTAGGGTGTTTAAACATCAGGTGTGATCCATAAACAAAATATTGCATTTCTGTAATTTTCCAGAAAAAAACAAAAAACAAAAAATTCTGATCTTATAGGTGTACTGGCATGTTTAGATGGCTACATGAACATTGCCCTGGAACAGAGTGAAGAATACTTGAATGGGCAGCTCAAGAACAAGTACGGGGACGCATTCATCAGAGGCAACAATGTCCTGTATATCTCCACGCAGAAGAGAAGAGGCTAACACCACATCTCACCACTAGTATTGTTTTTTTTTTGTTATAGCATTAAATAACCTTTATTGCTCCTTAATCATGCAACAAGTATAATTAAATGTACAAGAATGTGAGGATGTTTTTAATGAAGGGCAGTAGAGGGAACTTTTCATTGATATTTTTCTATATAGTCCATTGATTCATTTTGATCCTTGTATATTTATTAATGTTAATTAAAAAGCAATTTACTCTTTTGAGATCCTTATTTCTGAAGGAGAGTTCAAGGAAAGGAAACAACTACAGACACTATCATAATACAAAGTCGACATAAATATTTGAGTTTGTATTACATACGGTATCTCAGAATTGCCCAACAATGAATATACCAGTTATTCTACTTAAATTTTATCTAAATACATTTGGTTATTAATATCAACTTGACAGGTTAAATGGAGGATTGAACAAGGTATTCTATATTTTTTTTTGTCATTCTTGTGTTCTACTGCTCAAGAAATATTGGTTTGATATGAAAGCTAAATGGGTAATAGTGTGTGTTGCTCTTAATTATGATCAGCCTGGCCCTGCAGCATAGCGACATACCCAAGACTTGTTGCAGTTAATAAAAACCCGGATCTAGGCATATTTTTGGGGGGTCATGGTGATTTATTCAAGTGCAGTGCAGTACAGTGCCCACAAGGGGGATGAATCACAAACTTATCCTGTATTATCAGTGTTTTCATTTGTTTTAAAGGTACATGTACTGTACTGTAAAAGTGTAACATTGTATTTTTACAATATTGTTAGGCAAAGTCAGGTAAAATTTTTGTTATTGAATTCTACTTGTAGTAACCAAAGGTATGGTTTTTCAATTAATGATTTATGTATTCTTTAAAGGAATTTCAAAGGAAGAATAAAAAATTTCTATTTGCATTGAGGTTATCACTTTCTTTAAATTCTGATGTTTATTCATGTATTTGAGAAAGAAAGATGTGGTGAAGGCTGCTGCTCATGGTGAGGGAAATGAACAGTCAGGAAGCAACTGAGAGTCGAATACAGTATAGCACTGAGTAGTTTGGGAAAGGTGATGTACTGTAATGTGAAGTGGAAGGCAAATTAAATCTTTCAATGCAAAATCAACCCATTTTAATATATAAAACTAACATTTAAGACTACAGTTGCATGTAGTGACACTAACACTACAAAAAAACACTTAGCTGTATGTGATGTCAAAACAGGTGCAGAGTAGAACCACTCGGGGTTGAGGATGCAACTAGTTCTGAAATGGTTTGATGTCAAACAATTGAGTGGAGTCATGTTAATGCTCAGCACCAGTAACTCCTTTTTTCTCCATTTTAGGATACCATCATACTAATGGATCTCTGTAAAATCAAGTATAAAGGAAAAGTTAAGTGCAATTTTTAGACCGCAGTCATTAAAACTAGAACCCTGGGCCTTAAGGTTTCATCCCCCTATACTTTGCTGGCAGTACAGAGTTGTTTGCTCCCAATGTATGGGTATGAAAGTAAAATATTGTATATCTGAACACTGAAACTTCTAATGTGTTATTAAGGTAAAATGAAACCCATATACTTTAATCACATAAACCATTTATGTTCCAGCATGAAACAAAAGAAAAGTATATAGCTTTCTCACTTACAAAGTGAAATAATATAATCTTCATACTGGTGACAAACACACAGTATGCAAATCAATAATTTTCTGTACGGTACATACACTGACAACAATTCTGACCCGACACCACCACTTATAAATATAATACACTGAACATCTACACACACAAAAAAAAAATACTAATGTAAAACCTTTCAGCACTCTAGATATCCTATATAGTGTGGCACACAAATACTGTACTTAAATAAAGGACTACCCAAATGAGAGAAATCATGACTTACTGGTGTATATTATGTATACTGAAGAGCTTGTCCATCTATAATTCAGTATCTAATGACTACATTCTCAGGAGGCCAGATCATGAAGAACTCACTCCAAAGAGAAAAGTATTAATCATAATATTAATAATTATATAATGGTTCATCCCAATATACTCCATCTCGCCACTTCATCCCCAATACTGTATATACTTTTACTAACTTGCCACACCTTACCTTACTCTGCCAGTCACTCCTTGATCAAAGCATACCCTGAGTTAGATCCCCTTACGGAGTCTTCAACCTGCACCATATGAAGCTTTGTCTCAACCATATGTGCTACTAGTTAACCTTCTAATGTAGACTCCACACTTAATCCAAGCTGAAAAAAAGCTACACCCATTACTTAACAAATTGAAAAAAAAATAATAATAAAAATCACCCATCCCTTAACATGAGTTGAAAAGAATAAAATTGCCACACCCACCAGGTAGAATGTCACTGTTATCTAAACCTGTTTGTGGATCAGCATAAACTCCTTCTACACAACACCTATAAAAATATAAATGACAAAAATCTTACCTGTATAACTACAGTATTATGTAATAAAAAACCCATCCATAACTACCATTCCTTACAAAATTAATTAAAATGTTGTAATACTTACAAGACATTGAAAATAGACAAAACCAAGCCTTCAAAATTCAGACTAAATCTATAAGATTCAATAAATACCCAAAATGCAGATAAACTTTTAAGCTGTATGTATGAAGGCAGTTCTACTGTATATTATGATACATTTCAAACTGGTGGCATTAACAGTGCAATATTGTGCAAGTAAATATTCAATCATATCAAATGCCAAATGCATAAGAAGTAATGTTGATTGTGGGAAGAAGTATTGTACAGTATATGAGTAATTTATGCACTTGCAAGGTGCTAACTGTGCCACAGGTCAGATATTAGCATTCTGGATTCCCAGCCATTTAAAAAAGTTTCACATACTGTACATCCAAAGCCATTCAGATAAGATGTGGGTGGTCATATGACCCTAAGAGACAACCATGAGTAAATACTGGCAAGATCATGGCCAAACATTACCATTTACAGTACTGTACAGTATTCATGTGACATCTCTACCAGCATAAACCATCCACCATGGTTTTTCTCTTAGGTGTCTCGGGTGGCAGTTATACTGATGAGTTTGGATACCGTTTTCTAACCCTTGTATGATTGGTAATTCAGTTAAATATTAGTAACAAAGACAGAGCCATATTTCATGAAGCCAAAAAAGTCTGATTTAAGATATAAAAATTAAAAAAAATACTGCATACACATATGCTTCACTGGTTAATATTCAACACAAAACATTTTAAAGCTTCATAGAAGCTATTCTCTTACAGTAATTATACAATAGCAATAATGGACACATTAATGCCCGAGTTTAATAAGTGTTACAAATACAAGTTTTACAGCACAGTACTGCCTATTCTTCACAGCCATCCTCCCAAAAGTCTACCCATTCTTCCCACATCAAAATATTTTCTTCCCACAGTAAAAAAAAGGTAAAACCTCTTTTTCACTTACCACTGACTCACATATTCTCCTAACTTATCTGGCTGTTAAGTACAGGCAAACTGTATTAGCTGTGTACTGACAAATAATAGTACAGACTCCATTATTTGTCTGAGACATATTAAAATTTATCATATTAAATCTAGATGAATTATCATACGCATGATAACTTTTCTTAAAATATCATTACACATACAATAATATAGGTCACCTACAGAATTCAGAACTGACAAAGCATTCTGATCTTCTAGAATTGAGACAACATGATTTTGTTATTTTTTATACTAGTGCTTAGGTCTATATCACTATTATTCATATAAAGCTCAGATCTGCAGCAAATATATAGTGTTGTTTAGTATAAATTATTACCGTATGTTCTAGAAAATCATCTTTAATTTGACAGTTTTAAGTCATAGCCTTTTTTTGTATTCAAGAAATAATTTCACTAATAAAATAACATTAAACCTCTCATTAACAGACTATCCATTTTGTGAAAACTCCTATTTAGCAGTTGGGCTTAAATTTTCTATTGTTTTCCGCTAATGGGAAAACATCAATGGCAAAATCTGCTAGTGAGAGATCTTTCCTTTACCAAACCTTTCACATGTTTCAGCATGTGTCTGTACATTTAAATTCATTACTGTTGTCATCAGGGGAAAGTCCATAAAGTGCGAGTTGTTTTCCCTTATCAAAAGTTAAGGATGGCTGAGAGGGTTACAAGGGCTAGACTGCCAATCTAAGAAAAATAATCACTGCTTACATGACTTACCTACAATATGGCAATATATAAGATGTAGTCTTTGCGTGAATTATACTATACAACCATCTATTATGTTAATACAGTATTTGCCCCCTAAATTGCATTTGTTTATCTTGTTAAAGCAAGTCATGGTTACTGATTATGCAAATGCAAGGGTTATGGTAAAACCTTTTGATACTGTGTAATTACCTATTTCTTATAGCCTCCAAGGCCCCCAATAAGTATATTCTCAATTTAATGTCAATCCTCTATCACTGACATCACTGCACCAATTTGTCTGCTATTGAGAAGCCTCATTGTATGTAGCTTGAAAAACACTGTCAATCTTAATAAAATAGACAGATTGTTGCAGGTATTATATTTCAATAAAATTGTGCAGGTTTAGATATACAGTAATGCTGAAACAGGAAACACCGTAAAATGCACATTTATGTAAAAAAGTACAAATGTCTACTTAAATGACAGAGAACAACCATTAATAATAAAAATTACATCAATGATAAGCAATCAGATGAAGCACGTTATTAAATATTTACTCAACACCCTTCCTGATTCTGGTACTGTATCTGGCATGCATGTTCCATCATATAAAATGGGCAACCCATTCACAATACAGTACAGTATTCTCAAGGATTATGCAAGTGAATGAATCCAAGTCTTCAGTCACATTATATGTTCTTCCAAGTACAGTACACAACCTCAAAATCACCAACACCATACTGTATATGACATACCTATACACAGGTCTGCATCACACTTGTGCAGACCCAAGGATCACAAATTAAAATTATTACACACACAAAACACTGAATGATATGAAGAAGGTACAGTGCCTGACCCAAAGACACCACATTAATCATATATGTATTAGAAGGTTAACACTATAAATTAATACAGTATAATCTGTATTCACCATCCAAAGACCTGGTGCATATCCTTAAGGAGAGTTGCAGCCAGTGAATCTCTCTCTATTTTTTTTAAATCAGTTGTTTGAATCTTACACGACATCATTTGTACATTAAGTCTTAGTCAAGCATCTATAATATTTATCATGACAGGTCTTTCATTTTTTGGAGGCATTTTTTTTCATTTACCTGGTAAAAGTGTTTTAATTTCATCACAAAAATTAAAAATGATTACTGCTAGTGATGGTGACTGACTGACCAGACTGACTGCTTCCAACTGGTTACCATTCAATGGCTGGGAGGATTGGACATGCTTGTACGGACATCTTATCCTATCTCCATTCTATGGCTCTTTTCCCTGTTTATGTGGGTCAGCCGTGATTACCTGATGGCATAGTGTCTTGGTTGCCATTAGGCAAATTTTATGGTTGGATGCCTTTCCTATTGCCAAAATTAACTTTAAATATGATGGATATCCAATACCAATTTGCATCAGTTAAAAACACTACATGATAGTAAATGTCTTACTGTTGTCTTTTACAAGAATTCTGTCTATTTAATATCATATTGAAAGAATCAGTCTTATGCCTATCCTTCCTGAACTCACTCCACTGATGCTAGTAAAAATGCATTCATTTTTTATACCATGAAGGATTTAAACATTGTTATAGGTGACATATGGAATGGCATATTCTATGGTATTATGTACATCCTCCCTCCTTACACCCTGCCAGATATTTATTCACTCTGTCCCACCACATATTTGCACTTGTTCATTAGTCATTAATATTCTAGCAAGAAATATGGTCTCTCCTGTATACAATATATATGATGGATTGATCCTGAAATCCTAGTTTATAAATTAGCTTGGATGGGATAACTTGTAAATATGCCCCTGTAGGCTCCAGGCTTAGGAACCCAAGGAAATCCTAAACTACCCACGACTGGAGGGATCAACATGGGACAACCAACTCTCCGAGATGCTCCTCATACAGCATGACCCCTAAGCGTTAGGGAAAAATGGGACAAACTTGTGTACCCAATTGTTCCTCCTGAAACATAACAGAAAAGTATGTAAGAAGCCCTAAAAGTGGGTTCTACATATACTGTAAGCCTAACCAATTTCAAAGTCAGAAATCACCTGGAATAATGAGTATTCAGCCATGCTGTCCTGACTAACACTATAAAAACAGCACGGCTATGCATGGTTTATGCACACTTTGCACAGTACATGTACCCAGGTAGCAAATGATTCCCATTCAATACACCCATTACTGCCTCATGATGTTGTAATCATAATCATGTAAACACTTGTACAAGGGGAGATTGACAACACTCTTACTTGAAAAGCAATACTGTACCTAGAATTACATATTTCAACCTAATCCCATCTTATGTAAAGAAAATATGGAACCTGCAGACTAGCTGCATCTGCTGGACAGTTGGTTGGAAAAGTAAGGTGGCAGTGCATCCTGACTTATGACAGCCTGAGATGAAGATGTTACTTATGAGCTCTCTGACATCTGACCTGTCAGCTCACAGCCTGCAAATTAACTGACCTTTTACTTCCCTTTTTGGAACCACAATTGTTGAATGGGAGGAGCCTAGTCCTCAGATTATTATCTGACTATTGTTGGTTATGACTTCCCTGGGTTCATTATTTCCAAGCCTACAGGAAGTATATTCATGAGTCATATCTAAGAAGCTTAGGTTATAAGTGTATTATTATTACTGCATTTAACAATGTAATAAATAAGTGAACAGTCAAACACAACACCCAAAAAAAATCTGCACCCCTGGGCCTGATGGGCTTTGCAACGATCGCTGACTAAGGCCATGTTCATTTGGTCAGGTGTGTCATATTGTATAACACTGTAAAGGTGCAGAAAATTTTGTTGTTGACTGTACATTAGGGTTTAATAATGAAAATTGCCTTCTAAATGGCAAGCCAGAAACAAAAATTATTTTTTCTCAAAGTTAAAAAAATATTGATGAACTCAATGTGGATTCAAAATACAGAACTGTACAAGGGTCCCAATGGAACCTGCATAAAACAGTCTACCATATTTCTAAATAGTGTTGTCTCTTTACTATTACTTATGCTACTGAGCTTGGTGTAATACACAATTTACAGGGTAGACTTGTGCTGGAACCTGTACATCAAGCAGTTATACTAACAAAAAATTTACCTTTTGCCTGCACCATATAAGAGTCAATATAGGTTACAAGTCTTGCCTCTACCACCCAAGCTCTTAATGAAGATGTAGACCTTGAGTGTTCAGTAGGTGTTGATTCTGGAGGTAGTTAAATAGTTTTCTCTCTGCATCAATAGAGATGAGGTAAAATGGAAGATTTTAATAGGTAAGAAGACTGAGAATTCTACCAATGAGAGGTCACCAAGAGTGGAAATGGAGAGAAGGAAAGGAGATAATCATAGTACCTCAGTGCCAAAATGTTATGACTTCACATTTAAAATAAAACACAACGTACTACAGAATATTTCTTGTCGTCACACAGTAGATGATTTGACTAAGGTATCTAGTTCAAAACAACATTAAAATGGTGAACTGATACTGAAATCCTGTTTTATAAGTACAGGCATCGATACAAAAGTCTGTACATATACTTAACATAAATGATATAGTCACTAAAATAATCCAAATGGAGTTAAAACACTTTCACTCTGAGGCAACAAATAATACATGAATAAATCTCTGAAGCCTAGAAATATGTGGTAAATGACAGTATGGGTCAGTACAGAACAGAGCTATGAAGGTGGACACAAACAAGGAACTGATACTCTCTCTCTGACAGTAATAGTTAGAGGGGGATGGTGAGTACAACATTTACAAGCCTGAAAAGGCTGAAAGTCTTAAATTTTCAACTGAAACAGAACTTATACTTATTTTTTAATTATGGTGTTCAACAATGACCAGTGGCAGGTCAACATCAATATTTTGACACTGCCACTCACAATTACATTGTTCCTGTACATCTGTACACCTCTTGCACTAAAAGAAATAAAATTTGGTTAAAAATAAGTGGAAAGAACTATTTTAATACTGTGTATCAAAACAAGGAAGTAGTAAACATTCACTAAGCCAACTGAAAGATACAATACAATGAATATATTTACATAGTACTGCAGTGTCATTTCTGGAGTTTACACCATTTTTTTTAGTTACTGTACTGGTAATAATACAACTCTCATTTCTCGCTCCAACCTCCTGAAGATCAAAGCATTGCTTATGTGCAGTCATGTCCTTGAAAAAATATGTAGCACAAAGGCAACATACAAGAATCTCACTTATTTTTTTGCCTGGTAGTTAAATAATTCAAAAGTAATAAAAAACATAAATATATATCACAGATATCCAACTGCCCTGACCAGGCCACTGGTCATTAAAATAGCAAAATTACTGGCAATTGCCCTAACTCCCTCAACCACTGCCTTCAAACAGAGGTGATCACACTCAGGGGTGAGTAACAAGAGAGGCCCATGTTATTTCTCAAAAATATTCCTTGAACACTTACAGCCACAGTCGAGACAGAAATGCAATGCTTCCTTACAGTTTGGCAAAATTCATTTAACCCATTGCAGTATGTCTATCACAGTATGTACAGTTACAGAAGAAAGTCCTTTTAGTCCCCCGTCCCATCTATGAACCCTGAAACTCATGACATGTGAATCCGAGACATCATACGACCCAATGCACCATCTATGGGCCCTACCAATGTGTGATGTCTCCGATCCACTGGTTCATGAGTCTCTCAGGTCAGAGGACTGACGAGACTTTTTTCCTTGACTATACAGTAGTTAAAACAACTATCTGTGCAGGTAGGGGTCGATATGCTCTGAAATTTTAAGTGTGACTAGTGACAGCCCTCATATACCAAAATTTATCGTCCGTCTTCTCATATTGTTTCCCACAAAGTATGCACAGATAGTTGTTTTAGCTACTGTACACCTCTTGCATAACATTACTGTACATGCATGTAAATAAGTGTTTACTTTCTAACTGCAGGCATAATGAATAAGTCAAGTGCTATCTGAGAAAGTAGAAATAATTTATGAAAAATGTAGACAAGATTTTATGGAAAGTATATACAGTGTTGTTCCTAAACTGGATCAAGTGGTGTATAGTCAGTCTGGTTAATAGATAGTTCTAGTTACTCGTTAAAGTTCCCTAAACCAGATACAGTATATTCCTGAACAGTACTTGTACATTTTTTTTCAGTTTCTAGTTACACATTGATCAAAAATTAAGCCAGTAACACTAGGAAAGTTAGAAAAAATATACTGAAGGATGAACAAGGGAGGAAATGAGGAATGCAGGGAAAAAAAAAGGAAAGTGAAGACTTGTTCTAACAGCAGAAAATTCTTATGTACCCGATGCAACACATAGAACATCCTGGAAAACCCCAATGGCACCTGAATCATATTACTGAAGAATTATGATTAAATAACTCTGGTTAGTGGAGACATAACTGTATCCTGAAAATTAGAAGCAGAGTCAAGCATAACATCTACCTGTATTATGATATGTATGTGACTTAAGACTCAGTAAACTGAGTCTTGTACTGTACTGTAAAACATCTCTTTATCGCTCTTATTAACAGCAGGTAGAGCTCCTTTCCTTTCCCTGCCAAAAGACTTAACTGGTAGGACTAATAGATGTGCAGAGTGAAAATATTATCACTTTTGTATTACTGTATACCATTAATAGTCTATTCGCAAATGCAGAAACTTAATATAAAGTATAATATTCCATTTAACCGACTGATGTAACAGTGGCAATACGATTTTAAAAGTCACTTTTAATGATTATTTCTGTAGTAATATAATTGTGCAAAACTTGTAAAGGAAAAAAACAAATAGAATAACCAGTAAATTGCTTCTCTTAAGTCTTGCTTTACTTAATATTCTATCTTCTTGTAGTCTCTGACTCTGCCACCAATGAGAATCTGTTTTCTGCATTCTTCAATCACACTCTTGAGCTTCTCCACAAGCGGATCTATGAATGAGCCGACCCACTCCTCCACAGTGTCCTCGTAAAACACTTCCAGCATCCATGGGATAAGGTGAGTTCTCAGCTCAGTGAGATTTTCTAGAACCCTAGAAGGAAAAAAGAAATGTTTACCTTTAATTAGGATGTGTTTGTAAAGTATATAAATCTAAGAGGCTGAAGAAACTGTTTAACTCAAGATTGGATAAAGCAGAGTTGGCATTTTAAGATTAACTTCAACATAAATTTCAGTTTCTATAATGGTCCTAGTACATTTTGTCACTGGTTCAGTTAAACCTAGCCTAACATAATCCAACTTAATCTACCCATGGCTTCATTGCCTCCAAAATAAAGACATTATTATCTAAACTTAATAAATACAACACAGCATTCAATAAACTGGTGACGAATTGCCCAGTGGCAAAATGTCAGCCCACCATCTATAAGACAGCATACAAATATGAAAATCATACTACACCATTAATCCAAAAAAATAAATAAATTAATTAAAAAAGTAAGTAAATGTGGTAATCCTTCATTGATACTCTATTGGAATTCAATATGAAGGTGCAAGATCTTCTATTTATCAAAACTTAGCAATATTTTAGTTCCTGTCACAGTTTAGGTGTCTAAGCAACTGGTTTGCAATTTAAAGAATTGGTGACTATACAATCAGTCCTCGACTTACGACGGGGTTAGTGACCGACGACCAGGTTGTAAGTCAAATTGGTCGTAAGTCGAAAATGCGAAAATAATACATAGAAAATCTAAAATGGGTGTCTCTTTTTCTTCTCAGCACCACGAGAACTCTCAATTTTATGCTTGCCAGCCATTTTAAATGGAATTACAAACGAAAATTTTGTCAGTACACAGCGCGATCACTAATGTCGAGACTCGAAAATATGTAATTTGAAAAATATTTTATACGACTGCGGCGGTAGTAGGGTCCGGGTGGTAATAAATGTCGATTAGGTCGTAAGTCGAGGAGTACCTGTACAGAGTCGACCTAAACCTAAACGAAGTAAGAAAGAAACCAGTACATTCAGGGCTTTTTACCAGTCATGACACCACAGATCAAGATGTCACAAGCAGTTACTGATAATATGTGTACATTTGAAACATTTAAGGAAAACATTTTGTTCAATATTTGTCTTTATTTTGTAAATTTCTTCCTTAAATTCTCAACCATTTTTCTTAAAGATCTAAGCTGCAAAAAAGTTTCTTTGGATGATAAGTTTTACTAGGGAAGGGGAGGAGTGGAAGGAAGACCTGAGTCTAAGGAAACCCCCCCTCCCCCCCACAAGCCATATGGCTAAAAGCCCTGATAATACACTTCAGAAACTGGATGGAAGCCATAAGATTCTACCCAATCTATTAATTTACATCAAACACCATCACCCAATGTACAACACAGTAACATGATGACAAGACACTCACTCAATGATTGGGTTCATTATATTTTCCACTTGGACTGGGTTTGTGAAATTCCTTGACCTTAGGTAATCGCTGAACCAGCCCAACATTCTGAAATAAAGAGTATCCTGATATTGTCACCGCTATACTTTAGAATGTTCTAAAGAAATAGTTATGCCATGTTACCAGCAACTATGCATAATACTGTATTAATGCATCATGCATATTTTATAATGAGAAGGCAAAATGCCACTGGTGTCCTTTTCTTCTCTCGTTTTAAAGGCTATGACTATTTACAGAAGTTGGCAACATGAATATTAAAGAAATGTGGGAGAGGTTAAAATTATGGTATCCATTACATAAAATGAGAACTGGATGTGCATGGCACAATAAATAAATGTGGAGGCTTTTACCCTTCTGAGTTACTTATAGCTTGGTACTTGCATACAAAGTTTGACCACATCTGTACCCCAACATAGATCTTGTGGCCAGGGTAGGAGATGCACTGTTCTATCACTTGGGGCCTGTAGGAAACAAGAATAACATTCAGAGAACAAGTGAAGTTTATTATTTTGTTGATGGGATATTTGAATTCCGTGTTGCAGCATTCCAACATAATTTATTTTTTCTTGACCAGCAAAAGAAGCTATCAAATATATGTATTGCTTGATGATTCTAACAAATGAGGTAAATACTTATCTGAAAGACAATTACTGAAGCAAATAAAATTCCAAGAGGCTATACAATCAGTGTCCCCTTAACGTACATGATGCTTTCATGAAAGCATGTACAGTAACCAGATGTTTGTTAAAGGATTGCAACCAAGCTTACCCACACTGATAGCTGGCACTAATTAAATGATTAGTACAACTCTCCTATCACAACATTAGCCCACTGAGAAGGGTCTAGAAGACCAAAGTCACCATTAAAGACCAGTAGCTAAGACATTCTTGGTACTAAAGCAGCTTGTGCTCACAGACCTTCCCTTGTCCATTACTGGCTACAATTAATTTCCAGTAACAAGCTTCAATCCAGACGAACTCCACAATAAAACTCAGGGGAGAAAGAAGGGTTACATGTCTCCGTGTTCCAATTTGAAATACTCTACATCTAAAACTAGTGCAGTACTATGAAGGTGGCATCAAAATACCATTCATGAGCACCTGCACCTCACAAAGGACCAAGACTGGTTTAGCTCTTAGCTTGAATAGTGACTTTCATCCCCCCACTCTATCCTAAGCTACAGTTGCAATGCGAGAGTCATGCTTATCTTTAGACTGAGTCAGCTATAAAAAGTGATAGCTAAAAATAAAAAATAAAGAAATTGGTAGTTTTTGGCAAAAATCCCATGGAGGTAATATTTACGATTAATTTTAAGTTTAGTTTTAAAGGCTAACAAAAAATATCTCCTTCTTTAATGTAACAAAAATGTCTTACATTTATGCACAGTCACCACTAACAAAACTAACTGGAGATTATTCAGTCACTTCAGGTTCCTATACTCTCATTCACATACAAACTCTATCACAAATTCACTCTCTCAACTCTTCTGGAATCATACTCTAGATCCTCTATACCTTCAAGTTCATCTTATCATCATACAAATTTTGCTCACTGTTTCTCCCTCAGTAACACTCACTCCTCTATAGGAATTACACATCGTTACAAGTGAGCAATATCACTCATCAGGACTTACCTTGGAAATGGAACCACATTGATGCGATGGGGGAAACTCATCTTTTGTGAGACATAGTCATGGTCAGCCTCGGTGAATGACTCATGGGTAATTACTCTCAGGCATAAACAAAGGCAGGGGAGGGCCACAGGTAATAACTCACATAACACAGCATAATGATCATATCTGTTGGTATATGAGAACACTTAACACTGTGAACTAATTTGCACAATGTGTATGGCTACTGACTAATAAATATTATACACAAAAATTACACTTGCAGATATGATCAGTACTGTAATGATAGTAATGAGATTAAACTTACAAGAGATATAATATCACCAAGAATAAGAAAAAAGAATGTTGGTATGAGAGTAAGAGCTTCCAATACTTTAAAACAATTTTGACTTCTGCTCCTCTAATATTTGCTCTTCCAACACATTTATATAGTAACTAATCATCAAGTAAACAGAAAGTAGCACCTAAACTCACAAAGAAGACCAAACACATAGTCTCAGTAAACCCCTGCTATATTATTGTATGATAATGTGTCTCAGTAGTTGCTGTGATATAGACAACAGCAGTACTCATGTACTGTACCTTAATTGTATGAAATACAAAAATAAAACAGGGCTGTGTTCCAAGAACATGGAATCTACACACTGATGGCGCTTAAACTTTGTACTTGTAGTGAAATTCAGGTAGCTGACCATGGTCGACGAGCTGCCCCGCCCATCCCATTTACAAGTTAACCAACCAATGGCCAGGTCTTTGCCTAAACGCAAGATAATTAAAAAAAAAAAAAAAAAATATATATATATATATATATATATATATATATATATATATATATATATATATATATATATATATATATATATATATATATATATATATATATATATATATATATATATATATATATATATATATATATATATATATATATATATATATATATATATATATATATATATATATATATATATATATATATATATATATATATATATATATATATATATATATATATATAAGCTTTTAACAATCACCTTAAGCTCGGCTGCCATAATGAATGAAAAAAGAGGAGAGATGGTCTAGGTACTGTGTAGACTAGTGGTTGATGGATGGAGATGTGTTTACTGTTTACTGTTTACTCCTGGGAAGAGGGAGGGCACTGAGAATCTGGAGTGCTAACCTAAGGCCCTATCACCTGCATTGGTTCAAGTACCACCATCATAGGGGCAGGTGGGATGTGAGAGCAGGGAGTGATGTCTGTGCCCTGATACCACCTGTATAAAGTACTTAAGGTAGCAAAAAACCTGGGGTGAAGCAGCAGGCAGCAGACCTCGAAAAAGAAGAAGACACAGTATTTCAAGGTGCCTCTAAGTTCACTATACCTCACCTTACCAGGGGGAGGACAAGCCATATACACAAGGCTACATTGTAAAAATACAATCCCTAATTAATTTGCTCTACAGCAACAAATCAAGATATGCATGGCTGCAATATAAAGCAGTAAGGGTTTACTGTACAGGGGCAACAGACCTTAATATTTGAGAAACGGCTCTGCTTTATTTTCCTCAATTAACTAAACTAAAGAACCCATTAAGGTGATGCAGTCATGCAAAGAAAAATGGATGTAAATTGGATGTAATGTATACTATTTTATTCACTAAACACAATTTAACTTGAGGAACAGGGTCAGACATATGGAAGACTGGGAGGCTATGGTAAGGAGGTACACATGACAATGAGGTGTCATAGTGGAATAATATTAAAGAAATGTGATAAGTTCTTTTACTGTACTGTATAAGGAGGATCTGCTACAGTTCCTCCCATATAACAGAGGGTGAACATAATCTATATACACCGTGAGTTTAGTTTTTCATAAAAAATATATTTTTTACAGTTAAACTACATGAGGTATTATACACAAAAATAATTATTAAATATTACATTCAGTTAAGTCATGTTTTATTGATTGATGAGAGATCTTTAAGTGGAGACTCTGAACTACAGGAGTTTCAGAAAGTACAGTCAGCTACACGTGACTACTCAGGGTCCTCCCAGCTCTACACATGGGTAAGGGACAGAAAGTGAGCCAAAAGGAAAACCATCATTCAGTCAACACATGTTAATTCTGGATAAAGAACTGTTTATCAATATTATAATTCCTACACTGACTTGAGTCAAAGTAAATTAGTTCATATATAAATACTGAATGGAACTAACCTTAAGCTTCCCACGGCTAAGCTCCGCTATTATTACTTTTTATCCACCTCAAAATCTTCAAAAATCAAATAAACACAATTAGATAGTGTATATTTTCTTTATGGTGTAATGTACATCACACTAACCTCTGCCAGCCTGTGAGAGCTATACCTCGGTATATCTTAAACTGATGTTTGTACTCAGCCAGAACAGCGATCCAAGTTAAATGATTATTGATGTGGTGCTGGATTGGTGGTAAAAACTGAGTGCTGCCAGTAGCACCCTTGAAAGCACTGGCCAACCATATACCATTAAAGACTGCTGAGTACCGAATGAATATATCTGAAAAAATAAAAATAAATAAAATATATGTCTATCAAATTACTGTACTAGTATATTGAAATTGTTGAAAAAAAAATCTTAAACCGCAACCTAAGCTGTTACAATATTAAAGCTGAAAAGGTTACAAGAGTAATATTTGCTTAAATACCACACAAAGATATGGAGAAGACTTAAGATGTTACTTGGAGAAGTAAGACTCTGTACAGTACAGTACTTGTGAGAAACTTTTTACAACCAATGTGACCGACACACCTACCTGGGGGAAGATCAAACTTTTTGGCTTGGTACTGCCACACCATGGGCTCAACAAGCTCACCAATTCCACTACCTAACAAAGTACAGGGTAGATACAAATTATTCAACTAATATTGACTGTAAAATTACTACTGTACTGTAATAAAAATATATTTGTATATTCATTTTCTGAATTAAGCTCAAGTTCTATCTTCAGGTATTACTGTAATACAGTACTGTATATGTATCATAAAAACACACAAGATCAACAAGAAAGTCAACACATATTATTTCTAAATACTGTACAGCAAAACTTAAAATATGTATATATATTTATACCAACTTTTAAGTCTCTCTAAAGAAATGTTTCGCATCATGTCATCCCACATGACTATAGTGAGGTGGGGGTATTCTTTTTTGATCCACCAAGCCACCTTGAACACCCAGGCCAAGAATAAGTCATTGGTGGACATTTTTTTGGCATCCATCTCATCCTGGCACCTTGGACATTTACCAATATGCCACACCTGTGTAGCAAAAATGGAGTTATCACACAGTTTACATACAAACAGCATACATTACAGGAGACCTTTGAATCTTTTTTTAACTACAATATTTTACCAGTGCATCTAAAGTCAAAAAAGGTGTAAGTTATGACAATGTCTATGTCTCAAAGGCATTACACTGTTGTCCTTAATGGCCTGCTTTAACTGTTGCCTTATGAGGAATTATTTTTCCTCGAAATCCATATAATAAATTCCACTCTATAGACCTCCCTTATGTGCAAAGAAATTATTAGATCTGTAAAACAGTATTACAAATTGTGGCATAAACAACAATAATTTACACACAAAATCATAATAAAATGGTTTTCATTAGCAATAAGCCACCAGGAATTTTTACATTACATATATAACTAAGGCGATTGAGTACTTGTCCACTTACCCTACCATTAATGTACTAGTGCTGTACTGTATTGTACTGTACAGTATACTATAATACGTACTTCAAAAACTAATCAATACACAGTAATTCTGTTAACACTACATTTCACTGACTTAAAAGCCTTGAGAGGTGTTCACTACATGAGGGACCAGACCTTAAATATAAACAAAGGAGGAAAAATTACAGCACAAAAGGAGGTCTGTTAAGCCAAGATTAATGACTGAAGACAATAACATACAGTAAAAAATATAAACACAAAATGTTTTTATAGCTTAATGGGGATGCTGCCACAACCTGAGATATAAAAGATACAAACCTCATCAGCTCTATATGTGGAAGAACTTGTCATTAGGATGTAGATCAATCACTTGTGACAAAATCTTGGCCACCAGTGGGAAAGCATCGGGGTGAGTCGGGCAGAGAGCATTAGGGTAGCGCTCTATTTCTCGCACAGCTCGGTTTTCATCATGTTTTAAGATAAACTGCAAAATACCAATCATACTACATATAAACATGGTTAGTGTATGAAGATGTATGAATGAACCTCTGTATAAATCATGATCATAAAAACTTCGAAGTGTTCGAAGGGTTGCGACTGTAAATATGATTACAATTTGTTCGAGGATGAAATTGACCACAGCCCTAAGGATACTGTACTTTGCTTTGTAGAATATCTGGCTAAAATATGATTACAGTTAATACAGTTACTGCATAAACACTAAAGTGATAGAGACAACAAAAGGGACATAACTCTCTGATATACTGTACTGCATACCTCAGCCCCCCTCATTGTGCTGGTGAGGGGAGTAAAATGCCATCCAGTGAGAAAGAAAAGAAAGAAAAGAAAGAAAAGTAGAAAAAAGAAGAAAAGGGATCGAGTATGCGCATTTCAATACTTGATTCGTGTTTACAGGATCAGGGGGTTAACCATAGCACTCACCTCAAAATGCCCAAATGTCTGAACCAAGGGGATGATGATGAGGTTGTTTTTTGCTGCAAGGATGTGTAACTTTTCAATATCCTCAGGTGAGTATGCATGTGGTGCTCTTAAGTGCGCTACTTTACCATGGTAAGGGAACATGTCTTCATACTCCACCAGTAAGCCTGTAGCACCAAATGATGATACAAGTGGAAACAACTGAAAGCACAGGATAACATCTTCAGAGTTTGTAACATAATAAAGACCTTTTAATTTATAAGAAAAACTACAGTAACAAGTAAATCCATATTCAGTATATACAATGTACCTAAGATACAAATACATGCACCCAACAACATATACAGAACGTTCACGTCCATATACCAAGGTTGAAAAAATATGTGAATATGCTAATCAACTTCTGCTTATGTTTTTATTTCCACCCGCGCGTCAGCATAATAGCCATTTGGGCAGTCAGTCTGTTCTTTGGAATGATCTTCATTGTCCAGTGATAGTGCAGTAGAAGAGGAAACCAGAGTAGAAAACCTGTGATGTTAAGTGGGATCACACACTCGCACTAAATCACATTCTTGTCACATCTCAACACATTTCACCTCAATATCACACAAACTCTCATGTACTTAAAAGGAAAATGAACTCCCAATCACTTCAGAAAAGAAACACCAGGTGAGAAAAAAGTTTCCTTAGTCTTACCTGTTCATAGTAGCTAATTCTTGGTGGTGCTCCCTTCAGATCAAGGTGAACCAATCTGCAAAACAAAACATTATATTCAGTGTTTTGTAAGTAATTTCTATTCACCATGCACTATCTAATCATCTAAGTTACCCTCATTCTCTTTGAAGTGCCAAGAACTGAGGAACCACTTATCATTTTTAGCTGAGCCATATATTTTACCAGCTACTGTACTTGGAAACAAATATTCTTTTTTTTTCTGTGCTTGTGACTATATTCTAAAAGTACCGGTATACAAAAATTTTCAACTCTTAAGTTTGTGCTCCTTGTGTCTCTACTGAGGAGGGGCCACCACACTCCCCTTATCCTTAAGTATCACAACTTAATAAGGATGCTAACTATAACAAGATTATTTTCCAACAATTAAACTGGTTTGACAAATTAACATTGAGTATTTCTAAAAATACAAAAACAAAAAATTTTACATTATCAAGTCACAATTAATGCTACTGTAGTGGACTGAGTGTTTTTAAACCAAAGAACATCCCAGAAAACAGTACTGTACCTATAACCTGGTTTATTGACTTTTAAGACCATTTCACAAGTCATCCAAACCTCATTTGAAGCAGTCTAATTTGCATATTAACAAAGGACACATTTGTCTAAAACTGAATACAAAAAGAGAAATAAAAATCTGATCTCAGTCTCAGCTGGATATGATGTCTCACCTATGAGCTCCTTCAACAGTGTCGTCCATTTTTCAAAGATAGACAGGTACTGGTACAGTACAGTATCTGGAAAAAAAATATATATATATATATATATATATAAATTTGGCTCAAATCAATACAGTACACAAAAAGCATTAAGTGTTAGAGCCGGAAAATCTATTTTATTATAGAAACAGTGTGGAATGAACCCGAATATGGAACAAGCGAGCTGAAGCTTATTTAGCTACAGGGCTTTCCCGGGATACCCAAAGCAGGTGTGACAATTACATACCGTACCCCTTAATGTATTTCACAAATAGACATTTGACGATTAAAAATTGCATTAAAGATGATACAGGAGTTCAGATAGGAATTGTCCCTGTGAGATGACACAAATATGACTGGAGGTAATACAAAGATCACTCCCTCTCCTCTGACAATTATTTTCCCTTTACTTCTCAAAACTGAGAGACTAAATGCCAATTTACCCTTAGAACATATCCTAATTGTAGCTACAGCCCTGTTCCCACCTAAATTTTTATAATAAGAAAACCTAACCATACCAACCTAACCTCTCTTGCCCTAACTTAAATCTTGACCAAAGACCCAAACCCTAATATGTAACCTACAATAACATAAATCCTAACACGAAAACCTTAAATCGGTAATGGTGTAGGAGACGGATAACACCAAAAGGACTTTATGGAACTGAACCAAATTTTCAGATGTTGTTTGGATGGTAATGAGTAACAAAGTCAAAATGACAACATTGTAGTATTTATTCATTTGCTTTTTCCTTTTTAGCCTTCAACTTAAATTGCTTGCTAGTGGGCAGGGCATAAAAAAATAGGGAAGAAACGGGGTAAAAACACCGAGAACACTGATCACATGGTAGTAATTTCACATTTCAACGTGTTTTGTCGGCAAAGAAATAAATTAACTACAGTACTGTAATTATGGCACCGTTGGATCTCCTGTGGTGACCATGTTTTGGTTCGCATCATCTGCTATATAGGAGTGTCCGCAGTCTTTCTTTACATGCTAAGAAATATACGACAATCTCATCGGGCATGTTTAGCATGATTTATATTGCACCGAATTTATTAATTTTTTCTTGAGATGTTGTTTGGATGATAGTGAGAAAATCGAAATGACAATGCACAGGTTAGGAAGTTAGATGAAGTTAAGTAACGTTAGGTCAGTTTCTGTTCATTGTGATTTCGATTTTCTTACTTAGTATCATCCAAACAGCTCCTGACAATCTGGTGCAATTCCATAAGATCATTCTGGTGATAACCATCTCCTCCGCCATTACCCTATAATCTTGATCTAAAAACATAACTTACATCAAAATAGCAAATTCTTAGGTTGAATTTATATTCATTGTGCCAACTGGTGCCAGCACAAGTAAAGTACAAAAGTTTCAGATAAAAAAGGATCCCAACATAATGACCATATAATAGTACAGAACAGAGACACCATTAAACTGATCCCCTTAAGATTAGGCACCCATGTTATTTCATCAGATGATTAAACAATCTAATGCTGACCTTACCTTACCTAAGGTTAACTGAGATAAGCTGAGCCAATGTAAGAGCTTTAAAAAAGAACATAAGAACAGAAGAATGGAGGAAACTGCAGCGGGCCTATTGGCCCATACTGGGCAATCCCATTACCCAACCCCTATTGCTCACATAAGCATCCAACCTATGTTTGAAGCTATCCAGCGTATTCGAGTTAATGATGATATATGGTAACTTGTTCCACTCATCCACTACTCTATTTCCAAACCAGTGTTTACCTATTTTGCGCCTAAATCTAAATTTGTCTAATTTAAAACCATTGTTACGAGATCGCTCCTGGTTGGATAGTATGAGTACCTTTGTAATGTCCTTTGTTTGCAGCCTAGCCTAGCCTAGCCTAACCAAACCAAACCTTCACACTCTTAATGTGTCAAGTGAATTGACAAAAACAGTCACTAAGCTAGGTCCGATATTTACAGAAATGAACCACTGAACAGTACGTATATACATAAATTTGTCGGGATTGAACAGTTCTTTCCAGATAAAATCAGACATAAGTCACAGATATTTTTTTTTTAATGGTGGCCACAGCCTCCCTCTCACTTCTTAGGTAAATTTCCCACCAGGTTTTCCTTGATCACCCAATGGACTTGCATTCTATACATTACAACAAAGGTGAAGTGAAAATGCTAAGGAAATCAGACCTTGATTAAGGCTGCATCCCCAATTGACAGCTTTACCAAAACTACACATTTACTGTACCCCAGCATCACCAAACAAAAGTATGAGCCATTGAATAAATGAATCTCAAGAAGTCTAATTGTTTACGTTTCTCTCACTAGCACATTTATACAGTATTTGTAAATAAACAAGTTAACCTTTCTCAGCATGAGACAATACTTAAAAAGATTACATTACAATAAACCTGACCTCAATATTACATTGCTTGCACCCAAAATTTCTCACTTCTTTATAATTCAATATCAACAATATAGATAATGCTGTACTGTATGCAAGATAAAGGCCGAGGGGTGATGGCTCTATGGACCTCTGCCTTCACCATGAAAGAGTCTGTATTATGCCAATGCTCTATTTAAAGCTTTTGTCAAATACCAAACTTCAATCTAATAGATTATCAAAATTTTACTAACCTTAAGTATACCACAGACACCCCGCTATGAAAGGTCAGAACAGAAATAACGCTGTGTGGACGTAGATTTAATTCACATTTGCGTAACTTTCCGAACACCAACCAATGTTTTATTATCGCGATCCCCGAACACAGACTGGCTGTGGCCTGTGGTCCTTCCAAACATAATTATCGTGCCTGGCTATCATAATTATTGCGTTTGCCATTTAATTGTCTTATATCTTACTTCTTAAAAAATACTAAAATAAATAAAATCCCATTTTTTGGTGAAACATCTTTTACCGATGATGGTGGTAAAGGAAAGGGAATTTTAAGTACAGTGCTATTTTTCAATATATTGTCATACGAAAAAGAAATTAGGAATTTGCAAAGGGTATTACACGTTATTAAGGAAATTTAAAATTATATTTCGAAATGGACATGACATCTACTAAATAAACGTGAACAGTTCAACAGAGACAATTCTGTACAACATAATCATGGACGGTATGTGTCCATGCATGCGTGCACTACAAATATTAACAAATCACGACAGTTATTACATGTTTATTGCAAAACAAATACAAAAGTATTTATTACATCACTAATGGTGCACGTTCAATAAAGCACGAATACTGTATTATATATTATAACATTAGTGCCGTCGGATCCATGCCGATGCAACAGATTTACTTGCATCGGTCAAAATATTCTGACCGATGCAAAGGTATCATTATACATATGTCAAATAATTGACCTATCGATACCGTGTTGACCTGCATAGCCCACCACCAGCTTCTGGCCGTAACTGTCACTTTCTGTACCTGAGTGGCAGGTTTTCTGATTTTCAACTCCCAATATCTCGGTTATGGGTAAAATGCACCTAAAGTGTAATATACTCGTATCATAACTTTCATTAGATGGAATTTAGGTTGTATAGCAAGGATTAGTTGGTAAATATTGAATTTAGTTTTATTTTACCTTGAATTTAGTTAAGAATTAGATTTTAGGTTAGGGTAAGTGAATTCAGGCTGCCGTTACTTACTTTTACTTTTATCCTCTTCGCCACTGATCGGCTCGTTAGCCGCTTGGGCGATCGGTCACGTCTCTGAATACTTTTCCTTTTCATTTATCCTCTTCACCAAAAGATCGGCTCGCTAGCCGCCCGGGCGATCGGTCACGTCTCTGTCACGCACTGTTGGCAAATACAGGGCATGCACCGGCTCCTGAATGTACCTGAACCTCCTCCAGTGTTGGTCAAGTCTTGGCTTGAAAGAGCTCACACTCGGTGCCGTCACACTCTCTGGTAGATTGTTCCAGAGTTTACAACCCTCACTCGAAAAAGTTTGCCCTCACAGTTTTCTGGACCTGCGGCTTCTTCAATCTTGAGCTGTGACCCCTGGGGGCGAGCGTCCGCCAGCTCCAAGTAAGGACACTCGACTGAGTAGTGCCCCCTGAGATGCTTATACACCTCAACTAGGTCACCCCTTGCCCGTCTGTAATATAAGGTAGGCAAGTTGGACTAGGACGTTTTGTATAGTAAAAAATAATTACAATTGACCTCAGAATATCTCCAAATATCAAGTGCACATGGCTGCAAAATGACCTCGAAATGTCCATGATATTGGTCAAATTAAAAATAATCGGGGCTTACAGTCCTCCCCAAAAACACAGCTGGGTGGACTCACTGTGCTCGCCATTTTCCCCACCCACATCTTATTGGACACCCCTTTTTTATATTCCTAGATCCGCCCCTGAGTCGAATGTCCATATCTGGAGTTGGCGGACGCCCGACCCACTAGAGGTCACAGCTCAAGGTTGAAGCCACAAGTCCAGAAAATTGTGAGGGCAATTTTTGGGGATTGAGAGTAAACTTTTGGAATAATCTGCCTGAAAGTGTTGTGACTTGTGACAGCACCGAGTGCGAGCTTTTTCAATACCAGACTTGACCAACAATGGCGCAGGTATAGATATATTCTGGAGCCAGTACATCCCCAGTAATTGCCAAGAGTGCGTAACAGAAACGTGACCGACCGCCCAAGCGGCGAACAGGCCAATCAGTGGTAAGAAGATAAAAGTTGCGGAATAGGGTGTATACATTCCATAGACTTTTCGGAAATCTACAACAAATTAGAGTGTATCGGTCAAATTTAAGGGTCTGGGTCCGGCCCATGGTTACATAAAGAGCTAACATTACAAATATTTACAAACAGCATGAACAGTTTGTTTCATTACATATCCCTGTAAAACCGGAAAATGCGATTTCAGAAGTGCAGTTTGTACTATACATTTCAAAACAATAGGGAGTTATCTAAAACCAACTCATTTCATATTCCTTCATGTGTTAACTCCAATTTTGTCAAGAAATTCAGCTACGTCGCCTTTGTCAAAACTCAATAGCCCGAGCCACTAACATAATCTTAGTTGTCAGATGAATACAAGAGGGAAGCCATGTATATTGAGCTACTTCCTACACCCGCTAGTGAAGGCCGTGGTAACTGGGGCGGATAATGCGTATCAATGACCAGTGACTGAGGTTCTGTCACTAAATTACCTTCTCATCCACATAAGGTAATTTTGTGACAGAAATTCAGTCATTGGAAAACTTCTCACAAAGATCTGAGAACTCCATTTCGTCGTCTTAAAAAACACCGAGATATTTTTCGTATTAAAATTTCAATTAGGGAAATGCCCTTATATTATTGGGGTGTGTGGCAGGTTTCCTTATAATTATTACGAGTATTTTTTATCGCTGATTCTCATCATTCATTCCTGTGATTTTGCCTATCCACACTGAATGTAAAGGTATCTGCAACAACGTGTAGGGATATCAACACGACTCACATCCCCTCACCATGATATCTCTGGGATGGCTTGCAAGACGTAAATTCATCTAGTTTATCAAGTTATCTGGTATCCTTATCTATATCGGGCGCCAGGCTGAAGGGGATGGTCGAGCGCCTACGTCATATTTCAATGATTTAATTTTTGATGGTTACCAGGAACGTTTGAATAAACGTAACACACCTCATAGAAAAAAAAACATACAAAGGCGTATTCCTATATAGGGCAGTATGTGTGATACGATTATCGTCTTGACTCACAGATTATAAGATATTTACTGTATCTTTCTCACAATAAAGTATAAAGTATAGACAATAGAGACAATTAAGATAGGTCCCCCTACATTAGTTTTCTATGAGGCGTTACTGAGGTGTTATTCAGTGGTGGTCTTGGTGTTGTCAACAAGACGACTCTTCTGAGGCAATTGTTGTTGTTAGACGACTTTGAAGTGGAAGACCCCTTTCATAAGTCAAGTTGTACTGGTGTATGGACGACATGCTTATCGAGGACATAGGCATGGGAACGACCAATGGTGAGGAGGAAGTAGAGGCTGCTGGTTACAGCCAAGATCCAGATATGCAGACGAGTACAGGAGAGGAAGTTGACGGGGAGGCTGCAGTGAACCAAGAACCACCCACCTCCATCATCGTCACCAACCTCCTTGCTCAGACATTTGACGAGCCAGAGGAACGAGTGAGTTTTAAACAATATCCTGATGGCACTAGTTGTTCTCTTCTACATACTGTGGTGTAGGAGATGTTGACAAGGCACTAACTACTTAGGTAGGAAAAAAGGTTAATGTTGCAGTTTATCAGGACACTCTTAATATAGCATGAAACAAGATAAGGTAATGTTTTACTTTGTCAATGCAGACCTAATATTTGGTAATATAGCATTTAAAGGTTGTCACCTTGATAGTGGTTTGAGTGTCTGAGGAAACTGGCCCGTGCAGGAAACTAAACATTTTCTTAGAAATTGTAGGAAAAAAGTGTTTCTGACCTTTGAATCTGGGAAAAAAAAAGATTCAAGAAAATAAATTCCATTTGACCCGTAGGTGTTTATGTGATGGGCACAATGGGTGGCTTGTTCTCAAATGCTGGCAGTGATTGAAATCAATTGACCACTAAAGTCCTAATTGTTATATCCCTGTTTAGATCAGAAATATTTCAACATTTTTATTTTTTATTCGCTGGTGTGACAACGATGCATAAGCAGAGGCATGGTGGAAGGATAGAGTTCAGGGATGCCTTGGCTTTATTCACTGGAACTGTTTTTACATAGACTGCAATTCTGGTCCTGGAGCGAGGAAAAGATGCCCCTGAAACAAGACATTAACCAGTTTACTTCAGATATTAAAAAAAAACTTGACACTAATAATCACTAAACTATGTTTGATAATACTGTAGTAAGGATACGCTTAAGTAGTTTATTGCTTCTAAAATCAACATGGAATATGACGGTAAAAGATGATGCAACAGTTAACCTTTTAATGGGGTTAAATCAATTAAATGATTATTAAATTGGTTGATCCTAAAATACTATACAGTATATATTACCAAATATTTTACCTATTGATATTAAACTTTACATGGACTACCCGGTAGTACCTGTAGATTGACCTCACCACCATTGATAGGGCATAGTAGGTCAAATGACTATAAAAGACAGACAGGTTAATGAGAGCTACTGAGTTATGAGCTCTATTAGAAAATGAGAGTTCAGAAACAATCTGTAATTACTATTATTTTTCACATTATTGGCAACAGTTGATTTAAGTTATTAATTTTTTAAAGATTTTGAGTTTACCATATAGTTTCCCTGATATATATTGTCTACTTCACCCTCTTACCTACTTTTGAGTTTTAACTGTTTAAAATCCTGACCTAATGACTGTAACTTGATTGTACAATGAGTTATATATCAAGGGGCCTTTAACCATTTTGAGCTGAATAGTGAGTTAAATACATGCCCGGTTTTGTAACTCCTTACTAATTCTAACTTGGTGAAATATTATTGCACTGTATATATTTCTCATTACTATATATGATTACCCAAATACTGTACCTAGATGAGCAGGACCTCGATAAAGAGAGAAAATATATGGCTAAGCTCACTAGTTATAAAATATGCTCACTTTCTTGGTAGATAACATTCACTACTGCATTGTTTTACTTTCCACAGGCAATATTTCAGTCATTGTTTCATGATGTAGATGAAACAGCAACATTCCAGTATTTCAAGAGCTTCAAGAGAGTACGAGTAAACTTTGCTTCAGCAGCCCAAGCAGCCGCAGCTCGTAATAAACTCCACCTGACAGAGTTTAGGGGTGAGATCATCAAATGCTACTTCACTCAGGTAAGACAAACACATCAATGGTATTCAAAGAAAGTTAAAATTGATTGAATTATTGGAAAAGACACTATATTTCAACACCATGCTTTGTTGTACTGTATATCAATAGGACTTAACAGTAATGATAGTAGAGTGTACAGTCACCATGTAGTACAGGGTGTAATTATATAAAATTTAATGTATCAAATTAGAAAATGGGGAATGCTTATTTTACTGTAGTGGTTTATTTGTTACCATAGGTATTTATTTTTTGGAGAGAGTGAGTATTTGCTGCACATACTGTACTTCATTTCTATTTTTCCAAATTCATACATTACAGTAGAGTATGTCAGAATGAAATACAAAATATTCTCTCCTTTCACCAGCCAATTATTCTTGGGAGTAATCGAGAAGGAGGGCCCCACTTACAGCCACCAAAACGTGAGAAGCAGTTCCTGATATCCCCTCCTGCATCTCCGCCAGTGGGTTGGGAACCCATTGAGGAGGCTGAACCTCTTGTCAACTATGATCTCATTGCAGCTGTAGCTAACCTCGCCCCAGGTAATTTTTTTTAATAAATTTTTTAATGAATGATTTGAATTTGAATACGGTATAAACATTTTATATCAGAGAAGAATTTCTTTATTCCGATATAATATCAGTTTCTACACATTTTATATACAGTATACCAGTACTGTATACTGTCACTACTTATTTATTATACTTATTTCTATACAGTATATATGTGAGATGTGCTCTTGATTAAGCTGGGATTTTACTCCTAGAAAAGGCTATTAAAAGCAAAAATTTATTAAAGAATGCAGGTTTCCATCATAAAAGGGGGATTACATTCCCAGCAACAGCCAGAGTCTCCCTTTGACTTTTATTTTCTGTTTACTCTTTATCTGTGGTCTAGAATGTAATGTAAATGCTGTGAACAAATTACTGAATGTGTTTATCTTAGCCTAGCATAGACAAAGTTAGGGTATAAAAAGAATATAAACTGTGCATGTGCAAACCCAGTTCATGTGAGGCCAGCATATGCGAGGGTGATGTGAAAATAATTGTTTGGTTTTCAGGGGAGGCCCACGAACTGCATCCACCAACGGAAGACAAGCCTGGAATTATTGTGCGTGTGTGAGGAAAAGGAAGCTCCTAATGAGGATCACGGAGGAGCAAAACCCCGTATTATGCAGACTCGTCGACCTACTTAATGTGCCTCATGAGAATAGTGATTCCTTTGAAATGTAGGTGCACCTGGATCCCATTTCAGCCTATTTGGATCCATAAGAACAATTACATCCAGTGGGTAACTTTCTGGATGTTTGGGTGGCATTGTTGTAGAATCCCAAATTCCGTTAGGGCTGTAAAGGGTTGAGTGTCATCTTGTGGCTGTTGAGTGGCTGTTATTTTGTTAAGTATTCACTTACTTTAATCACATTGAGCTCTTGACTGTTCCATTATTTGTTGGTTGTGTAGTGTTTCATTTTATACTTATTTCTGTGGCTGTTGGGGCTGTCAGTGTTATGAATTCCTCAAAGCTTCTCGCAGCATATATGAACTGTCAAGCTTTTTCCAAGTATTTTCCCACTAAAAAAATTGAATAAATATTCTGTAGCTTGAGTAGGTATTAGTTAACTCCAAGTAGAAGTATCAACATTCAGGATTTTATGAATGTTGATTACCTATATTGCTGCACTGTATAGATGAATATTTTAATCAAATGAGTCTGACAATATCAGTGCCTGTGTAGACTTCGGTTGAAGTCTTCAAGAATAAGCTATTTCTCTAATCCTTCACACATATAAAATGGTTCAAGTTCAATGATAATTAATTAATCATAATACAGATATGTATTATTATGAATACTTAAAAATTATGTTTGAATTAGTTAATTATAAGTCAAATTAAAATTATTCAAATAGTGCAATATATTTATCTAGAGGTCTATTCAGTTCCTTTTTATGTGAAGTGTAAGCATGATTGTAAACAAATGTATTATGTGCTAGTCCTTAAGATAAAGTTGTAAATATAAATAATATATTTATGAGTCCTGAAGTTTATCGTATAGCTATATACAATATTTAGAACATGACACGGAGGTTTATTGTATTCTCTGAATGTAATACACAAGAGTCCCGGCATCATACAGTACCTCTGTTTCAATGTGTCTCAGGTTATTATGGTTCTCGTAATTGGTGATTATTATTTCTAAACTTTTTAGTATATTACTCAAATTAAGTTTAGTCCAAGGAAAGAAATATGTCTGTTTCTGGTTACCTTATACTGTAGAGTTTAAATAGTTAAAGTAAACCTTATAAAAGTTAATGGTCTTTTTAAAGGTATTTAGGCATTTCATATGGTAGCTAATGCACAGAATCATAGAAAACAAATAAAAATAATATACAGTAACAGTATTGTCACCTGCAAGATGCCACATTCATGAAAGTTGTTATACTGTATGTGGGTAATTTTATTAAACTAGCTGACTCCATTTCTTGCCAGCCATCTTTCACTGGGCAGCTTGAGTATAAGAGCAGCACTGAGTCTCTGGTCTAGACCCACGAGACCTGACAGTGATGTCAGGTGTGTACTAGCTGATGTGTTGTTCCATACCCTCCATCTAGTGCAGTGGTTCCCATACTTTTACACACGATCCCCCCCCCCCATTTTCTAAATATAATTTAATAAACCTTTAATCAATTTTACACCCTATCTATTCATGTTATTCTTATCACAATGTGAACAAAAGGAAGCAGAAAAGAAAATATGTTTTCAAAGGTAAAAAGGGGCCAGTCATGTGGTGACTGGCGAGATGGGATGGAGAAGATGGAAGGATTGAGGTAGCTGGGCAATGTTGAATTAGATTTTTTCTTCACTTGGCCTCACTCCCCTCCTACACCAACCTCCTACCCCCTAGTTGGGGAACCACTTCTGTGTTTGTGTGAGGGAAAACCTTTGATTTTGCTCTCTATTTCAGGGTGATGGTTCCTGTAGGGGACGTAATGTATAGTTTCCTGAGTCTAGGTGAAAAGATTTACTGTTTCACTCGTTTTCTAGCCTCAGTCGTAAAATGGGATATCAGGATCAATCTTTCATAATTTTACAGGTAATAATCATAGACAGACATAATCTTTAGTTTGTAATTTATTTACTACACTTCAGCCATTGATCAAAATGAACCCACTCCTTAATTCTCTTTGTTTCCTAATTTATATACAGTATTGGTAAAACATATCTTGTAGAAAAGTGGCAAGAGATAATCTTTACTGTAGGAAATATGAGATGAATTGATTAAATTTAAAATTAACTTCAATAAAAATGATACTGACAGATAACATTTGTAATTATATCAATGCACAGTTTACAAATTCTAAGTGTCTTCAGTAAGTGTTTCAGAGGAGATATATATTATTTGCTATCTTAATGTTAATCAGAATTTGTCATTTACACTATATTTGTCACTCAGTAAATAATGTTTCATTGTAGTGGCTTATACTGTATGTGGAAATTTAATTTTTTGTTGATAAAAATTTGTTGTGGATTGAAATTACACTATACAGGTAATTGGCTTGAGAGCATTAAGTTGCATAATTTAAAGGTAGAGGCAGTTGCCGTATTTATTACAGTACTGTACATATAAGGTTGTTGTAAAATGTTGAGTACAGAAGGAGAGAGAGATAAACTTCAAGTTGTTAATATTACACCATATGTTTTGAGCTACTGTACATTCATATAGTGAACTGTTTGTGTTTCAGGAATCATGAGCCTTAGTTTTTGACTTTCACATTATGCTCTGCTCTACTTGTAGCCAGTATAAGTGTCTTGTAGCGGAATTTGCAGGGGGGTGTTGCTTAATACATTTGTTTGTTATTCAGATGGTTGTTCTTGTATGTATTTTACCTTCAAGAAATATTAATGTAAACAGGCTTATGGAGAATTGGGTGAGCAGATTCCATGGATAGTACAGAACATTAGTTTTTTCCCAAAGGATTTACGTATATGCCTTTCAATATGGGGTTTATTATAAGTGTGGTGAGCTTCTGTAAGTACAGTTATTTGAAATGGGTGTGCTGTTTCATATTTGTATTAGAAGGGAAATATTTGTGGGCATATTTTACATCAACTGTACTGTTTATAGTGTGAGAAGCTGATACTGTATGTTTACTTGTGCTATAAGAGACTTGAATGCACAGTTTACAGTACTGACCATTGAGTGATGTATATTCTGCAATCATTATCATATGACAGAGACTTGCAATAGCACACTCAGTTGAAAACCTTTTTGTTTTTAGCTTGCTTATGGTTACTATTAGCTTATGCATTATTTTAAAATGTGCCATTATTATTATTATTATTTGTTTAATTTGTCATAAAGAGTATTTTTAATCTTTCCCAAGACTTTTTATTCTATTACTCATTAAATCACTTGTATTTTGCTCACACTGTACATCATTACATGTGCACATCAACATGCATGCTCATATATACACTTATATGACCTAACACACACACACACACACACACACACTTTATTACCAGTAGTTGTGTGTTGTGATACATACAGCATCTTGATAATTTGTCTAAAATATGACATATTTACTGTACTATAATGCACAGTATATTGCTTTTATTACTATTGTATAACAAATGACCTTGCGTTTGTCCTTGAATGCAGCAAACCTTTATACTGTACTGTATTAAGTGAAATTTTTTAGGACATGTATAAAACTGGATGCAAAATCATTACCAAAATTATATATCACATAAAATGAAGATACAGTACACTGTCAGAGCAAGGAAGGTTACCATAGTTCACTTTGTAAATGAATGAATCTGCCAAAACTGGTAACTGGTTGAGCTGTTGTACATACAGTACAGTAGTTACTTCTACAGTATATACTGTACTTGTATCCTTTGAGTAATGGATTTTTGAATTAAGGAATTTATAGACAGAATTTTTAGTTACATTATTTTGAGTCACAGAATTTTGAGTTATGGATAACTTTATGGGAACATAACCTTTCCATAACTCAGGGATGCCAGCACAGTATTTACAAAGCTTTCAAGAGTCTTACATAACCCAAACAAGGTTTTTTTGTCACAAAACAAAATTGAAGGCAAAGGTTCCCAGTTTATAGATACAGTAGACATATTACATGAAGAATTAGAGTTATATAACCATAGATTTAATTTGAATTTGTAAATTTTACAGAACTGGAACAATATGAAGTTATGTGCATGTACTTTATAAACAGCATTTCTCTATTGCTTTCAAATCTGCATAGTTCTGTTAGTGTAACAGAAGAGTGTTTGCAACAACAAAATTCATGAATTAAAAACCAACTACAGTAGTTTGAGTTTAATGAAGGGGTAATGGTATGTAAAGAGTTTAGTAAGATGATGTAACTCTTTTCAAAATTAACCCATTCAGTGCTCTTTACACAAAGGTTTTATTCTGGCTACTGTCACATGGTTAGACAGTAGTCAGCTTAGAGAAAACTTCCAGCACTGAGAGGGTTAAACTTTAAACAAGAAGAGTCAGAAATGTATCTTTAGATTCTATATGTAAAGTCTCATAAGATCTCAACTGATTGATATAAGCAGACCATTGTGTACTGAACCAGGGTTGTTGACAATGAAAAATCACAAGTTTAATTTCTATAGACATTTCAACATCAATAGCTCTAACACAAGTATATTACTCATGTTCATGTGAATTGTGATAAATCAATAAAAATTCTCTCCAATTCTTCACTACGGTAGTATAAGTAAACTGTGTATACCTTCAAGTTCTTGTTCAAAAAGACAACATGATAGTGTGTGTGTGTGTGTTAGCTTTGATGAAGTGTGTCTGCCATAAATGACTTGACAACCTTTGAGAACAAGCCTCTATGAGACAATAGATATAGCTACAGACAGTATGTAAATAACATATTGCCTGTCTTTACATGTGAGACTGTTGTTCATTAACTTTCCTGTAGAGATGTAAAATTGAATATAAAGGTAACATGGGTTCATCTGTATGTATATAGGGAGTGGCATGTTATTTGAAAATTACTTTTATAAATACTGTACAGTATAACCAAATTACTCCAACTTAACATACCCTACTTGAGGCTAATTTAGTTAAAATTTGGTTAACTTTGGTCCAGAGAATATATGGGATATGACTTTTAATCATTCAGATGCTTTTAAAATGAGCTGTGTTACTAAACTTAATCCAATTTAAGCCAACCCAAACAGATCTTAGCGATCATGAAACTGTTGTTAGACCCATCTCAGTGAGGTCAGAACCTGTCCAACCTGATTTAATTTAGTCTCCTCTAAGATAAATAACACAAGATTTAAGATTTGATTAAGTTTAGCGATTTAGTAATTTAAAGCAGACATTAATTCCAAATTTTAGTGTGTGCCCTTCTTCAGATGGATTAGAGTTCCATCTTCAAATGGACCACATTGTGCACCGCTTACATTATGGTAAAATATACTTACTGCAGTGAAAAAACTAACTGCCTTACTTATTTATCATGTTAACTAACGTTTGTGAATGTTTGTTTTCAAGGAGTTTTATGATATTTGGCTTTGATTTTGCAAAAGTTACATTAATGTAATGCTATTTTGTATTTTACTATGTTTTAAAGGGTTACTATGTTCTAAGCGGGGATACTGCAAGTTTTACATGAGGGAACAGTAAGCAACAAATAAAATGCATGTTTTGGTACATAACTGTATTTAAATTAATTTCCTTCTAATGCCTATGTCAAAATTTCAATAATGTGTAGCCCATCACACACATACACACACACACACACACTTGTTCTTTTCATCTCGCTAAACATAATTTTCTGTGACTAGTATGAGTACCGGGTATACTTTCTGAGTGAACATCTAATAAAAAAAAAATTTAATAATTTGCTTTGCATGATTCCACTATGGGCTAGGCAACATTGAAGTCAGTACCTGGATTCTTAAAGGTTCGTGTGTTGAATATTGTATTTCAAAGAACTGTAGATGTAAGATATGGTAATGCACAATAGGAACTCCATAACAAGATCAAAATTTTTACACTGAAACTCTACATGGTGTAAATGCATTGTCCACCAACTAGTGACATAACTAAAGAACAGAATCATTGTGAATCTGGATCCTGTACTACAAATATCAAATATTTATATGTCAATTTTGTTTCCAGCTTATAACTAGGGATAAAAAGAGTGAATTTAGTTACAGAAGATTTCTAGTAGAATTACAATGTTACATCAGATTCTTTGACACAAGGGAGAAATGAAGAGTGTAGACAGAGAGAGAGAGAGGATTGGAACACATTTGTTCCTATTCCATTGTCTGGAGAGGTAAGGATGGGGGCAGGGAACATTGTTTTTTTAAAAAATCCTGACTTCTCTTTGTTCTGACTGTTTTGCAGCTCAATCAAAATTAGTGGCCAGAGAGCAGCTAATCTCCATAGTTGGGTTTGAAATATACAAAACTTATTTTCATTAAAAAAAATAAAACTGCCTGACACATGAACCAGTGTAACAGTGTTTACAGATGCACGAAGTTGTGCTCATAACACACTGAGGTGGTGAAGGTCATACTTTACCCATGTCCTTTCTCTCACTGTGGGAAGGTTCACATCATGCATGGCTGACATGGTACATCCGGGGTCATCATTCTCAAAGGATCATTGTTAAATATTCCTTGTAACTGAAAATGCACCTGAGTCTGGTTGACTTATGTAGAGAGATAATACAAAACAAAAAATTACCTTGAAACTAAAGCTTAACTAGATGCATTTACTCTGTGTCACTATAGACCAAATTAAGGTACAGGTCCAGTCAGTATCTTTTCCAATAAGTTTGGTTAAAGTCGAGTTTGTCATACTGGGGCTATTTTGGGATGGAAACTTATTATTTTTTTAATTAGTTAAGTGCCATTTAAACCCACTATCGTATTTTGGTGCCTTGCCACTGAAAATACATGTTCACAGATGACGAGAAGGAAATAAACTTCATTGCATAAAGATAAAGTAAAAAAATGCTTGATCCGAGGAAGGAAATGAATCGGGTTGAAAAAAAAAGAGGACCGGAGTGAAGAACGAAAAAGCAGTTTGTTTAATGGTTATTTATGAAGAAATTTTGAAGATCTAAAGTGTTCATAAATTTAACCATGATAGTATATGAACATCTAGTTTTACCTAAGCAATTCGACATGTTTTTGACCTGGGTTAGAGACATACTTGTATATACAATTCATCAGATATACTGTAACTGTTCCATAAAAAAGTTTCATTAAGGGAGAAGGACAATTTGTGGACGTCTGAAATGTTGTATACTGTAGTTTAATTTTTTATAGGTGCAATTCTTTAACCCCTTGTGGACGATGGCTGAGAGAGAGGTATAATTATTATGGTGTTGGTGTTATCTTTTATCTTCTTCACCATTGATTGGCTCGTTAGCCGCTTGGGCGATCGGTCACGTCTCTGTTACGCACTGTTGGCAAATACTGGGCATGTACTGGCTCCTGAATGTACCTGAACCTGCTCCAGTGTTGGGCAAATCTGGTCTTGAAAGAGCTCACACCCGGTGCGGACACAAAACTTTCTGGTAGATTGTTTTAAGAGTTCACAATTCTCACCCGAAAAGTTTGCCCTCACAGTTTTCTGGACCTGCGGCTTCTTCAATCTTGAGCTGTGACCCCGTGTGGGGCGAGCGTCCGCCAGCTCCAAGTAAGGACACTCGACTGAGTAGTGCCCCTGAGATGCTTATACACCTCAATTAGGTTTGCCCTTGCCCATCTGTAGTATAAGCTAGGCAAGTTCAGGCGCTTCAATCTCTCAGGGTAGCTGAGGTGCCGAAATGCAGGCACCAGTCTGGTGGCCCTCCTCTGAGCATTTTCAACCAACTGACAGTTCCTAGCATATCTCGGGTACCAGACGGGGTGACAGTACTCCAGATGGGGAAGCACTTCACTCTTGAAGATCGTTACGAGGGACCGTCTAGATATCTGAACGACCTTCTTATAAGACCCAATAATTTATTTGCCTGATTTACCTTCTTCTCGCAATGGCCCGAGAACTTCAGCTCATTGTCAACATACACAAGTAGGTCCTTCTCACATTCAGTCTCAAATACTGTAGTGCAGTTTCCTCATCCCGTTGGGACATATAATACGCCTCCTTACCGTTGGTACGCCCCAGGTGCATCCTCTTACACTTCGTGACATTGAATCTTAGCAGCCATTTCTTCGACCATTCTTGGAGTTCACAGAGATCCTTCTGCAGCTCTTCACAGTCCGCATGGTTCTTGATTTCCCGAAATAACTTGGCGTCAACGGCAAACATTTGTATGGAGGAGTGTACAACGTCAGGCATGTCATTTATGAAACAAACAAACAACAGCGGGCCCAATACACTACCCTGTGGTACCACGCTTGTGACAGGTACGGACGATGATTTTGTGCCATTAATCACCACACACTGCTTGCGGTAATGTAGAAAGTCTTCTATCCACGCTTGGACATTTCTCCGAATTCCGCACTCTTCCAGTTTGATTTTTCAGCCTTTCGTGGGGTACACTGTCGAAAGCCTTGGCAAAATCTAGGTAAATATTGTCGATATTACCACCCCGTTCCAGAATATGGGTCCAAATATCAATACCTTGAGCAATTGTGTTAAGCAGGAGCGCCCCGGCAAAAACCGTGTTGGCAATCCTTATTTTAGGTCATCCAGTTATAGGCGGATATTTCTGTAGTCATTCAGGAAAAATATTCATCAAAATGTCCTCTAATTTAGTCACAAAGCTTTCAAAAAATCATACTGTATTACGTCTTCATATCTAATTACAGACAGGAACAAAACAAAAACAAATGGTTGCGTGAAGACATATCAGTTAGTCTCCTCCCCCTATTGATTCTTATTATATTACCACAAGTCACAGAAAACACGTACTACTTACTACTTTGCTGTCACTCGGAATCGAGTATGACGATCATCTAGCTATGGTAAAATGATATGGGTTATTAGGGATGTCACTTAGGTTAATGAGTTTTGAGGTGACTAAAGAGCCCGATACGGGACCGGCAGCGTATTAGCACTAGTGAACTGTGACGTCACAAGAGAACGACTATGCGATTGGCTAGGACAGGCCGTCAGGTAACGGCATATAAGAGGGAGTCAACCTGACATGCACAGTAGTAATTCTCAGTTAGCTCTCAGGTAAGGTAAAACTCATCGCTGTTCGCACCAGTCTTTGTGTCTAAAAATAATAAAATTACGTGATTTCCAATATTTCAGAAAATTCTCAGTCTCAGTACATCAGAGCATATCCAAAATTCCCCTTTCACTTTACAGTGTTTGGACTTCTTACTACTTGGGGATCATTAGGTGAGGAGAATTGGAATTTTAACGTATTTGTCAGATTTTTCTTTGTATAAGGATTTTTTTCTTTCTTCATTTTGTGGCTCCGACATAATAGGTTATGAAAAGCGGCTTTATTAGATAAAGACTTATGATATATATGACCCACAAGTAGATGTTAGATATTGCCAAGTGTTCAGGGAATTTTCTTCGCACTGTACACTTTAACACCAGTACACCACCCTCCTCCCATGGTGTTAGTAGTGACTTTCTGTATTATTTTATATATTTTTCGGTAACCGGTTTTGTTTGTATGAAACCAACTATATTCTACGTACAATCGGTTACCCTTTCACATAAAACCAGGATTTTTATTTATTTTTTTATGTGGTCATGCATTAGTTAATACAATCAATTTGTATTTTAGTCACCACACAACCAAGTAAGCACAATAGGTGTTCGATAAAAAAAATGACCTTTTTACTCCTTACATTGGTGATATAACAAAATCGATATGCGTAATAATATGGCTGATAATAAAAACAAAAACAGAATATCGAGTTTTTCCAAAAATTTCGCTCTCTACTTTTCGCCATTATTTGTATTTCTTTTTCTTTTTATGTTATTCTATTTGTTAGTATAAATGTCTAGGTATGTTTTATTGGTTTCAAATTTTTTACCATATACGGTTTGGCTATACGCGATTTTAGAAAAAATCCATCTCCACCAAGTATTATACAGCATACTGAAATGTAACATAAAATATCATAATACATCATCGGAGTATCATACCGATATAATAAAACGATATTATAAGACAAACTTACCTTTCTGTGTAATGGTAGATGATTGACGGAGTTGCAATCGGGAAGGTATATGACGAAGCAGTCTCTACACATTTGAATAAGTGAAACATCGTGAAATAAACACTAAAAACACTTGACAACACTTTGCATCACTTTTACAGATGGATGTGACGTTTATCATATGCACAGAGGAGCAATATTGTAAATTAACACATGCTGTTACAAGTTTCAATAAGAAATACCGTAAAATATTAACCAAACACTTTATAAACACTTTACGTCTTCATGATGTCGCTCGATGGACACTTGCCATGTAGCTACTTGGAGATGGATTACTAAGTCACCAATCACGGCACTGCCTCATCGCTCACACGCAAGTTGTGTTAAGGCGCCACGGCACCTTTTTTCTCTCACTAAAATTCCATTCCATCATCCCCTTTAAACTTCCACTGAACCTCCTTCCCCCCTGTCACTAGTATTTATTCATTCATTCATTACCACGAGAAGAGGGCTACAGGAATGACGCGCCAAAATATCACACAAATGATGGAAATACAAGCCAGTGCGAATTGAACAAGAATTATGATTGCCTCCAAATTGCGCCATGGTGCATTCGCTGGACGTATGAAACTTTACTAATTTTGATTTTAGATAAAATACTTGATAACTTTTGTCTGTAACCTGGTATAATTGGTAAGCAATTAGGACTTTTGCGAATATTATCGGTTTAATTATTATTTATTTGAAGATTAATAAACTGTCATTTGATTCCTGTTTTTGCATATCTAAACAAACCCTCCCAGTCTCCTCTACTGCATAGCGCATCTCTTCACCAAGTTGCTGAAACTTCGAGTAACAACTTCGGTATTATTATCGTTTCGGTCATAAAGCGAATTTTTGTAGGTTAGGTTGCATTTAAGAAGCAGTGCTGTAACCGAATTTTACCGGTTAGGTTAGACCGAAACGATAATTTTACCACAACTTCTGCCACACATTTTGTTGTTTTGTTTTGGTTCCTCTATTAAATACGAGCATAATACTTTCATTGGCACAAGCAGAGCGAACACCAAAAAACACGAATACCACTAGCAGTGTGCGTTTCGTGGTATGAGATTCAGTTAAGTTATGGCTATGATATTACCTAGGTGTCGTGGGAATCCTTGAATGATAATACGAACGGAAGGGCGGAATACACGCGTGTCAAGATACAAAAACCTGAAAACATTGTACTGTACAGGTTAATGCAGTAACTTCACACCACGAAGAGCGTTTCAGATTATCGTTAAACATTCCGTGTTAGTGATGGCTTTATTGCTAATAAGAGGAATTTTTGATTTAGATTACTGTACTATGAATCACTTATCGTAGCAAACAAGGAACGACATTAGAAAATACTGAAGGTAGATTAGATTTTTTTAGATTGTGCCGGAGGTAGATTAGATTTTTTTAGATTGTGCCGGAGGTGGGCTAGTTTGTTGGGCACCCCCTTACCCTCCTGTGCAAAGTGAAGCGCAGAAGCGTTTACAGTCAGTGTCGGATTTAGACCTGTGGAGGCCCATGGGCAGCCTCTTTGTGGGGGCCCCCCTCATTATAACTACCCAAGAGGATGGGGTGGCGAGTAAAGCGAGCCTAAACATCTGGGAGATCCGGGGGCGTGTAAGCCCCCCGGGAAAATTTAGAAATTTGAACACTTCTTTGGAGAATTTTGAAGCCATATGCAGTCATATTGAGGAAATTAGAACATTGAGAAATTTTTAATTAACTGTATATTTATTGATAGTGTACAAATTCCCAACACACACACACACACAAAAGTGAGACATAACTGGAGTCATTCACGTGGTTTCAAGTCGACCAGCCCTGATATAGCTACTACCGCACATGTCAGAAATTTGTGGAATTCTAAATATATCATTAGCAACACAAACAATAGCATTCATTAAAAATATACGGTTCATAGGAAAACCAGGTATTCATGAATTTCAAGGAATAGCTAGCCTAATTTCTATCACGCTTCTTGCTGAACATAGTTTTACGTGATGGAATAGATAAACATGAATTTTAAAGAATGAAAATAAAAATAATCCAAATTAATAAACAAATAAATAAAATATTGTAATATGTGGAGGCCCCTGGGCAGCTGCCCCTTTTGCCCACTCCTGAATCCGGCCCTGTTTACAGCGCCCATCTGGGAAGCAAGGGGAGTTCATGCATGCCTTTATGACTCATGCATTAAGCGCGTAAAAGCCTGAAGTGTCATGGGTTTTTGTCAGCAAGTTACTTAAAGTGACAATGAGTGTGTGGGGGAATACTGAAGGTAGGTGGACTGAAATATTTATATGCCGTATCAGGCGTTCAGATGTAGCTGGAACAACAAGCTCACAGAACTTGGTAGTTTATATTTTTTTACCGTTATTCAGGATGATGATATATACAAGAATATGAAGGTATACCAATTCTCACCCAAATAGAATAGGCATTGCAAAGACTATCCCTGTGTCTAGTGTTACCGGGGTAGCGAGTACAAGTAGGAGTGATAGTAGTCACACAGTCACACTTCTGTTTACATTAAAATTATTATTACTGCGCTTTAACAACGAAGGTCTTTAAGCGCGTAACAGGAATTAACAATACGCTATTCCACCATAATTAAAAAAATGAACTCTGTGGGAATTAGTGACACCGCTCATTAATTAAAGTTTGTAGAGCCGCTATTATATAATTTACAACCATATTATGTTGTTGATGGTAACAATGTACACAACTTATCATTGGTGGTAATAATGTACTAAGGCAGGGGCAGTGTTGACAGGTAATCAATTGGGTAGGGCGTGAAGCTCAGAGCGGCGTGGTCACTGGCCCCGGCGAATAAAAAACAAACTTGAGAAGTAAACAACTACATCTAACTATCTATATAATTATATATATATATATATATATATATATATATATATATATATATATATATATATATATATATATATATATATATATATATATATATATATATATATATATATATATATATATATACATTTCTAACTATTTATCTACATACATATCTAACTATCTATCCAAATGCAGGAATAGCGCAGGAGCACGCATCACCAGACACCGCGACATATGTACCCCGGCAGAGCGATGGACAATAACGTACAGGGTTCTCCCCGGCGAAACGCTTCATGCGACTGATGCGACATGTTGTGTTTGGTCAGTAATCTTTACCCACTCTTTATGCTATAAGGCAAGTACTGTATTATCAGTTTAGAACGGCTATATTTTGTCATCTACAAAAGCTAAGTCTACAGTGTGTTGTATCCGCACTTTAACCAATAAAGCCCTGAAAGACACTAAAACACTGTCAACGAAATTAACTAAAAAAAATTCACAGCCCTAATGTTTAGTTGCATGATCTCTGAAACACCTCAATGACCTACATGACGTAGAACCCTGTTCAGCAGATATTCTGAACACACAGTCATGGTGTTACAAAAGTCCTTCAAAATGACCATCGCCACGTCAACACTACACTCTCATCTGGTGCCGTCAACTCCACGCCTCGGGAAGTTCTCTGACCGTGTTCTTGGCTCCATTAACTCTTCTTATTTCACCAGTACAACTGAATCCACCAGGTTAGCGAATTTGTTTACCAGCTGATTGTATTCCTAAGCTAAATGAATTAGTTATAGTTAATGTACAAACAGTAAGCTACACCTTTCTTTATGACCATGGCAGATCAAGGATTTTTTTTTGAGGGAAGGGGAAAATAGGTAGCAAACTTTTATTGCCTAACATATAAAAATAGTTCGGGTATTTAAAAAGTAGTGGCGTTTACTCCAGTAGTTGAATTTGTTTGTCCGGTGGCTGTAATGCTTGAAATCCCTCGGCAAAGGAAATATGTCTAATTCTGTCGTACGAATATGGTCATCATCCCTCACCGCCCTTTCTACTTTATGACCTTCACTCACCTCGTTTAGGCCACGGTGAAGCGAGGGCTAAATCCATTACCGACGATCTTGAATAATATCCTTAGTACTATGGCGCGTACAAACACTTAAAACATCGACTCGCCTGGCACCACACCTAAGAAAAGGGGAAATCGGAGGGGCTCCTGAGGCTCTTTTGAACCAGATATATTAAAAAGAACATTCTCAACAATAACACTTATTATCCCGCTCTCCGTGCTAGGTATATATGATCGTGTCAATATTAAAGAGGTCGGGGCCTTTCATGAAAAATTTCTAAATGGGCGACTCAATTCTCACATGGTAAAGGTCCCACCAAGAAACATTCTCCGTATTTGTTTAAGGGCGTTGGCGTCATAATGGTGAAGCCTTATTGACAGCCTCGTGGTGCAGCATTATTTATTGTCAGATGGCTACATACTGTGACAAATTTTACTCCTAATGTTTCGTCTTTAAGTGAATGTCAATATGTTGGCCCCGGGAACACTACCAGTTATCGACACTTTTCAGTTTGCTATTTTTCTTTCGTGTCATAAATTTCCGCTTTACCTGACACAAATGACCAAAGTTGTGAAAACTATTATAACAGAGTTAAAGTAGGATTGGAAACTGAAAATAATCAAAGTAATTGAAGCTTCAAAATATTGAGAAAATAAAATCATAGAACTTGAGTTTAAGTAAAAGTAAATTAAATATTCATAGGCAACGGGATCCTTCATCTGTGGTTATGAACACGGTGACTGATTATAACAGATGCTCTAAACTGCTCAGAGCTGGACTCTATGAGCTAAAAAGATACACGAAAGATTAGCAGTTGACATAATCAGTCTTACATTATTGGATAGATCGTTATGAGTCCCTTAATCCTCACTAGTTCATATGATTAGGGTCACAGCTCAAGGAGCCATGGCAACTGGTCGAGGGAACTTTCATAAATTGCGTATCTATAATGTTAAGATCATCGCATGTAAAAATAAAAATAAATAGTAATCCGCTGTCCGTGTCAAGGGGGTCGTAGAAATGAGTATTGATTTTAGTCTGCGTTCTTAGTTCCGGTCGTGGTGGTGGTCGATCGCTGGTATTGTTTGCTCTCCTTGCATGTTTTATTATTATAGCTAACGACTTTTCATTTACGAGCCGCCAAATAGAATATAAACATGGGGGTGTAAGATTGTGTAGGTCATATTACGGTACGGTACAAACTTTGGATCACCTGAAGATTAGGCATCCTAGCTTATATCACTTGATTAAACGCTTTAACTATCTCGGTTCGTTAGATTTGGTTAGGTTAGATAAGGTTAGGTTAGTGTGAAGGTGTTTAATTATAAGGTGACGTAAGCTGGGGGCTAATCTTCAGGTGATCAAAAACTTGAAGGCGACGAGGATATAAAATTTTTATATTTAAATTTTGAGTTTTTTTATTTATTTTTTATTTTGTATCTTATTAAGTTTTCATTTTTCGCAACATTTATTTTTTATAGCTTTTATCCAGACATCTTTATCTCCTGTCCCTGTTATTGTCAGGTGAATAAATTGTCTTTATTTTCACTTCTACGTAACCTGGAATCTATTCTCACTTTCACTCCCACGTAACATGGATTTAATAGCCAATACATGGGACACACGATGCTTATGTCCTCCTATCATGCCTTATCTTGTTTATATACGCTATCATCCTCTTCTTGAACGTCCCAATCTCACATAACTCACTCAAATTTATGTAAAAGATCCATTTTCTTTCGTACTGTTTTGAAATGATTTTTGTAACCTATGAGTTTTAATGGGCTGTCCTTAGTCAGATTATCTTATTGTTTATCATTATTTATATTTTCTCACTGTCTATGTACATTTTATACCTGTGCTCTCTATATACGTACTGAATTAATGTGCAATTATATGATGATTTTACTGAATAAATGATCTATCTGTCTGTGTCTACCTGTCTATTGTCTAAGCTGACGGTGTTGTCTCATTACAGATTGACTGACAGCTCCGTCCTGTCTCAGCTGATGACGTTTATCTTAGGTCTGTCAAGTGGACGTCAGATATATGTTATTTCCGACGATTCGTGGCCAGGTATGAGGTAAAATGCTCGTTTATTGAGGCATAACTAATGGCTCACCTGAAAATTAGACACCCCAGTTTATTTCGCCTTAAGATTAACCACCCGAACGCTAACCTAACGTAACCTAACCTAACCTATTTTAACGTAATCTCACCCAGACTAGGTAGCGTTAGTGTGTTTAATCATCAGGTAAACTCTTCAGGTGATCCAAAATTCTAAATTAATTTCTAGGCTGGGAACAGAACCGAGTTATAGGTTAGGTTTGGTTAGGTTAGATTAGGTGTTTTTAGGTTTGGATCTGGTGTGGCTTTTGGTTAGGGGATTAGTGAGGCATTGTTAGTAGTGATCGTGGATACCCATCTGAGAGGTCAGATAGGTTCTATATACAAACGCGTACTTATTTCTTTAGATATGACGGTCGTGATGAAGTCATGCTATCAGGAATGGGCCGACACGACCCTCTTGAAGTACGACCCAAAGCTGACGGAGCTGGAGTCGTCCCTCAAGTCACCTAATCACGTAGTTAGCGCGAGGAACGTGATCGTCCTCTGCTCCACCCAACACACACTGTATCTCTTTCAACAGGTAAAGCTGAACCAAACAGGCAACTACCATACACCTCTACACCACAACATATCCTAGTTAAAACTCATCGTGGGCAAACCAAATGACTTCCCTGTGCTTTTCCATCTACTATTTATCATTTCGTCTTAATTATCAATTTAAGATTTGAGCTCATAGTATGGTGATTCTCTGCTGCCTGTAGGAGGGATACTAAGCGAGATATACACTCCTATCAGCACACACAGTAGTAGAATTCACCAAGGTGCTCTCTGTCTGTAGGTACGGGAGAAGGTGTTGGAGTCGACGACCGTTCAGTGGTTCGTGGTGGTGATGGAAGACCTCACCTTCATCCTCCAACACTCACTCAGAGGGAGCCCAGGTAGGTCGAGAGAGAGAGAGAGAGAGAGCGCACAGGTAGTACGTTAAACAAAATAATAACAATAAAAACATCTTCACTCACTTCAGGTGTCGATCTTCATAAGGGACACAGTGACCAAATACAAGCTTCTAGTCGCCAGGGTCAACACTCAAGGTCATGTCAGGTCAGTGTCACGGTATGATTTATTCAAGCCTTATTTATCTTTCAGTAGTATATGCATGTGTCTATTTTCCTTCTCTCTCTTTCTCTTTGTATCTCTCTCTATCTATCTATCTTTCTCTCTTTTCGCCGTATTCCCTTCCTACTAACCATTTTTAACATACACTAATATTATCATTCTTCCACTCCCTGTATCTATCTATATCTCTCCTCTCTGTATCACTCCCTCCTTCTCTCTGTATCACTTTAACTCCCTCCTTCTGTCGTTATCTCATTCTGTATCTATCTCTCTCTATCTCACCATCAACCATTCCTCAACACGCTCTCCTAAACTACAGGCTTGAGGCAGCGGGGTGGTGGAAGATAGGGGCAGATGGCACACCCACCACCTCCCTCGCTGCAGCTGGTACCCGACCTACTCCAGCTGTACTCAATTTCATGGGCGTCAGCTGGTGGTCTCCGTGAACAATAACTGGCCCTTCCTCGGTATAATTCACCAGGAGGATGGCAGCGTCGTCCCTGACTCAGGAATCGACATAAATATCTTGGACACTCTGGGCAGCAAGTTGAATTTCACGTAAGGAATCACTAAAGTTACCCTAGATTTTAAGTTCTGAAGACTGACGGTAAAGATTAAAGTAAACTTACACTACTGAAGGTGTACTGTAGAGTTAGCTCAAAATACTGAAGGTATATCGTAAAGTAAACTCTTAATACTGGAGGTATACCGTGGAGTTAGTTTATAGTACCGAGGATATACTGTATAGTATAAAGTCAAAACACTGTTTACTAGACTCGCAGCGCTGAAGGTACACCATAAGGCAATCATTCTGGTGCAGGTATGAGCTGGTGGTACCGGAGGACCGGGCGTGGGGCGGCCCTCAGAAGGACGGTACAGTGACTGGACTCATCGGTATGGTGGCCAGGCAAAGGGCCAACCTGGCCATCTGTGAGATCACCATCACAGGTACTGCACCTCACCCACAGGTCTAGCTTAGAAGTATGACAGGTTAGGGGCATGTTGAGTCAGCTGAGGTCAGAGGGCAGTAATCACTGCAACAGGACTTAACGTGCAGTCTGCAACGCAACAATAGACACATCTTGGTAGTCAACATATGAACAGAATATTTATAAACTTGTAAACATATTAGATGACACAATACCTCGATGAAGCGACGACAGTAACAACAAACACAGAGGTAACGTCACCAACAGCAGAAGACGTATAGCGATAAACTCCGTAATCTAATAACGTATATAGGTTCAACGTCAATAGCAGAAAGCAGGTCAGATAATCTTTGTGATGCTTATCTCTATGACAGACTTGAGGGAGACGGTGGTGGACTTCACGGCGCCCTACTGGCTCGAGTCCCTTACCTTAATCCGCGCACCCAAGGAGAGGGACAGCTCCATGGCCATCTTCTGGCCCTTCACCACCATGGTGAGTGGAGTGTGTTGTTGAGTGAGAGGGAGAGGGAGGAAACAGCTCCATAAATTTTACTCCCCATGGCAAGGACCTTCTAAGAAATGGACATTCAAGTTAAGATAGCACTTCAAAATCACCACAGTCACATACATTTCTGTTCAGTAGACCTCCACCTGTATTTAGCGAAGTATATTTTCGTCTCAGTCCCGGGAAGCCAATATTGTCTCAAGATCCCCAAGATAGTTTCCCTCCTGGAGCTGGTGTAAGACCCAGAACGACGCATTTATCACAAATGTACCTGGCAGGTCCACCTTGTAACTGTACTTTACATGTGTAGATATATCTTGAGGTGTATTGTACAGGTGTGGGTGTACATCGCTGTAGCCACGCTGGTGATGGGACCGGTGATGAGTGTGTTGTACTGGTTCAGAGGGTGGCTGGTGGAGCGGACAGAGGCGACACAAACTACATCAGCTTTCATTCAACATGTTCAGAAGTCTGGTGCTGCAGGGTAATCCACTCCCTGTAAACAACTGGCCCACCCGCCTTGTTTTCATCACCTGGTACTTATTCTGCTACAACATCTATGGTGAGGGAACCATTACTTCCCCTCTATATTATGTACTGCTGTGAAAGTTAAAAAAAATTCTTCAGAATTATTTTAACCATGGTAATTAAAAAAAATTCATACAAGGGTAGACGTCTATTATCTACCAATAAAAGTTATGAGACACTTATGACCTGTTGACAGCCTTCTACGCGGGGATTCTGACAGCCGTTCTAACTGTCCCAGTGTTTGAGAAGCCTGTGGATAGCCTGGCGGACTTACCACTAGCTGCTGGGGAGGGCTTCGCTATTGGTACCCTCAAGGATTCCAGCACCGAGACGCTCTTTAGGGTTAGTGAAATTTATGTGCACGGTTACACCCTCGCTCATACTCGTGTTTAAACTTAGGTCCACGCACTCACACTGACATATATAATATCCACCACTCCATACACGCATTTACACACACGCTCTTGTACACAACACGCACCAACTCTCATCGACGTTACAGTTCTTTTATATAACCATTGTTTCTCTAGCCGTTAACCTTAAAAAAAAACAATTAACTGACGGCTAGGACAGTTAACAGTGACTTGATGATGATGATAATGACGATGATGATGATGATAACGATGATGATAAAAGCAAATTCGTCTCTATTAATGTAAATTATACTTTATGAATGCCTCTTCTACTTAATATCAAGTCGCTGATTGTATTGTTTTCATTGCTGTTGTCTTCCACGAGTCAGCAAGCAGAGTCGGGCATCTACTATCAGGTGTGGCAGCTCTTCCATCCCGTCGACAGCCTCCTGCCCGACCCAGAGTTGGGCTTCGATAAGGTGAGTCTCTCTTCTCGATGACACCTGGATGTTAGGGAGAGAGGGCTAAGTGGACGAAAATGCGGGGAGAAAAATCTTCATCTAGCAGTGAGATGATAGAGGTTGAGGATGGTGGTATTGATGATTGTGATGATAATGATTTTGCTGTTATTTATACTAGTCTACTGTTTTTAATTCTGTTTCTGTTCTTTATGTTATGAATAGCGGAAACACACACACACACACACACACACACACACACACTATACGCACACGTCTCAGCTCCGTCATTCTATCTCCATCAGGTGCTGGGGGAGAAGTTCGTCCTGATCAACTCACAGCTAAACGCGGAGATCAGGGCGACAGTGAAGAGCCGCGACAAATACCACTTTAGCCGGGAGACCTTCTACCCTCACGGCTACTCCATCGCTTGTACTACCGGCGCCCCCTTCAGGCCCAATTTCGAGAGGATGTAAGTAGGCTCTGTCAAATATATTTTAGTCTTGATCCCAGGAAATATGATGCATTTTCATAGTTTCCATAAACGTGTTATTGTGGGGTGGACGGGAACACAAAGCGCTGTTGATGCGTTTACAACTGCTCACTTTATAGTCCTGGTCTTAAGGTATCACAGGACCAATCTCTGACTCCCTGCAGGTTGTCGGGGATCATTGAGGCTGGGCTGATCAACCACTGGGCGGAGGGGGAGATCCAGAAGCTGTCTGGTAAGGTCGACACTGACGGCGACGAGACAGAGGATGGCGGGCCAAGCTCCCTCACCGTGCAGCATCTACAGGTACAGTCAGCTTGAGAAGTATGTGTTTGTCAGAGCGAAGAATTACTTGTCCCTCTACCAGTTGGAGCCAAAAACAGTTGGTGACCGTGGTGAGGTAGACATCCTGCTGAATTTAACACCATTTTTTTCTGGCCCTCTACAGGCGGCGTTCTTTCTGCTGGCGTTGGGTGGTGCAACCTCCTCTGCAGCATTCCTGGTAGAGGTCCTCCTCGCCTTACGCCAGTCTGCCGAGCTTCCAGACTTCTTTCCTGCTGCTCAGTGATAACCCAATCTCAGCTGCTTCCTGTTGATGTTACTCAATATTTGATTCATTCAACTGATACATCCCCTTCGCTAGTTTGCCGAATCTCTGCTGCTGAAGACACTCACTGACTAGTTTACTGACTCATCTTTTTCCGACCTGCTACTATGCTCCCCCACAGCTCATAAATACACAGGTTCAGGAACTCATTATTTACATATTGATTGTTTCACCATAACTTATTTTACAGCTACACGTGCTAATACGTACAATTAATAATTATATAGCTTATTTGTGTGCATATTAAGGAGTTTTCTGGTTAATGATAAGAATTACAACACAGGATCACTTGTGGCATTCAAATTGATTTTAATGAATAAGTTAAAAACTGAAATCAGGAATTTCCTTATCCTTCCTCATATAAGCTGAAAATGTACAATTTATAATATAAAGCTTTATTATTTGCTACTTAACGATTCAAAACATTGGTAGCGCAGTTTCCCAAAATGGAACCGATCAGTGGTGTAGAGGCTAAAGTAAAATAAAATGATACGAAAAGTACAAATGTAGGGTGAGTCAGTACAGCGAAGAAATATGTAGTAGCTCAACAGTTGTTCATCACTTATGTGAAGGTCAAAGGTCTCTGTACTTCATTTCACGTCGCCAACTGGATCGCTTAAATAATTATACAGCAATTAACTCCATCTCCCCTGATAAAGGATAAACAAGCAGTTGCTGTTTTACAATGAGTAGGTTTTATATTTTATTTAATTTTGCATTTAAATAATATGTGAAACATATTTTCTGCAGTATTATCTGATTAAACAGATTTAATGAATATTATCATAGATAAAGGGAATTTATTGTTTATGCAATAAGGAAATATAAAACTATTTCCGGGGTGTATTCCACCGCAAGCGCTCCGAAGGTACAGTGTTACAAGAGAGTCTTACTTTTGGTATCCGGCCAGTGGAAGTGAACGAAATTAAGTTTGGAAAATCTAAATACAATTGTGACCGTGATGTGACAGGAGTGTGGGCATAGAAACTGTATTCAAATGGAAAATCGTGATACCAGTGCCTGACGGTGCTGCACCCTTGGTGCAATTGATTTCATCCACAAAACTAAACCAGGTAAGGTAAGGTTAGGTTAGGTTAAGTAAGGGTAATGTCTCAGAACAGCACTACTACCAAAAGTTGTTGTTCAATTTCGTTCATTCTTTCCACAGTTCTTATCATTATAGTAAGTATTTTAAGAGGCGACATTTTCTAGAACCTAATAGAACTTAACGAACCAAAGAAACCTACCTAACTTCCTAACCAGGGTACTCTGCCCCCCCCCCCCCACCATACTAATAATAAATTCTTATTTTAATATCTGGTACCAATGAAAGCAACTTTGTTGAAGTGTCATGGCGTAATTTTAATTTTTTTGTGGACGTGAGAGACGCTGGGACCGAGTGGGTTGGTAGTAAAAAGACAATACTCGGTGACTGGTGACTGCAGCTTCACTGCAGATTTTTCGGGGGAGTACAGTATTTATGGTAAATAATTAATTTCTTAACGTACAAAGCAGCTAGAGACATCACTTTAGTGTCATACGACCAGTTTTTCACCATGTTTTACCCCGCAATTTCCCCCATCTTTCCTGCCCTGCCCACTATAGGTGATTTATGATCGTTTATATACGAAAACGAAAAACTAAAAAAAGACATTTATAATTAAAAAAAAGTTATTATAATCAGAACATGTGGTAAAAAATGTACGAAATCGAACATCATCTGGTGGTAGAGCTGTTCTCATACATTACCAAAGTTAGGTTACTGTAGATATTCGTTGGTAACCATAATAGGAAATTGAAAACCTAAATAGATTTTTCTTATTTTTTTTGATGACTTTAAAAAATATGACTCTTGTTTTCGTCACTTGTATATTTATGGAGATATGACAATGATTTGCAGAAAGTGGGTCGGGCTTAAGTGATGTGGGAAAATGTGCAGGGGCGGATCCAGGAATATCGAAAGGTGGGGTCCAAGAAGTTGCGGGTGGGGGATCATGGCGAGCATAGCGACCCCACCCATCTGGGGGGACACGCTGGCCCCCCCAAAGAATTTTTTTAAATCTAACCAATATGGGCATTTAGCCACGGGCACTTGATATTAGGAGATATTCTGAAGTCAATAGTAAATACTTTTTTATTATACAAAAATGCCTGAATAAAATACTGCATTAAAGAAAAAAGTATTGTAATTTTCTGATGAAAAGGGGGGTCCGGACCCCAGGACCCCTCCTGGATCCACCCTTGATGTGGGTTAAAACACTAACCCTTCCTAACTTAAAAAAAAGCCCTAATACTACAAAAAAAAATTGCCACATTTAAGCGATGGAGAAGTATTAAGTGATTCTCTTATATTAACATGATTCCGTCAATGATTCTTGTCTTGGTTTTGGGTGTTTTCGGTGTTTTCGTGACGAGGAAGCCATAACACGAATGATACTTCAAGATGAAATGTTTGGGTAGAACGGTACCACGCTTGCCTCGCAAGCGAGATGTCACGGGTTAGATTCCCGGGCCGGTGGAAAGGTTGTTTGGACATACTTCCTAGCCCTTATTGGTCCCTATTCACCTAGCAGTAATGTAGGTACCTGTTGTAAATCGAAAGTTGCGAATTCGTATTTAGGGAAAGTTATTGGAGCTTCCAATAACTTGATGACATAAACCATTGACTCTTCAGGCTTCTATGCCCTTGACTCTTCAAGCTTCTACGCCCTTAACTCATGAGACATAAAGGCAAGCATGAACTTAGCATGCTTCTCTGTTGGGCGCTGTAAACGCTTCTGCGCTTCACCTTATACAGGATGTAGGGGAGTGCCCAATAAAAAAAAAGTGAAATGTTTGGCACGCGCAATTCTCTCAAGAGAAAAAATATACTGTCCTCCGATTGGTCAGTCTTGATCATGTGAAACTCACGTGAATGAAAACTGAATATATTATATCCCACGAAAGTGTCTTTGGTGAACTTAAAATCTATCAACGTTATAACCTGATCTTGTCAATCACATACAAAAGTAAACACGCCTGGTCACCAATAAAACCATGCACACAGGTTAACGTTATGCTTCTCAATTGGTTAATTAAGGTAAATTTTTGGTAAAAAAGGTGTCAATTTAGCTTTAAAATATTAAGGTTAATCGTTATTAATAGACAAATACCTTACTTCATAAAGAATGAGCACCTACTGTATGGTATTACTCTCTAATAGACTAATGCTTGAGTTAATCATTTAATATTTTCTACTGTAAAAACATTTATAGAAAATATAATATTTTGAGGGGTAACTTTTTCATTCACATACTTGCGGTTTCTTCATTCCTTAAAAATCAATTAAAGTGTAGGGAGAAATCAGACGCGTGTCGTCGTATATATTCACCGAGATGTTCCCTTAGCCAGTGATTGAAGTTATTTGAAGGAGCTGTTTTGAACTGATGAAGGTTATGTGACGAAAGAAAGCTCACGGGCATTTTTTTTATAATGGCATATCATCAGAAAAGACACTGGCCCTTCAAGATGTCCTTGTAGGTTGTTTGAGTGTGCAAGGTGGTGGCACTAGGCAGGTAGTTTATATGGAGCACTTAGGCACCTCAGGTACTTAAAGATTGTTCATCACTGAGAGACTCCTTGAGAGGCTCTCACACCCAGAGGACCCACCATCCTCTTCTACTCCTCTCACTCCCTCCACCCCTCCCTGGCTCACCCACTCCCTGCTCTCCACCCCTCCCCACTCCTCTACACTCCACTCTCACACCCTCCCTCTCCACACCCACCCCTGCTCCCTCACACCCTGTCCTCTCACACCCACACACCCCCACTCCCCTGCCCTCACCCACCCTCCCCTCTCACACCCACCCCTCTCACCCCCTCACCCCTCCCTCACACCCTCACACCCACCCACTCTCACACACCCACCTCCCTCCCTCCTCTCCCCACCCCCCTCACTCCACACCCACCCTGCTCCCCACACTCACACCACCCCCCCCACACCCACCCCCCTCACACCTCTCACACCCACCCCTTCTCACACCCTCCCTCTCTCCTCTCCCTCCCCCTCCACACCCACCCCTACCTCACACCCACTCCTGCTCTCTCACCCCTCTCCACACCCACCTCTCTCCCTCCCACACCCACTCCCTGCTCTCCACACCCACTCCCTGCTCTCCACACCCACCTCACCCACCTCCACACCCACTCCCCTGCTCTCACCCACCTCCTCCTCTCTCTCACACCCCTCCCTCACTCACACCCACCTGCACTCCTGCTCCCACACCCACTCCCTCTCACCCACTCCCTGCTCTCACTCACAGTTACTCTTATACACTCCTCTCTCACACTCTTTCCCCACTCTCCCTCCACCTCCAGGCCTCCTGCAACCTCTAGTTTCTACCAGCCAAAAAGTAAAAAAAAACCCTCGCATATCACGTTCAGGACCTCTTCCTTCCTTTCCACACCACAACATTCACCCTCCCACCCCCCACCTCTCATCCCCCAACAACCAACTACTACCCTCCCTCTCCCCAGTTAAAGGGGTCTAGACCTGAGCCAAACAGGTTTTTTATCAACACCTGAGTCACACACCCACACCCACACACACACACACACACAAACGACTGGTGACTTTTCAAATATTGGCAAACTTTTCCAGTTAAATGAAGGATAATAATAAAGTGATTTCCCTCTAATATTTTTCTGATTAAAGATAAACATAGAACTAAAAATTAACATCATTCATTATATACATTTAAACTACTTCTTCGGTCACAGATAAACTGGTTCTATAAAGTATATATTATTCACTCTTAATACTTTTCCAATTAAAGAAATACTAGTACTATGAGTTTAACATTAGTCACTCATACTTTTCCAATACTTTTTCAACATCAAAAGTAATAGTATCGTTAATTTTCTTTACATGGGTTTAAAAAAATTTTCATTGAGGTATTACAACTTCCAATTTTTGTTCTTCCAATTATATAGATATGATATTACAGTATACCTCACAGTTAAAGGTACAAATACAGGTAGAGATACAGTTACAGGACAAACACGAGTACAGAAGCTAATAGAGGGTATGGCTACAAATACAATGCCTAACCTAACCTAACCTCATCCCCCCCTCCCCCAAATAGTGTAAGGGTGGTTAATCTTTAGGTGTAATAAGCTGGGGTGGTTATTCGTCAGGTGATTAATACATTTTAAATACTGAGGCATTTCAATTTGATATATTTTCTTTTCATATATTTTTGTATTTTTCCTATTTATTTATTTATTTATTTATTTATTTATTTATGTTTGT